AATTTGGTTCCCACTAACAGAAGTGCCTCTCTGTGCTGATTTAGTTACACTGTTTGAGGAGGTGGTGTTAAGTCAGTCAAGGTAGTTAGTTCAACACAGCGTCAGCGTTACTGCATTGTTATTGGCTTTCAGGAGTTAGCCCGCTATGCCCCACCCTGACAATACAATAGATTAAAGTGCTCCTGATGAGGATGTGCACCACTAACACCAGGAGCCAAGCATGTGCACACAAGCAATTTAATAACTGCAGAGGCTGTATGTTGGTTGACAATTTTGTAGTGTAGACATGGGCTTAGCCAGCATGTTACAAAACTACAGTATTAAAAAAGGGCTGGAGTAGAAAGGGCCATTTTCCTCAACTGTAAGGGGATGGAGATGGGGAACTGGGGCACTGAAAATTATAGTGCACCGCAGTCCCTGCCTCCCCAGCCTCAGGGAGGAAAACTCTTAAGATGAGCTGCCTGGAGGAGTAGTTTTGCAGAGCTGTGGTGCTGTAAGGGTTCAGCACAGGAGGATCTTCTGAAGACTGCTCTTCCCTGCAGCAGAAGAAAAAGCTGGAGTGCTGAGACCTGTAAAGCCACCCCACAGAACTGAAGTAGAAGGAAGCTTGTCCTGGAAGCTCTGTTCTCCCTAAAAGGGGAATGCTGAGGAAGGTCACTGGACCATATTGCAGGAAGTCTCATGGGAACCATAGCCTCCTCTTAAAGGACAGTGGGAGCCTAAACTTCTAAAATTGGCTCCTCTTGAGAAGCTGGGCCTAGGCAATGGATTCACCAGCTGGTGTTTAAGGAGGAGGAGAGCCAGAGCCTCCTACTCTGCTGCAGCTGCCATGGCCCTCAGTGTGAGACTTTGCTTCCTATCTCGTAGCCTGGGCCCACTCAGAGATCTACTACAGATTCACATAGAGATATTAATGAAAGGAGCCTTGCTGAAAAGGAATGGCATTGCCAAATCCAGAAGAAAGCTAAAAAGGCTGAGAACATGTGATGCCACTAAAAATGCTGCAAGCTCTGTAAGCAACAGACCCATATGTCACCAATGATACTGTCTTAGCATAAGCTGAGCATTTGTACAGGCCCATCAGTGGTAAAGGCACTGAATAGTCCCAGAGCCTTCACCATATTTTGTAGAAACTAGGAGTGTTGCTGAGCTTCTCAAACAAGTATTTCCGGTTCGCTGATGGGCATCTATTCTTCAGAAGGCCAGTACCTGCCTGCTTCCTTACCGGGCCCTAAGCCTGAGAGGGGAAAAAAACTGAAGGAGCATGGAGAGAGAGAAAAGGAGAATGAGGGATAGTAAAGAAGATGGAAAAAGCAGGAGAGGTGAGAGAAAATAGGAGCTGGAGAAAACCAAGCTCATAGGGAGCAAGAAAGGGAGCAAAAGTAAGGAGGGCAGTGAGAAAAACAGGAAGGAGTAGAGAGAGAGAAGAAAAATGGAGAGGGGAAGTGGAAAGAAGTTAATTCAGGGGAAAACAGACACCGAAAAAAGACCATGAAACCTGGGAAAGGCAGAGAGAGGAAAAGAGAGGAACAACAAAAGCGAGGAAGGCATGCCAAGTTACTTCGCCTTTTAATCAAATGTAGTTTAGTGCCAGATTATTATATAAAATCATTTTTTTCCTGAGGAGCAGGAAACGGACAGGACAATGTAGATGGAAAACTTGAGACGTTTGTTTCTAAATGAGCATGAGAACCCAGTTTGTCTGTATGTGGTGGAGAAAAAGCCTCTCTTTTCATCTGCACCTGCCTTTCCCTTATCCCTCAATCTCTTTCTGTCTTTTTTCCTGTCAATTAACATTTTTCGCCTATTTTACTTTTTTTTAACTGGCTTCCTACAGCTTCCCACTATTGCTGGGCTGGCTCTAAACTTGCATTTTAAGATTTGTTTCTTTGCCTTTTCTGAGTTTCCAGCCATCTTGTTTAGTAAGAAATTCAATTCTGACTGGAAAAAAAGTGCTAGGGTAAAACAAGACTATTTTAGGGGAAATTAGGAGACAACAACAAGAATTCTTGCTGCTAATTCAGGCAAGGCAGAGAGAAACTGGCAGATAGCTCATGACAGAAGGGAAGACATGTCCTCAATGAACAACAACAAAAAAATCCAGAAATTTCATTGGGATGTTTGTTGCATGGCATGGATAGGAACCCAGTAAGCATAAACTAACTTGAAACAATGAGAGAAAGCACATCATATTGTTTTTCTCACTTCCAGCTGTTTTACATGTTTGTATGGTTTCTCTAAAAATCTTGCTGACATTTATTTTGAAATTTGCCTTCTCTAATGAAATGTTAAAAGGCTTGTACTTTTTTATTCAAACAAGCTTTTAGTGTTTCATCTTTGAAATTATGAATTATATTGTAAATTTTAATTAACTTAATCACTCTGTATAGAAAGAAAGAATAAAACAAATAATTCTTTGCTGCCACTCTTTCATAGAATCATAGAATATCAGGGTTGGAAGGGACCTCAGGAGGTCATCTAGTCCTACCCCCTGCTCAAAGCAGGACCAATCCCCAACTAAATCATCCCAGCCAGGGCTTTGTCAAACCTGACCTTAAAAACTTCTAAGGAAGGAGATTCCACCACCTCCCTAGGTAACCCATTCCAGTGCTTTACCACCTTCCTAGTGAAAAAGTTTTTCTTAATATCCAACCTAAACCTCCCCCACTGCAACTTGAGACCATTACTCCTCGTTCTGTCATCTGCTACCACTGAGAACAGTCTAGAGCGATCCTCTTTGGAATCAGGTAGTTGAAAGCAGCTATCAAATCCCCCCTCATTCTTCTCTTCTGCAGACTAAACAATCCCAGTTCCCTCTGCCTCTCCTCATAAGTCATGTGTTCCAGTCCCCTAATCATTTTTGCTGCCCTCCGCTGGACGCTTTCCAATTTTTTCACATCCTTCTTATAGTGTGGGGCCCAAAACTGGACAAGGTATTCCAGATGAGGCCTCACCAATGTTGGAGAGGGGAACAATCACATCCCTTGATCTGCTGGCAATGCCCCTACTTATACATCCCAAAATGCCATGGGCCTTCTTGGCAACAAGGGCACACTGTTGACTCATATCCAGTTTCTTGTCCACTGTCACCCCTAGGTCCTTTTCTGCAGAACTGCTGCCTAGTCATTTGGTCCCTAGTCTGTAGCAGTGCATGGGAATCTTCCGTCCTAAGTGCAGGACTCTGCACTTGTCATTGTTGAACCTCATCAGATTTCTTTTGGCCCAATCCTCTAATTTCTCTAGGTCCCTCTGTATCCTATCCCTACCCTCCAGCGTATCTACCTCTCCTCCCAGTTTAGTGTCATCTGCAAACTTGCTTAGGGTGCAATCCACACCATCCTCCAGATCGTTAATGAAGATACTGAACAAAACCGGCCCCAGGACTGACCCTTGGGGCACTCCGCTTGATACTGGCTGCCAACTAGACATGGAGCCATTGAGCACTACCCCTTGAGCCCGACGATCTAGCCAGCTTTCTATCCACCTTATAGTCCATTCATCCAGCCCATACTTCTTTAACTTGCTGGCAAGAATGCTGTGGGAGACCATGTCATAAACTTTGCTAAAGTCAAGGAATAACACATCCCCTGCTTTCCCCTCATCCACAGATCCAATTATCTCGTCATAGAAGGCAATTAGATTAGTCAGGCATGACTTGCCCTTGGTGAATCCATACTGACTGTTCCTGATCATTTTCCTCTCCTCTAAGTGCTTCAGAATTGATTCCTTGAGGACCTGCTCACTTTGGGCTTCATTCTATAAACAGTTCATTACTCCATGTGTCTTTACACTCATGTCTAGTCCTATTATGTTAGTGGAATAAAGTGTGGGAGTAAAGATACATCCTATCATAACTGTTTGCAGGAACATAGGGCTCACACCATCCTTTGTGATCTTGAATAATGGTCAAGAACAATTCTGAATTAAAAACTTTTCTAAACATAACGTTATGTTAAAGGGTTTGCATAAACTCACTGTGACAAGGTGAAAGAACTACCTTGTTCTTAGTTAATTGGTTTTCATTACAGTTGATCTTTCCCTTCCCCTTGCATAGGCGCTCAAAGGAAGGGCTATCACAGTGGCTATTTAGAAGAAAGAGATGGGTAAATGCCTACGGCAAGATCAGAATCCATACCTATTTCAGCCAAATATTAATCATACAATTAAATTCTGATTACTACTCATTTCCTATTGTGAGGTTCAAACAACAGAAATTTTAGGATCCACTTCTCAAATTTTATAAATAACTTGTACATTGACTTGTTACAGGAACACCTGAATGAACAGCAAAGATGGAGGGATAGAAACATACCTACATTCATTATGAAAGCCCTATAGGTTGTATGACACAACAAACCTATATAGGAAGGGCCCCTGATTTATGTGGCAAACTGGGAATTCTAAAGCAGTGTAAAAAACATTAAAATGCAGAGATTTCAATTGACTATTAAAATGGATAGGAACAGAGGCATTAACATATAATTCAATACAAATACTGTACTTCAGTATTTTCGTGTATATTTCACAGTGTTGCACAATTCCCAGTTTACCAAGGAAAACAGCACTATTGCATCGAATAAATCAGGACCCTTGCCAGAAATTGTAGGTCTGATATGCACAGAGTATATGGCTTTATGTCTTCCACCTCTTCCTGACACTAAGAAAGGTGTTAGAGAGCTCTGGCCCACTCCCTATGGCTGCAGGAAGAAGGTTCTCCACCAGCCCCTTGTGAAGTCTGGCAGGAGAAACAGCCCAATGGCTCCCATTATAGTCAAATCTTGTAGCAGGTAACAGTTCTCTTTCCTCTGTCTGAGAATCCAGGCAAAGTAAGCATAACACTGAACTGTGGGATCTGGGCAGAGTAGGAAAAGTTTACCACAGGAACCTTTGCAACAGGCAAATTCCAGAGCCACAGAAATGGAGATGGCATATGGTCCTATTTATAAACCTTATTTCCAGTGCATCTTTTTATTTATCTTAGTGAGAGATGGGGGAGGGTGTTGGTTCTTTGAATCCTTTTATTAACTCTCAGGCATGGAAACTGATCTGAAAGAGATATACCACAAAGTTAATAACATCTTATTTTGACAGCATGCTTGATTGCAGTCTTTTCCAAGATAAACAATCTTTTCCAACTCCTGATTTTTTTGTATTTCATATGACCTGAAATGAATTATATGTTTGATATGCCCCAACTTCACCAGGTTTGTGGGGTTCTTTTTTAAAAGAAAAAAGTGATTATTACACCTGAAATTTCCAAAGATAAATAGTAAATACTGAACACTGGTTTCTCCACCCACTGCAACCCTGCTGTGTTAGTGTGCTGGTACAACAGTGGGATAGCATTAACTAGCTTTTAAAAACACTTGCATTTGCAAGGTTTGAATCAGTATTCTAAAAATAAACACAAATTAGGAGGACAGATGATACTTTTTTGGTGGATAATTTATAACATACATTCACAAATATGATCAAACAAATTCAATTTCTTAAAAATCTGTATAAATACTTGTAACGCTTCTTCCCTTATAATGCACAAATTTCAAGTAATTACACATAAAGCTATTAGATTGCCTCTGACATACAAACAATGCAAAATACAGACATATATGCAGTAGCACATAAGGAATGATGTAGTGCTTCTGACTTTTAATTGTAGGTATGATCCTAAAAATAACAACAATTCAAAAAAAGCTAGTTTTAAGTTTAATTGTTGGGACAGAATGTATTGTGGGTGGTGGTTGCCTGGCAGCTGCTTTTGCTTTGCTGGCCTGACTTGCACGGACTGCAGTTTCTAGACGTATTTTCAATTCAGGAGCAGCTCCCATTACTGTCTTGAAAGCATGAGGGTAGAGGGGACCAATGTGCATTAAATTCTGGAGTGCAAATTCATGAAGATCTTTCGATACTGTAGATGCAGAAGCAAAAGCATTTTCATTCAGTAAATAAGAGATCAGAGTTGGAACTAGAAGAGCAAGCAACTGGACTCCTGAAAGTGAGAAAAGAAAAAAGCATAATAGATTAGAAATGAAAACTATACGGAAAATTAATTGTGGCAATAATACTGTTCCTTTAAAAGAGTCATTACAATCAAAGTTGAAAACAAACACAGCAATAATATAATAAAATCAAAGGAGTCTGAAATGCAGAAGACCTTTTTTCAGGACTTCCAGTCTTTTTCCTGGCCAGTATAGGATTTGGCTGTATTCCACATTTTCTTGTGTTTAATACACTTCAGTTCTGTTCCAGCCACTTCACTGGGGAGATTAGGGCAAAGCCTGATAGCGCTCACTGCTAAATGTGTTAAACTGCTAGAGCATCTTGTACCTCAAAGGATCCTACAGGACTTTACAGATTGAGAAATCACTTTCATCTTACTTTTGTAAAGCAGCCATCATTGAGAGTATGACATACCAGTTTAGGACACAAACTGAAGAGTACCTCCATATCAGTTTGAAAATGCAGCAGGGAAATATAAGTATTAGTAGGATAATATAGCTACCATGTTTGGAATTTGACTAGGACACTGGCATACCTCTTACTCTGAATGTATAGTTTAGTGGTGAGAGTAAGGATTTTATGAATCAGAATTCCTGCATTCTAGACCCGGTCTTTGTCACTGACTTATTCCGTGATTTTCAGCAAATCACTTATTCTTGTTATGCATCTGTTTCCCCATCTGTAAAATGGGCATACTATTAATCTCTCACACAGTGTATTTGTATAGATCGAAGTGTATTTGTATAGTACTTTGAGAGCCCGAAATAAAAGATGCTATGTAAACACAAAGTATTAGTATTTATTATTGTTACTTTTGTGAAGAGCTTCCTGGTATCTTTAGTGACTACAGTTGGTTAGGATCTTAGTTCTTGTTTGAAAGATTATACCTCCAATAGAACAGTGCCCCTTGTGTTGGTGCACTGGCTCAAAGACTCAGAAGAGAGTCATCTACTAAATTGCCAAGACTCTGAAAGTTTCCCATCCAAGTTCTGACAAGCCCAAGTGTGCTTAGCTTGTGAGATCGGATGAGATAGCAACCCAAGGAAGAGACTGTTCTTGGAAAAGAAGAAAAAGTAAACTAAAGCAGTCATAGCTGCTGATTTTTTGAATAATCTAATTACAGCTTTATTTTGCTTAAAATAAATAATTATGTTAGACTATAAATTTTAAGTTCATAATAAACATTTTTGGTTAAAGGATTGATCAGAATATTACTCATTATGTTCTTACATTTTGGGATAAATGTGAACTGAGCTCTCATGTAAGTAGGGGGACTGATATGCTTGGCTCTAACTAACGTTAACAAAAATCAGATGTTGGACAGACTTTCCCCCACACATTTCTACTAGTCTATCATTTCACACCTGCTCAGCTCACCTATTCCAAAACCAGAGTGGCTCCTGAGTAAGTTCTGCCAATTGTATGTGGGGGTTTTGTTTTTAATGTGGATGAATATCACTGGGGAATACGTTGAAAACAGTAATCTTATTTACATTTGTCTCTGGGGTGTCAATCGGTCTCCGAATGCAGATTCATTTTTAACTTAACTGAATTTTAAGATATTATATGAATATTCTTTTCTGCAGAAAGAAATTGATGTTACTCTCTTCAGACTTGCCCACAATTTCAAACAGCCCTTCCAAACCCAGCATAGCTGTTTCTCAGGATAATCAAATAACTTTGGTGATGGGTGTAGTATTGGTAGAAATACCTAGATTAATAGGCAATCCATGTGCTAAAATGGTCAGTAGTGAAAGAGGTAACAACTGGGGCAGTTTGCAGCTCTCTATTACTTTTTTCCATATGCAGGCACAAGACAACAATACTACACCACATTTGGAAGGTTTCTTTACAACCACAAGAGGAAGGAGTGCTAGTGCAATCCTGACATACAACAGCCCTTGTCATGTAAAGCTATAATACAATCACAGGTTTTTGCATCATAGAATCAAAGAATATCAGGGTTGGAAGGGACCTCAGGAGCTCATATGGTCCAACCCCCTGCGCAAAGCAGGATCAATCCCCAATTTTTGCCCCAGATCCCTAAATGGCCCCCTCAAGATTGAACTCACAACCCTCGGTTTAGCAGTCCAATGCTCATTTCAAACACCATTGTAAATGTATCACCCCCCCCCCCACCACCACATCCCTAACTACAACATTCCTGATGTAAAAGGTTGTATTTCAGAGTTATTAGTGTTCTACAGAAAAAAAGATACTTACTATTCTGCTCCTCACCAAGGGCAACCAATGTTTCAAGGACTTTAATTCCTTCCTGGACTGCTAAAAGCTCTGTGTTGCTGTTTGGACGATTACTTTCTACAGCTTTCAGTTTCTCAACCATTATTGGTGCCAGTGAATGGATGTATGGAGTTGACAGGGCACGGTTGGTGTGTTGGAATACAGAAAGTAGAAGCTGATAACACTTGGCTTGAACCTAATCAAGATAAGTACATTTTATGGATTTGTATATTGGCTTGGCGGCTGGCAATACAATCCATCATATATTTGTATGAACATAAAAATGCTTGGAGGAAATAAAGGAAAAAGACCACTGAAATTGGCGGAAAACCGCAAAAGACTAACAGCTGGCTCAGCTGCTAAAAATACTGTTACCCAGTTTTCAATACAAGAAAAAGGAGTGCAACTAGGAAACAAATGCAGGAAACAAGAGAGAAATGATTAAGTGAAACTAGGTAAGATAGGAAAGTTAAAGAATAGTTAACAACATACTAATCAGGCATATGGGATGCATTCTAGAGTCCACAGGGAGCTGACTCCATAAATAACAACTACTAGCAATAACACTGGACGTATCTGAGGAATCATTTGAAGTTCCCTTCCAATTCCACAAAGGCAAAGGGGTCCCCACAGCCTAAAGAAAAGTATTAGAGTAGATTAAGGTAATTACAAAACATAGGTCATGGAAAACTAAGTTGATGTCCTTTATATTCTAAAATGGTGTCAATAAGGAGAACTCAGTGAATGTATTTGATTTGGCATTTAAAAGGGATTTTTCCAAAATACTACATAGGAATCTCAGACAAATTGGAGAGATATGGCCTTGAATACCATATGATAATCCAAAACGCAGGCTACGAAGTTGGACATATTTATAACACCTCATGGGTCAGTTATCAAGCAGGGTCTCAAAGGGACTTTGAGCTGTATTATTCAATGTATTAATGACCTGTGAGAAGCTCAATCTGACACTGATCACATTTTGGGGTGCAGAAAACTTGGAAGTATAGATAAGATTACAAATTAAAATTATAGATTGTAGGTTCATAGAAAGTAAGGTTGAAAGAGTCCTGTTAGGTTACCTGGTTTATCTTGCTATCTATGCAGGATTAATTCCTTGCAATGGATTTGACAGTTCTCTGTATAATTCAGATTTGGAGGCCCCCAATGTGTTGGAGCTTCCTCAACTTCCATTTGGATGCTGTCTAAAATTTCCATCTCAGAACATTTTTCCGGATATTCAGCCTAAATTCTGGGACCAGTTTCAACTGGTTACTTCAATTTGTACTCCCGTACCACTATAAATAATATTCTTCCATCCTTGTTGTTTCGACTCTTCAAATTCTTGAAGTGACTTACCACACACCCTTTCATTAGCTTTTGTTTAAACTGCACATATTTAAGAACAAAATCTTCACATTTGCAGGTAGAAGCTTTCATAGACTTCAGCAGGACCCCTATGACAGCTTTTGATAGCAGAATTTGGTTCACAGTTCTTTTAATCTGTTCTCAAATGTAGAATTTTTGCTGATCGTACACTCACTGAAGTCAATGACAAAGCTTCCATTAACTCTAATGGTGCAGGATCAGGGCCTGAATCCACTTTGGAGTCTGTAGAGCTCTTTCTGAGATCAAAGGTTCCCAGAATGGAATGAAGGGACAAAGGCTTCTTAGCTGAGAGCTCTTGATTCTGCAATTCACTTCTGTTTGTCCAACAAAGCCTGAGTTTCCTAACGGAAGGGTATAATATAAAGCATAGCTATCCGTTCAGGCTTTTGCCTGAGGCTGTTGTTTCAGTGGTGGAGCACTAGTCTTTGGTGGTACAAGTATTTTTAAAGAATTCTCTATTTTATGTCATTTCAGCGTATTTTTAAATGTATGTCCATTTATCATTAATGTGTGCCCACCTAGGAGCTGCTGTAGTTGTCATTTTATATATTGAAAAAATAAAATAAATAATACAATGCAATCCAGAGTATATTTCCCTTGTGTACGTACAAAACAAAGTATGGACACAGTATGGCTGATATTACGCTGCTCTCTGTTACCAAAACTGTGCTAGGAGAGTGTTCATTACTGGCTAGATGAGAAAGGCAGAGAACTTCCTTAAAAACGGAGGAGAGAAATGAACTTCTCCTGTTGTCAGTCTCTGTACAGAGCTAAATAGGGATAGATGTAAAGGCTCCTTCTCAGCACACTAGACACTCCCCTCTCCATTGTCTCTATCAGGAGCTCCTGTAGGTGTGACTATTGAACTAGAAGAGGAGACATGGTCTCAAACTGTTTCCCACCTTAAGAACTCCAGCAAGTCAAGCTTTTGTAAACTGCTGAACAGTGACAGAGCATAAGACCCCAGTTCAATCTGGAAACAGATGACTCCACTGCAGAGAAGGACTCTCAGGTGGACTAGAGTTCTAAATGCCTAAATATGGCATGCTTTTTTTTATATTTTTCTCCTCAGGAAATCTTTGAGTGCCTGTGTGGGGGAAACATTATATAGAAAACCTACAGGAAAACCCCAAGAACAGTAGAGAAAATAGAGGAAGAAGTTTAGACCTAAATCAAAAAATAAAGTTTGGAGATAACAATTCATCTATATAACTGGATTGGGGGGGAGGGAGAGGGAGCAAAGAACTGGCCTATATAAGGCAGTTCTTTCTTAGACATGGACAGAATTTTCTCCTCCCGCGCCCACTCCCCTAAAGAAGGAGCACAGGGAAAGCAGTTCTCTTTTAGATATCTTGTCATTACTCAGAGAGCTTGGAGAAGGGACACTATAACATGGTAAGTTACCACTGCCAACCTTTATCCTTTATAACCAATACTAGTCAGCTCAGTGCAGCCCTGGCTTAGGTAAGAGAAGAATTGATGATGATTTTCTTTATATCATCTCCCTTTACTTCCTCTAGTCTCTCTCTCTTCATTGTTCCTTTCAAGCAAATAGTATTCAGTTTAAGTGCAACTGTAAATTGGATGTGACAGATAATATTGTGTGAATTGTTGACTGTCTCTCTCTGGTGATGAGAAAAGCTCTACCTGTGGGGGAGGAAGAGCAAACAGGTGGAGTCCATCAAACAAGAAGTACAAAGTCACAAAAAGGGGCCCGGGGGAGGTTCAGTCCCTAACCAACAATTTCTCCAACTGGTGAACAGGTATCGGTCCTGGCATAAAGTGAGTTCTCTGACTTTGGGACTACAAGACCTTCTGTTACACATGAGTTTGGGAAACATTCTTTCACCTAAAATTACACTTTGTAAGCTCCTATCTGCACATCTGTATAATTGCTCCAACAAACTGATTTCTACATGGCAATTATGTTTCACTTCATGCTAACTGAGCATGTCTGAGCCAAGTCAGGCTACAATTTATCGCTTTTGCAATGGATTAGTTGAAAAGATAATTTAAAGAGAAGACAAAACAAAAAGCATAAATGAGTTTGCGACAAATAAGTAACCATTTTCAGAGTACTTCTGAAATGATATGCACATGCAAATCAGATAACTGCATCCCTGAACTGCACACTCAAAATGGGTTTTCATAGAATCATAGGGTTGGAAGGGACCTCAGGAAGTCATCTAGTCCAACCCCTGCTCAAAGCAGGACCAATCCCCAATTTTTGCTCCAGATCCCTAAATGGCCCCCTCAAGGATTGAAGTCACAACCCTGGGTTTAGCAGGCCAATGCTCAAACCACTGAGCTATCCCTCCCCCATGTAAGTAACATAAACACAAATTTTGTACCTATATAAGTAGGAGAATCACTGCAAATTTGGGCCTTAATCTTTATCTATGGAAACAGGAGTTTGAGTAGCATTATGAGGAAGTAGTATTAAATAAACAAGAGAAGGTCTAGATTTTTTTGGCCCAGTGGTCTTTTCCTTCCTAAAATTTCTTATATTAACAAAGATGTAACTTTTATAAATCCATATAACTCAAGAATTTGGCACAAGTAACTTGAAAATCCTACTTCAAAAGTGCCAAGTTTTGTTATAATTGCCATTGAGGCAATAGTTGTGATGGTTAATTTGTTAATTTGACAAGCAGGATCTGGTTACTTTTTGAAGTGAAGAAATTACAGATTTCAGAAAATGTAACATTATTCCTAGTTACTTTATGTCAACCATTTAAAATATTGTGCACGCTTCCACTTGATGAGCTTACCCAAGGATCACAGGAATTCAATGCGTTTTTAAATCTGTTAATGCAGCCGTTCTGTAAGGACAGCACTCCAATTATTTCTGTACTTGCAGACCAAAGGAAGAGAGCAATGGCTGTAAGCATGCTTACTTCATCAAGAATAGACTTGGTGCCTTCTGAAAAACAAAAAGAAAAGGCTGAGCTCATTGTGAAAAGGTTTTAGAGTTTGTTTAGTAAATCCTAGTGTACTAGAATAATTCACAACAAAGAGATGTACTTGAAAAGACTTCAATTACACTCAAATATGTGCCTATTCATCACTACCAGAGTCACATTTTAACTATTAGTGGTAGTGACTGATATAGTTGAGGTTGTTTAAGATGATTAACTCTAGTCTAATCCTCTCTTTTAAACTGCTTAAAACTTCCTGAAATTTCCACCTATGCAGCCAAAATTATTCATGCTTGGTCTCTAACCACAGATATATTTTTATTGTTTTTAAAGTTTTAGCAAATACAAATATGCTATTTTTGAGCAGAAAGATGGTGGAAAAAACATTATGCTGTCCCCATTACAACCAAGTCTCTTGCAAACCTTTTCAAAACAGCCTCTGCAGCTGAAATGGTTGGGATGTAAAAACCTAAAATCTAGTATGGGAGTAGCCTGCACTAAAGAGAAGGGTTCTTGAGTGTTCTGCTGAAAATCAGTTATGATTTGACGGTGTTAATAAGCCTGTGAAAATCATACCGTCCATTTTGCTAAACTGGTGAAGTGTGCAACTTCATTCTGTCCTGAAAAGTGAACTGAAGGCATGCAAACCCTTGCACCTTGCAAGGAGTTAAATGAAATCTCCTAAAGTCCACAGAAGGTCTACAATAAGCGTCAGTGGTGCTTGTGGAAATGGGGGCTTGAAGGCCCTTGAGCCAAGGTGAAGTTGGGAGAGAGAAGTTTGATGAGACGTAATTAAAGAGGCCACTGAAAATTAATATGGGTTTGGCCTGGAAAACTTAATCCAATTATTGTTTCTGCTCAACGATCCTAAAGGATGGCATTGTGTAATTACTCTTTTATCCCTTCAGATTTCACATGACCACTTCTGCCAACTCTTCCCACCCTGCTCTCCTGTTCAGTCTATATTTCAGGCTATTTGGGGGTGTAGTGAGATCGTTTTGGCTGAGATACTCGCGGTAGGTAAATGACGTGCATCTCTGGATCATAGAATCATAGAATATAAGGGTTGGAAGGGACCCCAGAAGGTCATCTAGTCCAACCCCCTGCTCGAAGCAGGACCAAATCCCAGTTAAATCATCCCAGCCAGGGCTTTGTCAAGCCTGACCTTAAAAACCTCTAAGGAAGGAGATTCTACCACCTCCCTAGGTAACGCATTCCAGTGTTTCACCACCCTCTTAGTGAAAAAGTTTTTCCTAATATCCAATCGAAACCTCCCCCACTGCAACTTGAGACCATTACTCCTCGTTCTGTCATCTGCTACCATTGAGAACAGTCTAGAGCCATCCTCTTTGGAACCCCCTTTCAGGTAGTTGAAAGCAGCTATCAAATCCCCCCTCATTCTTCTCTTCTGCAGGCAAAACAATCCCAGCTCCCTCAGCCTCTCCTCATAACTCATGTGTTCCAGACCCCTCATCATTTTTGTTGCCCTTCGCTGGACTCTCTCCAATTTATCCACATCCTTCTTGAAGTGTGGGGCCCAAAACTGGACACAGTACTCCAGATGAGGCCTCACCAATGTCGAATAGAGGGGAACGATCACGTCCCTCGATCTGCTCGCTATGCCCCTGCTTATACATCCCAAAATGCCATTGGCCTTCTTGGCAACAAGGGCACACTGCTGACTCATATCCAGCTTCTCGTCCACTGTCACCCCTAGGTCCTTTTCCGCAGAACTGCTGCCTAGCCATTCGGTCCCTAGTCTGTAGCTGTGCATTGGGTTCTTCCGTCCTAAGTGCAGGACCCTGCACTTATCCTTATTGAACCTCATCAGATTTCTTTTGGCCCAATCCTCCAACTTGTCTAGGTCCTTCTGTATCCTATCCCTCCCCTCCAGCGTATCTACCACTCCTCCCAGTGGATCTCTCTTTTGGGTCAGAAAACATGGATTGTACCGCCCTTTGTTCTTCTAGGGCAGAGAAGATGCTTGGATCAGAGGAAGCTGGTTGAAGTCAGTGCAGACAAGATGGAGATGCTGCTGGTAGGTCACGGGAAGCATCCAGGGGTATGGTTTTTCCCATTACTGAAAGGGTCACTCAATCCTTTGTCAAGGAGATTTAAAATCTGGAGATGCTTTTGGGTCCTCACTTCTCTTTGATTCCCTGGTGATATCAGTGGCTAGTCTTTTACCCCTCTGTATTATGCTAGACTATATTGTGATCAATTCTCTGGTGTGAATTTGCCACAGTCGTCCATGCCTTTACAACCTTCACACTGAATTACTACTGTAATGCTCACTGAGGTTCAACAAGGACAAGTGCAGAGTCCTGCACTTAGGACGGAAGAATCCAATGTATGGCTACAGACTAGGGACCGAATGGCTCGGCAGCAGTTCTGCAGAAAAGGACCTAGGGGTTACAGTGGACGAGAAGTTGGATATGAGTCAACAGTGTGCCCTTGTTGCCAAGAAGGCCAATGGCATTTTGGGATGTATAAATAGGGGCACTGCCAGCAGATCGAGGGATGTGATCGTTCCCCTCTACTCCAGATGAGGCCTCACCAATGTCGAATACTGTGTCCACTTTTGGGCCCCACTCTACAAGAAGGACGTGGAAAAATTGGAAAGAGTCCAGTGGAGGGCAACAAAAATGATTAGGGGACTGGAACACATGACTTATGAGGAGAGGCTGAGGGAACTGGGATTGTTTAGTCTTCAGAAGAGAAGAATGAGGGGGGATTTGATAGCTGCTTTCAACTACCTGAAAGGGGGTTCCAAAGAGGATGGCTCTAGACTGTTCTCAGTGGTAGCAGATGACAGAACAAGGAGTAATGGTCTCAAGTTGCAATGGGGGAAATTTAGGTTGGATATTAGGAAAAACTTTTTCACGAGGAGGGTGGTGAAACACTGGAATGCATTACCTAGGGAGGTGGTAGAATCTCCTTCCTTAGATATTTTTAAGGTCAGGCTTGACAAAGCCCTGGCTGGGATGATTTAGTTGGGGATTGGTCCTGCTTGGAGCAGGGGGTTGGACTAGATGACCTCCTGAGGTCCCTTCCAACTCTGATAGTCTATGATTCTATGATTCTATGACTATGATGAAGACTACATGAAGCCTATTATACGATTCTCCTAAAGCACCACTGGCTTCCAGTTTCCTTGAACCACAATTCCAGGTATTGAGTTTGATCTACTGTATACAGCTCGATACAATTATGGCTCTGCCTACCTGAGACAGTGGCTCTCTCCCTATGTGCCATTTTGGATCTGAGTCTCTCTGGGCAGTAGATATTTTGGGGTAAAAGGAAAAGAGGGGTATAATCAAAGATGATTCCTAGTTTATGGGCGTGGGTGACATGAGGGAGGATGGATTGTCAACAGTAACAGAAAGTGAGGAAGGGTTTGGAAAGGAAGACAAGTTGTTAACTTGGTTGTGAGGCATCCAGGAGTTTTCAGAGAGACAGGCTGAGATGCAGAATTGGCAGAAGAGACACAGGTCAGGAATGGAGAGGTAAACTTGTGAGTCAAAGGTACAGAAATGGTAGTTGAAGCTGTGTGAGTTGATGAGGTTACCTAAAGGAAACGTGCAGAAACAGAATGCAAGTGTGCCAAGCGCTGTGAGAGACCTATAGAAACAGGAGAGGGGTGGGAGGCCTGCTGAAAAAGACACTGAGGAAATGAGTGGAGAAGTAGAAGAGAACTGATTTGTAAAAGCCAAGTAAGGACAGGATTTCAAGAAAGAGAGTATGATCAATATTGCCAAAGGCAGCTGAGAGGTCAACAAGGATGAAGGTGGAGTATGCTGCCCTGAGATAAGGCTGTATTATTCTAAAATCAGTATTGTATTCAGCATTACATACATTGTATACATTATATATACAGTTCACTATAATGCAGAGTGTTTAGCCAGGCTTGTGTTAGCACTTAGATCTTTTCTCTATTTTACAACCTATGCTATGTTAATCACAGTTTTTTGTCCCCATAATCCTAAACTGATAGGTAGCCTATAATATATTATGGAGAAGTGAATGTTACATGTTTGTATATAACAGAAACTTTAGCTTTAATCTATTTAACTGGTTGAGAGTAAACTGCTTACCTGGTTGGGAGTATTCCAAGATAGATGCCAGAGTGCTGCGGATAAGACTGGTCCATTGCTTATGAGTTTCCTCAGTCTTGGCCATTGGAAGAGTTACAGTAGTTTTTATCGCCTGAAGAGCTGCGCTGACTGGTGGCGAGACCTGATTATCCACTGATTTTACTGCAGTTTCTTTCAATACTCTTGTAATCAGAAACAGGATTGTAGGTAATATTGTCATACATCCTGAAATAAAAAATAAAGTGCATTCTTGAAGTTAAATCTAACACCAGGTATAGTCCACAACTTCTTTATATTTCCTTAGTGGAACATCTCTTGCTAGCAATGGATATACCAAAATGTACTACAATTTATTTATGTGGTAGTAAATATAATTCAATAATATTTTAACAATTAAGAAACATCTTATTATATTCCAAATGTATTATATGACAAATTACATAATTTGGGTCATTTGTGCTAATGTAGTTAAAAAGCGGTCAGCAATTCAGGGATTTATAACTCAGCCATTAAAAATTTGCTCTAGGCTGACAAGGAATGATTTTTAAAAATCCATTAAAGAGAGGAAGGATGGTCCAGTGGTTAGGGTACTAGTTTGGGACTGAAGAGATGCAGGTTCAATTTTTTCCTCTGCACCAGACTTCCTGTATAAGCTTGGGCAAATCACCTAGCCTTTTTTATGCCTCAGTTTCCCCATCTGTGAAATGGGGATAATAATACTTCCCTACTTCACAAGGGATAAATACATTAAAGACTGTGAGATGCTCAGATATTATGGTAATGGAGGGCCACAAAGCACCAAAAACAGTTAAATAATTGATCATTTTCCCCTGATTAGGGCTTATTTTGCATCCCAATTGGAGCCAAAAAGAGCTCAGACATGTAGAATTTGTACTCATCCTTCCCCCAGCTCATACTTAAAGCTATGAGTCTGGGCAGATAGCTTTCTGGCTAGGAAAACCTGGCCAAAATTCCTTGTGGCGGCTGTCAGTATCATTCTTTAACTGGTCTGAAAGGTCACTACTGAATGATAGAAGTGCTCTATTCGATGCAGGGAATGAGTAATGCTGCTTCTCAAACACTCCTTTACTCAGTCATCCCTGAAAGCCAGAAAAAATGGGACCAGGAATCAAATCATAGGCTCCTGCATGGCAGCAGTGCAAGACTCTGGGCTAGCTTGTAGAAAAATTTTATTTTTAACTAAACATTTGCCATCCATTAATCACTAATTTGGACTACAGGCCAAGTATTTTTCAGAAATTATTTCCTCTAGAATTGTTATTAACTTTGCACCTCATTAAGGGCTCAACCTCAAGAAGTGCTAAACATCTGCAATGTCAATGTAATTTCTTGCAGACATGAGAGAGACCTCTGCTGTATTCGAAAGAACAGGGCATACAGTGCAAGTTTTGATTTTGCGATTTTCCTGATGTCCTGTGACCTGAAAAGCAGTCACCCTTAAATTGCTCTAGAATCTAACCTCACCATCAATAAATTAGCTTCACTTAAAGTGGTCTGCAACGGAGGTAACATTTTTAGTTACTGCTGTGTCATTTGGTCATTTCAAATTACAGGATTTGTCTTATATTTCTCATAAAACACATTCATTTATGCATATGAAGTTATAGTAGAATACCTGCTGGAGAGCATAGAGAAGGCAGGTCAGATAGGATGGTAACTGTGGCAGCCACAAGGCGAGCACTTTCTTCAGAGAGCTGAGGTTTGGCAGAAACATGACTTGGAGAGTCTGACATTTTTGGGCTTAGATGTGGCATATGCCGTACTAGGATAAACATTAGTAGTTCCATGGCTGCAAAGACAAGAGACTTTCCAGGCTCAAGACCACCAGTCTCACCACCTTCTCCTAACGCAAGGCACATTTCTTTTTCCTTTATGTTATCTTCATCTGCAGTGAAAGACATTTGGTTAAATAGTAAAGAACCCAAAATAAATATTAGATAAAATACACTGGAAGGTAGATAATACTTTGAGAAGAGCTAGAGGTTCACATTAATGTATATAATGTCAGACAGATCACACAGGTTAAGAAAAATACTACTTTTAAAAGTTAAAATGTATTGAGGGAGTTTTAAATTGCCTTAAAGGTTTTGTGATTGTAACAATTGACTTTAAAATTCCATAATGAGCCCAGAAATTGATAAAATTTAATAATTACAATGTCTGAAAACAGTTGCTGTGTTTCATACTTCTTAAAAAACTCTTGTAATAAAATTTTCATCAAAAGATGCCAACTTCTGCATGTTGCCAGGCACAATGTTGTGTAAAGTACATTAATACAATCGGTTTTTTCTTTATCTCAGTTATGAATTAAGGTTTTTGTAGAAAAAATATTCAAGTGCAATTCCAACCTGAAATGTGACTCTAAAAATAGTACTGTGGGATTCTGTGTACTGTCTCCATGATGTTAGTATCAAATGTGCTCAGTTTACAAGATTTTCTTCTGAGTTGCAGACTTACAAGCTATGTCCTCTCCTTTGACATTGTCAGTAATAAATTCTAGTAATTATGCCCTCAATTCCCCTATGCAACTCTGAATTCAAATGATGTTTTAGTGAACACATGTGATGTCCCACTGCATGCGTGGGTTTAGAAAGATGCAACTTACTGGGCTTCAATAAACAATTCTATTGATGCAGAAAAAGGAAACAAATGCATTCCGCTCTCTTTAAGCTGTGCTGGTTCTTTCTACAGCACTAATGAGAGTAGAAAGCAGTAAAACCTTGCCCTGCCCCACAATTATGCTCTGAGGGTGTAACTCTGAATACATTGAACAGATCTGTGGGATAAGGAGGAGCCATTTTTACCTAGTCAGTTTTCAGAGAAGAACCACACTTTAATAAATCTGAGTTCTTCTCCCAATTAGGAAATTTGTTGCTTTTTTCCTCTGCAAATGCAAACAACAGTTTTAAGTTTGTTTGTTTCTTTTTAAAGTCTTACTTAGAGTATTCCTTTTTTCTTGCAAGTAATCTTGAGCTGCTCTCACTATCTGCTGGACAACTCCTGTAACTAGCAGCTGGACTGAAGGAGGATCCCAGGTCAATAAGAGTCGATGCAGCACACTCAGAAGTTCAACACCAAGGAGCTAGAATAAATTAAAGTATTTTTTTAAATGTAAATTAAAAGTGAATGATTCACAGACCCCTAATTATCAGCAAAAATGGTTTCCAGTTAATCTACTGTTATTCTTAGCCATAGAATATTTTTTCTCAGTTTTAAAAAGCACAATTTCTTTGGTACACACTAATTGTGTTTCTCAGTTCACTTCTGAGAGAATCACTTTTGCATATGCCCCCACACTTTATCCTGTTATATCACTTATTTATTCTAAGTGAGTCTTTTTCACTCACCATAACCTGGGATTTTTTAAAAGAACAAAAATGGTTAAATTTAATCCCAAGAGCATGCAAACTGTGGTTTAGGAGGTTTATACTTGAGAAACACAAAGGATTGCTAGTTGGATTGTTCTTTTGTTTCTGTTTTAATGGTAAGATTTAAAAGGAGAATTTTTTTTAAAATGGGCAAGTGTGCCCATACCCAAGCCTAATGGTATTAAATGGATGTATTTGGTTGAGTTTTGCAATTTACTGTCTTTTTTTTTTAAAAAAAAATATTTTTTTTCACCTCAGCTGCTTGAAAACTAATGTAGTCTGCTGGGGAATGTGGAGATCTGATGCTGAAGGGAAAGCCTCCCATGGCCAAAGTAACCAACCACACACACAGGAGCACAAAGATGACACTGATATAACTTTGCCCAATTTATGAGTAAGTAGTGTATTTTCCCCACAAAATAATAAATAATTAAAGCCCCTGTAAACACCATAAAGCTGCTAAATGATGAAGACCCATGAAAACAAACTGTTTGAATACATCTGGGACATGGTTGTGATACTCAGAGAAGTGGCATTAGGCCCATTGAGCTCATGTGATCTGAAACATCTTCTGAATGGCTGACCATGGCGTTTATGCCACTTACTCAAGAGCAGGGGAGGGGACAACACATAATAGTTCACACTCAACTCTGTGGCTAGCAAAAATCAAAGTAATTGTAAATAAAGAGAGAGTATTTAGTCTACAGTGTTGCTACAGGACTTCCATACTACTTTCTCTATAAAGCCTTCTGTTCTACAAAAGTGTACAGTCTCTGTCAGAGATAATCATAAGGTACATCATCTGCTGTGATTTATCAGGCATTAAGGAAAAGAAAATGGGGTGATAAGTCCACTGCCATGATCTTTAGATTTACTGAATTGCTATTAAAAATTAAACATGAGTCACCAATTAAAATGGAAAAGCTTTTTACAGATCCCACTTATTCCTACACCAAATCATCACGGCAAATTAAATAGACCCTTTACCTCCAAGATATAGCAATATATTTCTGCTATGACAAATATTGAGTTTTGTTTATAAAGTTTTCCTTCTTGAATTTAGAATTCATGTCTCTCCCTAGGAGAATCTAGAAAGTTAGATATTGAACATAAAGATAGAAGAATATTTCCAGTAAAGCTGCTTTTTTGACTGCTATTATTTGTCATTGAAATTTGTTCTTTATTTAAAAATGGAACTTTTGAAAAAACATTTCTAAACTGCCTACTTTTGAAAATTAATGAAAAAAATTCTAAATGAAAAAAATGTAGCACATTTTTTGTTTTGCAAAATGTTGGAGCTTTTTTGTTATTGTTGTTTTCCTGTTTTTAACTTTACTAGGTCAGTTTTTAAAAATCATTAATGAAAATTTAAGGTAATAACCATTTTTTTTTAAATCTACAGAAAAAGAAAAAATTGGATCATTCTGAAAAACAACAAAAATATTTTGAATTTGCCTACATTTCAGTAACGTTTTTTCCTCTAGTTTTGGACCAGCTCTAATTTTCAGGGACGAGGAAGTAAACAGAATACTGATTAATCACTGAACACTTACACACACGCATCTAAAAACAGAATAAGCCTTTGAGATTCACACATCAGTAACATATTATTAGGCCTATGTACTATACCTGATCCTCTGCAATATGAATTCTAGCACAAGGGGAATCCAGTAAAGTATGCAGTGCTCGTAAACAAGACGTGACATGTTCAACAGGCTCCTCAGGCCTGGGGGAACAGAGGAATTGTATACTAACACCTGAAAAGAAACACACAAAAAAATCTCATTTCTATACCAATATGATAAGGGTTGTTTTTATAACATATTTAAGTATTTAAACGATGCGGAAGTTGGGATTGTTTGAGGATTTTTTAAAACACAAGAGTTATACTCATGTTTTATTTTTGCTATTGAGAGATATTCTTTGTATTAATGCCAAACCAGTCACTTTTTCCCAGAAAAACCAATATTGAGATAGTAAATAATCACGGTCAGTAACCTACAGATCTGTAAAGGAAACTAATTTTTGGTCATTTGCTTTTGCAAATCTGTAAATTAAAAATCTGCCACTTTTAACTGTGTTTTTAAGTTTCTTTATATTACAATATTTTAACTGGAAAAAATAAACTGCAATAGAAGAGATCTTATTTTCAGGTATAACCTAGGTACACAACACAATTCTTCAACAAACATTTGTATTATTACAAATGTTTAAAATTTAAATACTCCAATTACAGTACTTTCACATGCAATCTCTATAAAGAACTGCCACTGTTTAAAGAAAGAAAAAACAACATTTATCTTTGAACAACTAATATGTCTCTGGGTTTATTGTACAAAAGTCTCAGAGTTAATTATATGACTGTCAGTGCAACACTGTTTTACTAGTTATTTGTATAGCATAGATCAAAAACTACTAAAAGATATACATAGATAAGCAGCGTACTGCTAAGGCATATATTCCAAATTCTACAAATCTATACACCTAGACATTTCCATAGCCCTCAATACTATCGTACCTGAATGCTCACCTACTAACGGATGCTTTTCTTACAACACCCCTGTGAAGTAGGAAGTACAGTACTATCCCCAATTCCACACATGACGAACTCAGGCACAGCATAGACCAAGTGACTAGCCAATGTCACACAGGTCTTTACTGAATTATAATCTGATCAGGAGGTATAATCAGGGGTGCTGGAACAATTTTTAGGGCGGGGGGAGGCTGCTGAGAGCCACTGAATCAAACTGTAAACCCTGTATATAGTGGAAACCACTTCAAGCCAGAGGGCGCAGCAGCATCCCCAGCACCCTGGGTATAATTTAATCTAGCTCATGATTCTAAAATTATAGAAAGAACACATGTCCAGAGAACATAATTTGTGTCATCTGAAATGTAATAAATATACTTTTTGTAGACACTAATGACTTATTTTTAAACAATGTAAAAATCAGATATAAAACTAATCAGGAAGATTTCATTAAAAGGACATGGAGCAGTGTTTTTCATCGCTATAAAAATCATTTCAGAGAGATGGGTTGCCAGGTGTAAGCACTGGAATGGACATATGGTCCATTTTAAACTGGCTAGATTTCAGGATGATGGTGTCCTTTGAATGCAACCACACGGTGGTATTAAACTTTGAAATATGATATCATGAGGCTCTTACCTAAAATTAAGTGCATTCTATCTTTATTTATCTCTGGCAAAGATTTAGTGGTAGATGGTGTTCCAGGTGCCTGGTTTAACATAATGGACGAGGCACGTTTCTGTGAATTAGGCATTGCTGAAGCTGCTTCTTCTGGTGACTCAGAAGCATTAAATCCTGCACTGTTTAGCCAGAGTGCTACTGCATGTAGGATTGGAGCCCAGGAGTTCCGGTAGTGCAGTCTAGCTGTATCGATTGTCTCTGGAGTGTAAAATGCTCCACCTGTTAAATTAGCAAAGCAAATGCTAACTAGCAGAAAAAGTACACGTGTGTGTGAGAGAGAGGGCATATATTGTAAGCATACATATATAGGGTACATTTGCTGATGTAGATATTCAACTTTGATCCTTGTTACTGCTATCTGCAGCACAATTCTCCATGCCAACAGGACTAGCAGGCATCTGTATCATCTGTACCACTTCCTGTTCTTTGATCTAAAATATTTTTTGCTAGTAGATGATAAAGTGAGACTAAATTTCCTCCCTGTCCTAACTTTTTTCTATGCTGCATATGACTGAGGGAAATCCACAAAGACCTCAGAAACTGACAAAAAGAAAGACAAAGGACAAGGAGGATACGATACAATCCAAGAAATATCTGCAAAACAAAAGAAATATTAGCCACCCTAGAAACCTTAGCCATAAAAAGCCAAGTACTGGCTCTATATCTGAGTCTCTCTTTTCCTTATTTAAAGAAAAAAAAAGTTAAGATTTCTTAATTATGTCCCATTTACAGCTTTAAAAACAGCTTAAAAACAAACACCCAAAAGTCTGAAAAATCTGTTACATTTGTCACTGAATATAAACTCTCATTAATTTATAATTAATTTGCAAAGTTAGTAAAACCCAAATAAATCTTTTCAGTGGAAACTTAACCTGGTTCAGCTGTTTAAAATATTATCATACATTGTAATTCTATGGATATATTACAGCCTTCCATGGATTAGAATGCAACAATTTATTGATTTCCTCACCAGTGGCCCCAAGCTTTCTCACATTTGAACCAGTGTTGCATGTACATATCAGTATTTTTCTGAGTTGGACTGTGACCTCTTCAAAGCAGGGACCTTGTTTCTTCATGTGTTTGGTAAAATACAATATATGCCACTCAGTCTAAAAGACCCTCAATCCTGCAATCCTGCCTATACTTAACTTTAAGCACAAGTTGTCCCATTGATTTCAATTAATTTATTCACATCTGTAAAGGTAAATGTATGCAAGTGTTTGCAGGACTAGGGTATGTCTATTATTATTAAAATAATCATAATGTGATCATTTATATTATCATTCATGCATGTATTATATTATTCAATTCTCAATCATTATTTACTAATGTATTCTCATCTATTTTAATTCTCAATCATTAATATTTTCAGTGTATTTTTATGTTTTTATTATTCTAAAGTATGAACTTAGGCTAAAATTTCAAAACATGGTTGACTAAATCCATGTCTAGTTATCTAAAATAAAGTTGCCTGGTTTTCAGAAATGCTGAGCACTCACAACTCCCACAAATCAATGGAAGCAACAAATACTCAGTATCTTTGAAAAATAAGACAACTTTATTTTAGATAACTAGACACGGACTTAGGTAATCCTGGAAATGACTAATCGTGTTAAAAAAATGTGTACTTTATATTTTATATAAACTATAATCATAGAAAAGAATAGTATATATTATAAGTTATGGGGAAACTTTAGGAATTAAATATATTTCAGACTTGTTTCATTCAATTTAAAGAGTGAGCAATTTCAGAATGAATTACACTTAGAGAATCTTTGTGTATTTTACTGTTGCTATAGTGCTTTGTCGAAATTAGAATTGCAATGAATGCTAACAAAACTAGATCTGTGTCACTGAAATGCCAGAGAAAGCTATGACTAAGTTTGAAATTCAAGTTAAATATATTGGCTTTGTTTCTGAACAGAATGTACAAACTTCACTTGATTTTCTTTGGGCATGATCCTGCACTATTAAGGTCAACACCAAAGTTCCCATTAGCATCAATGGTAAAGTTACAGGACTTCAGTGAAAATGCAATGTTATGGGTGAGATAAAGTTCTATGAGTTAGTTAATCACTAACTTTACATTATTTCGTCCCATTTATAGAACAGTTGTTATAGGTAGTAGAGTTTTTAACATTTGTTCTACTCCAGTCATTTCGAAGACTAAACACGGCAACTAACACATCCTGACTCTAGAGACAAAGTCACAGGAAATATAGCACCAAAAGATATTTTCGATTGTTGAACATTTTTCTAAAGTAACTTTTCTGAAAAAACAGAGGCATAAATGAAATAAAAGATGTTTGGGATGACATACAAAACTCAGTTGTCGTTTCACCACACAGCAGTAATAGGTCATCTAAAATGCACACTGATGAAAGTTTATACCTCTACACAAAACATTTACTTCAGCCTTAGGATTTCTGTCTATACATAACGAAAAAGGTATGCATCCAAGCGTTAGAGTTATGTTAGCGTTTCTGTAAATGCAAAACATATTTGGGAAGTGAGTAATTAATAGAAGAAATTCAAAATTCCTCCAACAATTCCTTACCAAGATCTTCATTCTGTCTTTCATAATCATAAAAAAAAATGAATTGTTGTGCTTACCATCTGGTGGAAGCTGACTAGCAAATTCAGCTGGTAAAGTCAAAAGAGCATAGTCTTTCAATGCAGCTAGCCAAAGGCGACTCAGGATAGGCAGCTCAGGTTGTACAAGTGTTATCAAACTGTCTGGCGGTAGCTCATCTACAGTACCAAAATCCTCCTCATCATCATCCGTATTCTTTATTGCTCGCTTTGGTTTGGTCTCTGCTTCCTTTTTAATTTTCATAGCTACAACATACACCTATAAAAACAGATACAAAATTTTTTACTTTAAAATTCTAAAAAGAAAAAGAAAAAAGCCTTCTTTCAATTAAATGACAAATTGCACTTGTAAATGACCTTTGTTTTAGCTGTTATGGAATATCATGAATAGTTTTACATTTTTGTGACAGTATGAAAATACTTTAAAAATACCGCAAAATATCATACTAGAAAAATTTATGCTACACAACAGAGGGAAATAAAGATAGGAAAAATGAAAAAGCTATTCTGTTTTATCAGTCTATATTTCCAAGTTAAATCTGAGTGTGTTGCTAACATTCACAGCAGAGTGTAAAGCCAATCTGGCTACTCAGACTTTTAACCTGAAGAGTGTCAGTTAAGGCTCTTTTCACAGAAAATGCACAAATTTAACTTAATTTAATCTATTTAGGAATCAGTTTAGTTACATCAGTGCAACTCACTTGTAGGTTTACTCTTAAATCAGTTTAGGAAGGAATAAAATCAATTTAGTTTCATTCAGGTCACATTCTGTGTGTAGCTCAGGCCATGTGAATAAGTGTTTCTTCTTTTTTGATTGTGTACTGTTCTGTAGAGGGTCTGTAAATTGGTATCTGTGGTACCCAGCATGGAGGGCTGAGGGAAAATTTTAAAGCACTTACAGAAGGACACATATTATGCAAATAAGCAGAAAGATTGGGGGAAAAGATTTGCAATAGCAACAAAAAGCAGTGTTTTTAGAAAAGAAATATAGCAGACATAAATGTCCCCACACAACAGATGCTTTGCTTCAGATCAAAGCTGAAAATAGCTTAACACTACAGGGCTGAAGTGCTAATACTTTCCTTATTTTCTCAAAATAACTTCCAAGGAAATTAAATGCAAGAGAACTACAGTATGTTAATGCAATAGAGAAAACAAAGACCTGCTTGTGCTCAGCTTCTTCAAAACACTATTCACTAAAGTAACACTTTATAAAACAATGCACAATGGCATATATAGCCAAGTTCACACAAAGTAGTCTCTTTAATCAGTACTTTTATTCTTGCATTATAAAATGTATAGTGCAAATGGTTTCAGAAAAGCTTTAGTAAGACCTGGACCCATCTGTGTTCCATTTGGCACACCATATTCAGGGTCCTCTGTAATAGCTTTCACGTCACACATGCTCATTAAATACACCCACATTTAAAAGGTTATTCACAATACAGTAGTTCCAGCCAACAAAAAGAGCACCCTCACCATTAAAAATACAGATTAAAACGATAAATGAAACCAGAACATTTTTACAACATTTCATCATTTAGAGTGTCTTGCAGCACAGTATTTACATTTTAAAAATATTTTCTGTCCAATAATTTCTTATGCTCACTATCTCATCTGACTCCTATATTAACTGCTGGCCTGATTTTCAGAGGTACTAGACTCCCACTGCTCCTATTAACTTCAGTCATATTTGTGGGAGCTCAGCCCTTCTGAAAATGAGGCAATTTTTCTACTACTTCTTCAAACTACTCACACTGCTAGAATGACAGTTCATGCTTGGCCAAACATTCAGATAGTTTCTCTTTCGAGTACCTTTTAATTTAACCCACATGGACATCCTAATTAATTACCATACACAATGTTATTTGTGAAATCCATCATTTTTAGATACTTGTATGTTCCTTGGTATCTTACATTCCCAAACAATGACTTCAGTAGCCCTGTAGTTTATTATTCCCTATTTGGGGAATTCCTGTCTAATTAGTAGGACCCTACCAAATTCATGGTCCATCTTGGTGAATTTCATGGTCACAGGATTTTAAAAATCATAAATTTAATGATTTCAGCGATTTAAATCTGAAATTTCCCGCTATTGTGATTGTAGGGGGCCTGACCCAAAAAGGAGTTGTGGGGTGGTCACAAGGTTACTGTAGAGGGGCTTTGCAGTACTGCTACCCTTACTTCTGTGCTGCTGCTGGGGTCAGTGCTGCCTTCAAAGTCGGGCAGCTGGAGAGTGGCGGCTGCTGGCTGAGGATCCCAGCTCTGAAGGCAGCGCCACCGCCAGCAAGCAGCACAGAAATGAGGATGACGTAGCATTGTATTGTCACCCTTACTTCTGCGCTGCTGCCTGCAGAGATGGGCCCTTAGTCAGCAGCTGCCACTCTCTGGCCGCCCAGCTCTGAAAGCAGCAGCACAGAAGTAAGGATGGCATGATATGGTATTGCCTTCCTTACTTCTGGACTGCTGCTGGCAAGGCACTGCCTTCAGAGCTGGGTACCCGGTCAACGGCTGCCGCCCTCTAGCCACTCAGCTCCAAAGGCAGAACAGAAGTAAGGATGGCCATACCATGACCTCCCCAAAATAACCTTGCAACCCCCCTGCAACTCCCTTTTGGGTCAGGACCCCCAATTTGAGAAATGCTGGTCTCCCCCATGAAATCTGTACAGTATAGGATAAAAGCACACAAAAGGCCAGATGTTACCAGGGGGACGGAGGGGGGACCAGATTTCATGGTCCATGATGCTTTTTTTCATGGCCTTGAATTTGGTAGGGCCCTACTAATTAGCTATGCTTTGATTTAACCAGCTCATCCTTGAATTTTGTTTTTAAATGAACAGGCAAGGACATGGGAAGGAAATCAACATCTGACAGAGTCTGGAAATTCTCAGGGGGCGTGGGTATGCACAATGGGTGGGATGGAGGAAAGGTGGAGCTGTGGACAGAGTTAGACAGAGAGAAGATGAAGCACTGCAGAGACAGGCATGGAGAACCAAAAGCCTGGAGAGGGTGGGAGGAAGTCAGAGTAGCTGGAAAAGATAGAAGCTTTGGGGCTGGCTGGCCGGCCAGCTGGCTAAAAGGATGAGAAGTTGCAGCTGTGCTACAGTAACTAATCTGAGGTATAAGGTAAATATAAATGCTGAATGTTTACCTCAGCCCAGGCTTTCAGGACTGCCAGTTTTTCCATAGTCGTGGCACTCTCTCGGTAAAGCTGACTGGAAGACCCCTTTCCTGCTTGCACTTTGTCCAGGGAGGAGACAAGGAGATTGTGAACTCGACGAAGATCATTCAGGTCACTTACAACCTCACTTCCTATCCATGTGCTACATACCTAAGCAAGAAAATTTAAAATCATTCTCAAAGATTTTTTTGGAAGGAATCATGCACAATGATACCTGCTCAAGCAAGCACAGATTTTTTATGCAAAGTTAAAATCTTTCTGTAACATCCTAATAGCCCCCTTTGACAAACAACAGTCTAGCTAAGTTCTTCCTTTTCATGATACTCTAGACGGGCTTAAATCAGTAGTTACAAGCATAAAGATGGTGTTTGCAGAGCTGATGGCATCTGCAATATATATTGTAGATACCTGTAAAATATGCCATGTAATATTAAGCAGAGATGTTTGTGTTTATTTATGAACCACAGTAACTAGCATAAACAATAATATTTTTACTCTGTTCTTGAGTATGTCAGCCTAATCATGCAAAATACAATTTTTTTCATCACATTTGTTTTGAATTGTGTACTGGATACTAGCCCTTTTAAAAGTAACCTATAAACAACTTTTTTTTTTAAATCTAGCAATTGTAAAATGACGTACTAAATGTCCCCCAAATCAAAGATTTCCAGTGGGGATAATGTCTGTGACAAGCCTTGTGACAATTACTAGCTTTGTATTGAGCTGAATAATGCACCTTCCCCCAACTCCTTTCATGGAGAGAAGAGCTGTGAAGGGGGGGGGGGGGGGAGTATTTTCCAGTATTACTGCATACTGATAAGATGACAATGGGAGACAGATTCTCTCTTTATGACACCCAATGCCACCTAGGAGATGGGAAAGCAATTGTAAAATGACGTACTAAATGTCCCCCAAAACACCAGAATAAGATGGGCTTTAAAGCACACTAACAACTTCTTTCCTGTTTCAAGTTATTTTTTAAAACGGTCCAATTATCCATATCTTAGCATGTCTGTAAAAGTTTTTTTCCCAAAACCATGTCCTATAAAAATCAATAAAACATTTTTTGGGACTATGAGTGTTTGGGTTTTTTTTAAAAAAACTTAAACAGATCCTTAAGATTTAGACATCATGCAGACCACCTGTTCAGCACTATGCCCCAGCAATCATCCTCTTAAATACAATCACACTTTCGAAGCTGTAACACCACAGAAAGAAGCCCATTTATAGGGGTTCCGTAAAGTTAAAGATTTCCAGTGGGGATAATGTCTGTGACAAGCCTTGTGACAATTACTAGCTTTGTATTGAGCTGAATAATGCACCTTCCCCCAACTCCTTTCATGGAGAGAAGAGCTGTGAACGGGGGGGGGGGGGGAGGGGGGTGTGTATTTTCCAGTATTACCGCATACTGATAAGATGACAATGGGAGACAGATTCTCTCTTTATGACACCCAATGCCACCTAGGAGATGGGAAAGCACCTTTATTACTGAGTCAAAAGGCACCTAAATTCCTCCTCTGTCCAACATCATCTTCACTTCAACAGGTCCCCCAGACAAGTTGAAGGGAACAGATGTCATTATCCTTCTTCCCAAGTAATGGAATCTTCCATTCCTCTGCAAGGGCCATGTTAGAGGTATAAAAATTACACTGTATGTCATCTATAGGAGGTGACAGCAGAATATTCACACATATATGAACATGAGTGGTAGGCACAGTAGAATCTTAACCCACTCCATCGTAAGCAGCGGTAGCAGATTCCCCCCACACATGGAGGGAAGGCAGTGGAAGAATTTTGTGCATCTCCTTCCCTCAATATGGGCAGGTTACAACATTTCCCCTGGACAACGGCAATTCTTTGATCCCAGTGGAACTGTTGGGCAGGGAAGGGGGCAGATTCATGGGGCTCAAGTTTAAAAAAACGTGTCTCTCTCTCTCTTAGCTTTCTGATGCAGCTGGTCAAAAAAAAAAAAAAAGAAGAAGAAGAAGAAGAAAACATTCTCCACACAAAAAAATTGTCAGTTTATTTTCTGTGTTTCTTTTAAGTTTTCCAAACCAGCTATACTTGCTGGTCAAATTCTAGGGTGGCACTGGGGCACCATTGCCTCAAATTATTTGATCAGATTAAAGATACCTATTTCTCAACATATCTGTTAGCCTCACAACAACCAAAACAAAGAGCACTATATGCAAGTCCCATTTTCAATTATGGTTAGTAGCAGTGTATTGTCGAAGTGCCTACTAGCCCTAGTACTGGACCAGGACCCTTCATTTAAAAACAGATATCAATAAAGTTATAAACCAGTATTTATATGTAGCTATTTACCACTGGTTGCAGAAAAGCAATACAAAAAGATTTCTTAACGTAATGCCCCAAAGGATTTCTGCACTACTGAACAACAAAATATATTACCTGGAGCCTCTATCAGTGCTCCTAATAAATAAAGTTTCACAAAAAGAAAAGGAGTACTTATGGCACCTTAGAGACTAACCAATTTATTTGAGCATAAGCTTTCGTGAGCTACAGCTCACTTCATCGGACACCATCATAGGGCCTAATAACATCAGCCACACTATCAGAGGCTCGTTCACCTGCACATCCACCAATGTGATATATGCCATCATGTGCCAGCAATGCCCCTCTGCCATGTACATTGGTCAAACTGGACAGTCTCTACGTAAAAGAATAAATGGACACAAATCAGATGTCAAGAATTATAACTTTCATAAACCAGTCAGAGAACACTTCAATCTCTCTGGTCACGCGATTACAGACATGAAAGTTGCAATTCTTCATCAAAAAAACTTCAAATCCAGACTCCAGAGAGAAACTGTTGAATTGGAATTCATTTGCAAATTGGATATAATTAACTTAGGCTTGAATAGAGACTGGGAGTGGCTAAGTCATTATGCAAGGTAACCTATTTCCCCTTGTTCTTTCCTGACCCCCTCCCCCCGACGTTCTTGTTAAACCCTGGATTTGTGCTGGAAATGGCCCAACTTGATTATCATACACATTGTAAGGAGAGTGGTCACTTTAGATAAGCTATTGCCAGCAGGAGAGTGGGGTGGGGGGAGGTATTTTTTCATGCTTTGTGTGTATAAAAGATCTTCTACACTTTCCACAGTATGCATCCGATGAAGTGAGCTCTAGCTCACGAAAGCTTATGCTCAAATAAATTGGTTAGTCGCTAAGGTGCCACAAGTACTCCTTTTCTTTTTGCGAATACAGACTAACATGGCTGTTACTCTGAAACCTGTCATGATAAGTTTCCAAATTTTCCAGTACTGGGGATATCTACTACTATTTTTCTTTTCTCACTCTTTTCCTAAAAACAAGAAAAGAAATCACTTACACATACACTTTTGAAATATGTCAAGTTTTTACTACAGAGTCTTAATATTTTTCTCTGTACCTGGCAGGCTTTTGCTGTTATGTCAGAAGGGGTATCTTGGGAAAAAGCTGGTCTTAGAGCAGCTCCAACCTACGTAAAAAGAAAAAAAAAAAGGATTAAATGAGGCTTACAAACACACACAAAATGTATAGAGCATAACAGAGCGCTGGATTTGGCATCAAAACTCCATCAACAGTTATCCTTATTTTATGCTGCCTATAGAAATTTGTAATACTATGCCTTTAAAAAAATAACAACCTTTGTACTGCACCTTTCACCCATTCCTCCTTACAAGGAGCATCTCCTTTTTGAACCACATTTATCTTTGTCACATACAAACATAGTGTCCTCTCATATTACTGAGAACCATTCACATCAGAAATGTTGAATCATGAAATTGCTATTATAGGCCTTGTTGATTATCATGGAGATATTCCCATAACAGCTACAGCTATCTGCCCTATTACTATTTTCATTGTCTTTCTGTAGATGCACTTAAAAACGTCTACCATTTGAAAGGCTTTACCAGTGCTATTGGTATTCCTCATTTTAACTCTAATTATCTGTCAAACCAATAGGATCTTTCAAAATAGAAAATAACTTAAGTGCAACCACTGTAGATTCTTTATTCATAGTTTAAACAGGTCCCTGGTAGTGTGGAGCTTACAGCCTATACTTGGTCAACTACTGCTGCTTCTAAGGTTCTGGGGATACCAACACTACACATAAGGATTGGTGGAACCCGTTGAGAGGGGTTCGGTCACAGAGACCCCCTTGGGACTGTCACCCAACATGCTGAAATTACCTCTCAGCCCATTTTCCCTGCCAGCTTGCGACTCCAGAACCCTGCCTTGTTGAGCCAGACACGCTAGCCTGCTGCAACACAGACCCAGGGTCTGGTCCATGTCCCCAAAGCTGCAGACTTAACTGAAAACAGCTCAGCAGGTTACCTGTCTCCAGCACCAAGATACCCAGTTCCCAATGGGATCCAAACCCCAAATAAATCCGTTTTACTCTGTATAAAGCTTATACAGGGTAAATCCATAAATTGTTCACTCTCTATAACACTGATAGCTGTGCATATCTCTCTGTTTGCTCCCCCAGGTATTAATCACTTACTCTGGGTTTATTAACAAACAAAAGTGATTTTATTAAGTACAAAAAGTAGGATTTAAGTGGTTCCAAGTGAAACCAGACAGAACAAAGTAAGTCACCAAGCAAAATAAAGCAAAAACACGCCAGTCTAAGCCTAATACAATAAGAAACTGATTACAGGTAAAAATCTCACCCTCAGATATGTTTTAATAAGCTTCTTTCACAGACTAGACTCCTTCCTAGTCTGGGCCCAATCCTTTCCCCTGGTACAGTCTTTGTTAGATCCTGCAGACATTTCAGGTGGTAAGCAGGGGTTTTCTTGTGACTGGCCCCTTTTGTCCACCCCCTTTTACAGCTGTGGCACAAGGCAGGAATATTTTGTCTCTAGGTCCCCATCCCTCCTTCTAAATTGAAAAGTACCAGATTTATGGATAAGATGGATTCCAGTATGATGTGACATGTTCACATGTCCTGTGAGACCCCAGCCTCCACTCTTCCTGGGCTTGCCCACACATACACAGGAAGGTTTGCAAGTAAACAGAGCCATTTACAGTTCATTGATTCTGAAGCTCCCTTAATGGCCTCCACTTAATATGTTTATATCAGTAATACAAGTTTATATCTTATTCTCCTAACTCCAGACATAGAAATAATACATGCAAACAAATAGGATGAACACACTCAGTAGATTATAAGCTTTGTAATGATACCTTACAAGAGACCTTTTGCATAAAGCACATTTTAGTTACATCATATTCACATTCATAAGCATATTTTCATAAAGCATATGGAGTGCAACATCACACCCGTAGCCTCAGACAGCTGAGCCCAGCAGTTAAGGGCAGAGTTAGCCTGAAGCTGGGAGATACTCTGAATAAAGTCAGTGTTCCAAAAGAAGTGATGCCTTGGTTGGGCAAGTTTGATACTAAAAAGTTTCAAAGGGCTTCACTGAAATAACCTAACATGCCGTCTGAAACAGTGCCGAGGCTGTGGTAGTATCTCCCCACAATTTGGATACACTGCTGCAGAGCCCTGCATTGCCCCAGAGACACGGACAATCTCTATGCCCTGCATGAAGTCTCAACTCATGTTTCCTCAAGACAGTCTAAACCACGGTATACATCTGATGAAGTGAGCTGTAGCTCACGAAAGCTCATGCTCAAATAAATTGGTTAGTCTCTAAGGTGCCACAAGTACTCCTTTTCTTTTTGCGAATACAGACTAACACGGCTGTTCCTCTAAACCCTTTGAGATTTTCATGGCTGGATTTGCACTGAACTGACAGTAATTGTGGGGAGGACCAGCAGATTTTCAGGCATTTTTTCTGGGACTGGATCCGTGAGCAAATCTCACAGGCTGAGACAATCAGGGGTCTTTCTCAGGCACAGCATGAATTGTGCAGTCTATTAGGGACATTATTCAACTGAATTCTGAACATTTATAGTCACTGAGACACTTCTCTGTTTTGAGAAGGAAAGGCAGAGAAAACAGAACACACGCACAAAAAATACAGCACAAGCCATCTCAGAGTTTGATGTGCCAGAGAACTACTTGGGGCATAGCGAGCAGATCGAGGGACGTGATCGTTCCCCTCTATTCGACATTGGTGAGGCCTCATCTGGAGTACTGTGTCCAGTTTTGGGCCCCACACTTCAAGAAGGATGTGGATAAATTGGAGAGAGTCCAGCGAAGGGCAACCAAAATGATTAGGGGTCTGGAACACATGACTTATGAGGAGAGGCTGAGGGAGCTGGGATTGTTTAGCCTGCAGAAGAGAAGAATGAGGGGGGATTTGATAGCTGCTTTCAACTACCTGAAAGGGGGTTCCAAAGAGGATGGCTCTAGACTGTTCTCAATGGTAGCAGATGACAGAACGAGGAGTAATGGTCTCAAGTTGCAGTGGGGGAGGTTTAGATTGGATATTAGGAAAAACTTTTTCACTAAGAGGGTGGTGAAACACTGGAATGCGTTACCTAGGGAGGTGGTAGAATCTCCTTCCTTAGAGGTTTTTAAGGTCAGGCTTGACAAAGCCCTGGCTGGGATGATTTAACTGGGATTTGGTCCTGCTTCGAGCAGGGGGTTGGACTAGATGACCTTCTGGGGTCCCTTCCAACCCTTATATTCTATGATTCTATGATTCTACTTTGACTAGTAATGTAGACTCGGAGGTTGAGAGTGAAAACAATGGTCTCAGTGGAATGGGAGAAGATGGATATAAAATACAGGATACATCAATATGGAGGCAGAACTTAAGCCAGAGCATAGTAGGTGTTCTGAATGCTGGAGAAGGACAAGTGGACTCAAAGCTCTGGATGCACTGACAACTCAGCACTATCCTCAGGAAGAAAGGTTCCATGGAGCACAAAAACATCCCAATCAGGAATGGAAGAAGGAGATGCAAAGACTTAAAAGAATTAATTACACTCCATTCTGGCAGGAGCTGGTGTATCACAACTGAATTTTGTTTTCTTTTTAAAGGAGCAGAGCAATGAATACCAACAATGGAGCACTTGCAAAAAGTTATGGGGAAAAAGCTAAGTAATAAAGCATCATGAGATTCTGGATGCTCCACAGCTGAAGAGCTGGTTGAAATCCCAATGAAAGAGACCACTAGAGCAGGGAGGATAACTAATCAGCTCAGAGGTGTGGTATGTAATTGACCAGCTGGAATCAACATACCTTAGAACTCTGAGACAAGTATTGTCAGAGAGCAATTCCTTGTATTTGGGCATGAGCAGGTCTCTGGTGATCTTTGTGATAGCAGTTTCACTGGAGTGAAGAAAGCAGAAGGCAGGTGGAAATGGATTAAGCAAGGGGTGGGGAGAGAGACAAAGAAGTCAAAACAAACAGCCCTATTGGGGAGATTCTAGGTACATGAAATGAGAGGGTAGGTGAAAAGCTATCCAGAGCAAATGGAAGGGTTCTTCAGGATAGGGCAAGCAATGTGGGAAATCAGTCAGAGATCAGAGAGGTGTTGAAGATAGGTTGGTGTTGAGAGAGAGACAGCACGCAAGCCCAAAAAAGAACCTGAGGCAAGAGGGACTGGGTCTATGGGACAGGAGTAGGGGTTATAGGCAGACAGAAAGACGGAGAGCTCTAAGTCAAAGACTGGAGTGAAGAAGAACAGAGTTGAAGAGGAGAGTTGATAAATCCCTGACAGATAGCGTCAACCCTGTCTTTCAAAGTATTTGACAAGAGCCCAAGCAGAACAGAATAGAGAAAGGGTTCTCAAACTGGGGATCACAAGGTGGTTAAATGGGGGTCATGGGCTGATAGCCCCAAGTCTGGCTATGCATGGGGGGACTGTCAGCCCTGAGCCCCCATTCAATTTAAATTAAATTTAAAAACTCTGATTTTAATTTATAAGGACTGGGGTCACACTCAGAGGCTTGCTGTGTGAAAGGGGTCACCAACACAAAAAGTCTGAGAACCACTGGAATAGAGGAAGAATGAAGGGGTGAACAGGACAGAGGAGAAAGTCAAAAGTGCAGAAGAGCTGCTGAGTGAAGCACACATGGAACCTATTCAGGGAGCACAAAGCAAAGCCAAATGTACAGTGGTTGAAACCAGCATAGTCATGAGACTTCCACTACAGTTCCTCCAGTTCCTGTTGGAGCTGTGCTGTCAGGTGGGAAGAAGACAGCAGAGACCCCTGCCTCAACAGTTAGCCTTCTCCTACAACAGATATCCCAGGAATTACAGAATTAGGAATATGCACTGCCTCTCTACTTCTCTCATCAGATAATCCCTCCCATTCGAAGAGACAATTCTATATAAATTAGAATCGAGTGTTCTGTCACTTCTAATTCCCTTCCCATAGGTTCTTCCACCAAAGGGGATTAAATGGACCAGTGAATTATCTTAGACCATAACTAAAACTTCTTATGTAGTTTATATGCCACATTTAAGTTTAATTATAAATTGGAGATTTTATATTCCAGATTTTGTACATATCAGCAAAATATGCACACAGCCAACATTGGTAGACTAAGTAGGGCTCAGTTTTATACCTTATGCCATAAGATTGTGAAATCAAAAACATAATAACTTCAAAAGTTAAGGTCTCCAAAACAACATGAAATCAGTCATGCAGCAAATGGTATTCTTTTAACAAAATAAAACCATAAAGGCAGGAATCAGAATAACTGCATACTTTGCACATACATAGCTCCCTATAACTAAAGATCGCAAACTGCTTTATAAAAACATTAAATAACCAAAAGGGGCAAAATGAGTTTGAATCAATTTTTCTCATTTTATAGTTACTCATCACTGTTCTAAAGAATATTTCTCTCCTCTGTTGCTGTGTGAAAGACCCCCACAAAAACTGTGGAAGCTCACCGACTGAAATCCGGATCCGGCAAACATTTACATATGTGCTTAAATTTTGCACTAAAGTCAATGAGACAATGTGTGTGTAAATATTTGCAGGATCAGGACCAACAGCAAAATTGACTATACATGCAAAGTGTCATCAAATGCACAAAGTAAACAAACAGAAAAAACTGAGGAAAAAAATAATCTCTTCCAGTTATAGTAATTTTAGGGGTAACCCACTATTCTCACAACTAAGTAATTCTGACCAAAAACGATTTTTAAATTGGCTATCTCCTTTAACTCTCACAACACTCCTTTGAAGTAGGGGTTCAATATCATTCCCATTTTAAGAATGAAGAAATTGAGGCACAGGGTTTGAGGGACTTAACCAACCTCACACAACAAGTCAGTGGTATCCAGGAATAATAAACTCAGATCCCAGCTTCCATTCCTGTGCTTTCACAGATTTCTGGCCTAATTTACAGAACAGGGGCGCATTCATTAATCCCTGAGAAAAATAGATTTATTAGGTTCAATCTGGAATGGAATCAAAGTGCTCTTTTCAAATTTCTAATTCTGCCAGAGAAATGGCCATTATGGTTGCCAAAATACAAATGTTCACCCTAATATTTAGATTTCAAGGATCAGTGGCAATTGATTTTTTGGAACTTTTGCCAGTTACTAAATTATAATAAATAGGTAGAGGAGATACAGAAATAATTTTGAAGGGGTAAATAAATTGGTGTCTGCAGTACATTCTCACACACACAAAGTTCCTTCACAAGTCATTTAAAACTACAAACTGTTCTCAAAACTGACACTGGCATATTGACAGAAAAATATACAGTTTCCTAAACATATAAAGAAGGACTCACATTAGCCTGATACTGCTCCAGTATCACATGACCTGGAAACTCTGGCTCAGGAACTGATGCAAATTTCTTGATAATGTCTTCAAGTGCCTGGAGACCAGCCATCCGCAGCTGGTTGCTGTGATCAGTTGCAGCCATGAATGCCATACGGATGAGGTCGGAGAGATGGAGCACTAAAAGATCATCTGAAAATAAAAATAATAAAGTCATCAACTAAGTTAAAGATATCCAACTGATGTCCATATCAACACACCTTAGAACTCTGAGACACTTGTAACTATTCACAAATTTCTAACAGGGAGAGTATGTTATAATATGCAAATTTCGCCCAATCTTGAAAAAAGAATTAGTTGCGTATGTTGAAAAAAATTTAATTGAATATACTTTTTTTAATTATTAATATAAATGATCACTTCAGATTTCTGAAATGCCTGTTGTGAAAAACTAAGTGTTATGAATTTGAATCAAAGTAAAAGGAAAGGTCATGAGAAAAAATTGCTCTGAATGTTAAAATACTTTATGTCCGCTTTGAGAACATTTTGCAAAAACAGATTTAATGACTTGTTCCTCATGTTGACAGAAAACCTTGAATGCAATTGCTGTTACAGTCCTATGCCTACAGTGACCCCTGCTGATAAAGGAAGATCTGATCAATTCTAAAACTCAGGTACTGTAGCCAGCCACTGAGTAATTGCAGGTAATATTAATATTTATTTGGGTGCAAATGGGGTTATGTCCTCACTTCTTTGGGACGAACAGCTGGATCCAGACCCTGGGTGAAAGAAAAATGTGTGATGACAGCAAGGGGTAGAGGAAAATAACCCAGAAATCAGTAACATTTCTGTGGAAACTTTCTTCATTTGTTTCTCTTAACATCCTAATCTTAGGTTTTAATGCCAGATATTGTAAGTAATAATTTTTTAAAAATGAATTTCCTTAATTTATTAAAATGTGATAATGAAAAGGACTAATAAAAATCAACAGAAAAGTAGTAAACCCTACAGATGTTATTTTCAAGTCTCTAGATTTTAAAAGAGTTTGTAACTGGTTATGCGAGAACATCTGTGAAGAATATAATGTGGGGAAACAGCACACGACTACTGAAATATGGCTGACTCTCTCATGTTTACCATATAATTATGAAATAAATCAACTGGAATATAAATACTGTACTTACATTTATAGAGCATAGTACACAGAGCAGTATAAACAACTCATTGGCTGTATGCAATTTTAGTTTGTACTGACTTTGCTAGTGTATTTTATGTAGCCTGTTGTAAAACTCGGCAAATATCTAGATGAGTTGATGTATCCCCTGGAAGACTTCTGCGTTCATGTGCCCGTGGTTGAAAACACTGTGTTAGAGTGTAATGAGAATTATTTATTGAGGTGTGGGGGTCTGTCAGGGAAACTGGTCAATGCGATATGTGGTGATGAAGACATGCTAAAGGAGTATACCTTAACTGGACATTTCTCTGCTTTTAATAGTTTGCATGGATAGCTGCTCCCCTTACTCAGGCTTACCTGTTCTTTAACAAAGTTTTCTTTTTGTGGGTATCTTATACCCTTAATATATCTCTTTACAGCTAAGTTTAAACAAAAACACATGCAAATGCTTTAATTACTTTTAGGGTTTCTGAGTTTGGCTGAACGGGCCATGGCCAGATCAAAGTGAGCCTTATTCGCATTCTCACACAGCATGATAATTCGACACAGGCAATCGGCAGCAAATACACGAGTGGCCCAGCGAGGAGCCACAGAAGGCTTCGATTTATCCTCTTCACCCAGAGTAGTAAACATTGTGTCATCATCCATCTCATCTTTCTTCTCCAATTCTTCATCCTTTCCTCCTCCCAAAGGAGCTGCAGTGCTCATGTCTACATCAGAGACACAAAGTCATAAAATTTAGCAATTCCACTGTTAGTAGTAATTTTCAGAAACAATTTACAATGTGAAGTTGTCAACTCTTACAATCCATTCAAAATTAAAATGGAGACTAACTTTTCTATAGGAATTATGGCATTTGAAAATGGAGAAGGGCACAGTAAAGGAATATTAGTAAGTAAAGATGTTTTTTCCCTTCAGCATACTAAAAGTATCCTTCATCTTTTTGAAAGATAAGAAAATGACATTCCTAAAACTCTAGCTCTCTGAAGGTATCTATTACAAAAAATCCCCACTTCCGGGTCCTGTAGCTTAGAAATTTAAACTGTTAAACTGTCAATGCAGAGGATACGGCTGTTACCCATGCTTGAACTCTCATTCCCTTGTAGTAAAAGATAAAATGCATATTAAATGAAAACAAAATGAAAGGCCAATATTGTGGGAAAGGCAAGTGGGCAATTTATTCTAGCACCACACACAAACATGTTTGAGAACAAGCATTACAGGTACTGAAAATAATTTTATTTTCTCCAAATTTGACTACTGTAATAGATTCCCAGTTCAGGATATGAACAAAATGTCAGGGATCTCAACAAAAAGACTATTAGCTAGAAACTGATATGGAAAACCTCAGTATAATTTTGATGCTCTGAGAACTGGACAAGGGATTGATTACACGAAAGCTACCACAGCAACAAGAAGAAACTTATCAGAGGGATAAGCTATCTCAACTGAAAAAAGAAAAGGAGTACTTGTGGCACCTTAGAGACTAACAAATTTATTTGAGCATAAGCTTTCGTGAGCTACAGCTCACTTCATCGAAAGCTTATGCTCAAATAAATTTATTAGTCTTTAAGGTGCCACAAGTACTCCTTTTCTTTTTGCGAATATAGACTAACACGGCTGCTACTCTGAAACCTATCTCAACTGAGTCACCCCATTCCTAAAAAATAATACACTTAGGCTGCAGAAGAGTTGTGGCATTTTAGGGTGAGAAAGGTTGTGCAACCTTTGCAAAAGCATGCCAGAAAACACATGTGGCTGACCTGAAAATTGGCTTTGCACGTGCCAATACATCTCAGATCAAAGACACCCCAAAATAAATTTGAAGTTACTGGCTTACTGAAGAGCAGCAGTGAGAAATGCATTTAAACATGGTTCTCCAGGAAACTATTTGGCCTACTGTACAACTGTCAATTAAAAGAAAAAGCTGAATGCATATTTTACGGATTTTAGAATCTACTCAAAATAAAATGAAAGAGGACCTTTTAACATCAAATATTAAATAAAGTGCCACTACATTAGGGATGTGGGAGTGGGGAAAATGTTAGAAGGATAACTAATTTGTAAGTAGAAATCCGATAACACCTTTGGAAGGGCTCTCGTTTGAACCCATAGCTCCACATTGTATTTATATAAAATAGTGCATGGGAGAAGAGTAGAGAGACTGATTCACACCTGCTTTGCAAGGTGAAGTCAGGAATAAAATCGTCCAGAAAGGAATTTTGAGTGAACGAGTAGAACAAAAGGAGGTTTAATCAATGGTGTAAACACCACGTTAATAACTCTCAGCACCTCATAATGGGAAGTTTTAGATGCACGTAACACTTCCTTCTGCATAAACCAGAAGGCTAATGGCTGAACAGAAACTTGTGTGCATTCAGCATGTTAGTGGAAAGTTAAAACAGTAGTCATATGGACTTTGTACGATAAAGTCTATAGTCCAGACTGAGGGCATGTCTATGCCAGACACGTAAATCGACCTATGTTAGGTCAACTTAAAACCAGGTGGTTCATGCCCACACTACCTTCCTTCTGTCAGAGGTGCACATCCTCACCAGGAGCGCTTCCACCAACTTAAGAGGAGCAGAGTTGGGGGCTGAGAGCTTGAGCTCTCAGCTCCACATGCATCTCCCTGCTGGGAGCTTGGAGGCTGCCCCATTTCTCCTGGATCCCCACCAGGAGCCCAGGAGCTACCAGGACTCCAGGTGCGGAGCTCCCAGTTGGGAGCCCAGCTGTGGTAGGGAGCGGAGAGCCTAGAGGGGCAGCCAGGTTCCTGGTGGTGGGGAGCAGAGAGTTGGGGGGGCAGCTAGGCTTCCAGCAGCGGGGAGTGGGGAGCAGAGGGCGGGGGGGCAGGAGCCGGGCTCCTGGCGGCTGGGAGCTAGGAGCCTCCAAGCAGTACCAGGGCTCCCCGCAAGAATCAGGGATCTGGGAACCTCTGGGTAGCAGCACAGCAGGCAGTAGAGAGCCCAGGCAGCAGCTGGGCTGGGAGCCAGGAGGCAACCAGGGTCTGAGAGGGGCAGGCACAGCCTGACTGGGAGCAGGGAACCTGGGGGACAGCCAGACTTTAGCTGGAGCCCCCTACCTGCTCCGGTGACAACCTGGCTTTCTTGTCAATTTCACAGCTCCAGCATGCCAATGGCATTTTGGGATGTATAAGTAGGGGCACTGCCAGCAGATCGAGGGATGTGATCATTCCCCTCTATTCAACATTGGTGAGGCCTCATCTGGAGTACTGTGTCCAGTTTTGGGCCCCACACTACAAGAAGGAAGCGGAAAAATTGAAAAACGTCCAACGGAGGGCAACAAAAATGATTAGGAGACTGGAACACATGACTTATGAGGAGAGGCTGAGGGAACTGGAATTGTTTAGTCTGCGGAAGCGAAGAATGAGGGGGGATTTAACAGCTGCTTTCAACTACCTGAAAGGGGGTTCCAAAGAGGATGGATCTAGACTGTTCTCAGTGGTAGCAGATGACAGAACAAGGAGTAATGGTCTCAAGTTGCAGTGGGGGAGGTTTAGGTTGGATATTAGGAAAAACTTTTTCACTAGGAGGGTGGTGAAACACTGGAATGGGTTACCTAGGGAGGTGGTAGAATCTCCTTCCTTAGAAGTTTTTAAGGTCAGGCTTAAAGCCCGGGCTGGGATGATTTAGCTGGGGATTGGTCCTGCTTTGAGCAGGGGGTTGGACTAGATGGCCTCCTGAGGTCCCTTCCAACCCTGATATTCTATGATTCCTTAGTATTGACATTTTCTGTAACAATATCTAGGCACAGATTTTATAGCCAGCCAGATCTCATTTGTTTTGTCCCAATATATCTCAGGAAACAGTCATATCTATCTGAAAATGGCACTTTATGACTGCACTTGGAACACCCCTTAAAGCCTCTAGATTGCTTCTATGATAACCTGAACAATAAGGAAGAAAAAGAACAAAAATTTAATACAGTGAAACAGATCCTTCAGCTGATGTAAATCAGCAAAGCCCATGTATCCCAGCTGAGAATCCAACCCAGTATTATAAAATCAAAAATCAAACTAGGACTCCATGAGGTGCCAAGCTCATTCAGTCTCACAAAGTAATTCTTAAACATAAATAAAATAAATAAGATTACTAATCACTAAAAGCACACAAATTAAATTAAAAAACAAAACAAAACATGTTTCCTAACACAAATTGTGAAGTGATGTAGGTGAATGTAGTATGGGGCAGAAAGAGCAAAGCTGGAGAACTCCTTTGCTATCAGCAGTAAAGGAAGAAACTGAGGTTATATGGCCAAAGTAGCCATTACACTCTTTAGGAGAAGCATTTTAATAGTTCAGCATTATAAGATGCAGGAATCGTTACCAGTCAACTGCTAAATGCAAAGGCCAAGAAAGTGTGTTAACTACTGTAATGCTCACCCTTTAAGAACTACCTATATATACACAAAAAGAAAAGGAGTACTTGTGGCACCTTAGAGACTAACCAATTTATTTGAGCATAAGCTTTCGTGAGCTACAGCTCACTTCATCGGATGCATACTGTGGAAAGTTTAGAAGATCTTATTATATACACACAAAGCATGAAAAAATACCTCCTCCCACCCCACTCTCCTGCTGGTAATAGCTTATCTAAAGTGATCACTCTCCTTACAATAAGAAAAGGAGTACTTGTAGCACCTTAGAGACTAACCAATTTATTTGAGCATGAGCTTTCGTGAGCTACATCTGATGAAGTGAGCTGTAGCTCACGAAAGCTCATGCTCAAATAAATTGGTTAGTCTCTAAGGTGCTACAAGTACTCCTTTTCTTTTTGCGAATACAGACTAACACGGCTGTTACTCTGAAACCTCTCCTTACAATGTGTATGATAATCAAGGCCATTTCCAGCACAAATCCAGGTTTTCTCACCCCCCCCCCACACACAAAAACTCACTCTCCTGCTGGTAATAGCTTATCTAAAGTGACCACTCTCCTTACAATGTGTATGATAATCAAGATGGGCCATTAGGAGAGTGGGGTGGGAGGAGGTATTTTTTCATGCTTTGTGTGTATATAATAAGATCTTCTAATCTTTCCACAGTATACATCCGATGAAGTGAGCTGTAGCTCACGAAAGCTTATGCTCAAATAAATTGGTTAGTCTCTAAGGTGCCACAAGTACTCCTTTTCTTTTTGCGAATACAGACTAACACGGCTGTTACTCTGAAACCTATATATACACAGTACCAGATTTACTTTAAAATGTGTATGTCTGTACATAGACTATTCAAAACTGATCATGATATTTGCCATTTTCTCTTTCTGAACAAGCTAAAATATTACAATCCAAGAAACGGGTGACAAAACTGAGCATGGATTCCTATCCCACGACAACATAAAGAGCTCCAAATGAATGTTATCAAAAATAAATTAATTCTAAAGATATGTCGTCTTATTATATGAATGTTGTCAAACACTTACCACTGGAGGCTGCTAGGACATCCTTACATAGCATTAGCCAGTGTGAAAGTTTTTCCACTGCCAGGGATGAAAGCATATGTCCCAAGGTATCATGAATATCAGAACACAGCTTTCGATCGGTCTCCCGATCTAACATTCCAAAAAGAACCCCCTCGAGGCCAGTCTCTGTTATATTAACTCCTTGATGCCGACAATGAATATCCCGCCGAGAACCAACTCCTGGTGCAAAAGGGTTAATATCTGTAAAATGAGAGACCAGTTTTTCAATAAGAAACTGAATCTTATTTGTGCCTTGAAATTAGGGCAATAGCAGCATTAGAAAAGGACATTCTGCATTCACTCTTAGTTGCTCAGATCACAAACACAAAGACATTACTACAATTTGTTGTCAATAAACTCTAACATAGTTTAATATATTAAACTTTTTAGAAGTTAAATTCTATGAGATACTGAGCATTTTCCATGAAATGATAAACACTGTCAATTGCCATTAAAGTAAATGGGAGTTGAGAGCACTCAACACCTTGCAGGACATGCTCAGCATCTACCCTCATTGGATCCTGAAGAATCTCTTCTGAGTTAAGTCTTAATTGTGTCCCACAATACTAGAATGCACATGAGTCTGTGGTACAGTGGAAAAATTGTTTGTCTGATAATCCGTTGAAAGAAGGCAGATAATGTTTTTCAATGTTTTTAAAAATTTAAAGTATATAACAACCAGCAGACAATTATATACTTACTATGGAAGGCTTCTGGATATTGTACTTTTTCCTAACCATTCAAACAGGCGAGTAGGAATCATAACTCATTTGAGCAGCAGCAGCAACAGGATAAAATTATATATATAAAAATTGGGGCAACTGGGAAACCCGACTGGCTACTAAGGATGTTGCTAACAGAACAAAACTGAATATCCTACTCACAGTATACAGAATCATTATGCCCTGTGACAGGGTCTATCAGGTTTTTTCTGCTCCCTGCTACAAGCATTGGTGCCCTAATAGCCCCTATTTACCGAAAACCCACACAGACCAGGCTACCAACAAGACTTCATCCTCCAGAGGCCTAAAAGAGCAAGGAGGAGACACTAACCAATCAGGTGCTAGCACGTCAGTTAAAAAGGCTTGCCTGTGCTTCTCAGGGGTAGCGGCAGGATGAGAGAGGGCCAGAGAAGTGCTAACCCAGAACCCGAAGGCCAGGTCAGGGTCTTGTCCTCAAGCACTGCAATTAAGAGCTTGCCTTTGGAGTTGTGTTTGTTTAAAGGCGCAGACGGACAGATTCTGAGGTTATTTTTATTCAGCTGTTTTAGACTGACCTTAAGTTTATAGCACAGGCCACTTGGCTCTGAGCAGGTGGCAGTAATCTGTGGACTAAGGCAGGGAGCACCTGCAATGCCATTCTTGGCCCCGTGAGAAGCCCCTCCCCCGCCCCCTCCGTGCCATGCCCATTTTCAAAACCAGCAAAATTAAGGGAGAAGAACAATCAGTAAGAGAGAGGAACTATTTATTGGGGGGAAATTCCATTTCTAATTTGTTCTTCATATTTAAGAGGCCAGGGCTACTGTCTTTACTTTTAGCTGGAAATATGGAAATGGCAAGAAACTTCAAAGGAGGTTGGGTTTTGTTTTTGTCTTAAAAAACTCACACACTATATTAGAAAAGGTAACACTTACTGATGCCACTATTCTCTTTGTCACCAGCATTTTTCGCTAAGCTCATGGCGTATTCACACACTTCTGCTGCTTCCCTCTGTGCAAGTTGCCGCAAACATGCCACTGCAGCCCGACGGAGCAATAAGTGAGAACTGCACAAGTGAACCTGCAATCAGAGCCATTGTAAACTGGTAAATTGCTGTGTCTTTATTTAACTGAATCAAAACTGTTAGTGATTAATAACAGCCTCTCACTCAGCTAAATCAAGTGTAGGTCATGTAAACAGTTACAAAGTAGTGTTGCACTTGCACAGAAAGTCAGAATGCAAGAAGCCATTCGGCTGAAAACATTAATTAAAATGGATAAGTCTCTTAACTTACTGAAGGGCGTGCAGCTAACTAAACCTAAACACGATCACATCCTTTGGAAACGAACCTCTGCCTATCAGACACACGTAAGAGAACTACCTGTATCCGCTCACTGCATTTGCACACAGATCTTGAACATCTTTCTCCTGGAGAACCAGCTTGTTTAATTTCTTTCTGAGCTTAATATAATGAAAAAAGAAAAGGAGTACTTGTGGCACCTTAGAGACTAACCAATTTATTTGAGCATGAGCTTTCGTGAGCTACAGCTCACTTCATCAGATGTTTACCGTGGAAACTGCAGCAGACTTTATATACACACAGAGAATATGAAACAATACCTCCTCCCACCCCACTGTCCTGCTGGTAATAGCTTATCTAAAGTGATCAACAGGTGGGCCATTTCCAGCACAAATCCAGGTTTTCTCACCCTCCACCCCCCCCACACAAATTCACTCTCCTGCTGGTGCTAGCCCATCCAAAGTGACAACTCTTTACATAATCAAGTCGGGCTATTTCCTGCATAGATCCAGGTTTTCTCACATCCCCCCTACCCCCATACACACACAAACTCACTCTCCTGCTGGTAATAGCTCATCTAAACTGACCACTCTCCAAGTTTAAATCCAAGTTAAACCAGAACATCGGGGGGGGGGGGTAGGAAAAAACAAGAGGAAACAGGCTACCTTGCATAATGACTTAGCCACTCCCAGTCTCTATTTAAGCCTAAATTAATAGTATCCAATTTGCAAATGAATTCCAATTCAGCAGTTTCTCGCTGGAGTCTGGATTTGAAGTTTTTTTGTTTTAAGATAGCGACCTTCATGTCTGTGATTGCGTGACCAGAGAGATTGAAGTGTTCTCCGACTGGTTTATGAATGTTATAATTCTTGACATCTGATTTGTGTCCATTTATTCTTTTACGTAGAGACTGTCCAGTTTGACCAATGTACATGGCAGAGGGGCATTGCTGGCACATGATGGCATATATCACATTGGTGGATGTGCAGGTGAACGAGCCTCTGATAGTGTGGCTGATGTTATTGGGCCCTGTGATGGTGTCCCCTGAATAGATATGTGGGCACAATTGGCAACGGGCTTTGTTGCAAGGATAAGTTCCTGGGTTAGTGGTTCTGTTGTGTGGTACGTGGTTGTTGGTGAGTATTTGCTTCAGGTTGCGGGGCTGTCTGTAGGCAAGGACTGGCCTGTCTCCCAAGACTTGTGAGAGTGTTGGGTCATCCTTTAGGATAGGCTGTAGATCCTTAATAATGCGTTGGAGGGGTTTTAGTTGGGGGCTGAAGGTGACCGCTAGTGGCGTTCTGTTATTTTCTTTGTTAGGCCTGTCCTGTAGTAGGTAACTTCTGGGAACTCTTCTGGCTCTATCAATCTGTTTCTTTACTTCTGCAGGTGGGTATTGTAGTTGTAAGAAAGCTTGACAGAGATCTTGTAGGTGTTTGTCTCTGTCTGAGGGGTTGGAGCAAATGCGGTTGTATCGCAGAGCTTGGCTGTAGACGATGGATCGTGTGGTGTGGTCAGGGTGAAAGCTGGAGGCATGCAGGTAGGAATAGCGGTCAGTAGGTTTCCGGTATAGGGTGGTGTTTATGTGGCCATTGTTTATTAGCACTGTAGTGTCCAGGAAGTGGATCTCTTGTGTGGACTGGACCAGGCTGAGGTTGGTGGTGGGATGGAAATTGTTGAAATCATGGTGGAATTCCTCAAGGGCTTCTTTTCCATGGGTCCAGATGATGAAGATGTCATCAATATAGCGCAAGTAGAGTAGGGGCTTTAGGGGACGAGAGCTGAGGAAGCGTTGTTCTAAATCAGCCATAAAAATGTTGGCATACTGTGGGGCCATGCGGGTACCCATAGCAGTGCTGCTGATCTGAAGGTATACATTGTCCCCAAATGTGAAATAGTTATGGGTAAGGACAAAGTCACAAAGTTCAGCCACCAGGTTTGCCGTGACATTATCGGGGATAGTGTTCTTGACGGCTTGTAGTCCATCTTTGTGTGGAATGTTGGTGTAGAGGGCTTCTACATCCATAGTAGCCAGGATGGTGTTATCAGGAAGATCACCGATGGATTGAAGTTTCCTTAGGAAGTCAGTGGTGTCTCGAAGGTAGCTGGGAGTGCTGGTAGCGTAGGGCCTGAGGAGGGAGTCTTCATAGCCAGACAATCCTGCTGTCAGGGTGCCAATGCCTGAGATGATGGGGCGCCCAGGATTTCCAGGTTTATGGATCTTGGGTAGTAGATAGAATATCCCAGGTCGGGGTTCCAGGGGTGTGTCTGTGCGGATTTGATCTTGTGCTTTTTCAGGAAGTTTCTTGAGCAAATGCTGTAGTTGCTTTTGGTAACTCTCAGTGGGATCATAGGGTAATGGCTTGTAGAAACTCGTGTTGGAGAGCTGCCGAGCAGCCTCTTGTTCATATTCCGACCTATTCATGATGACAACAGCACCTCCTTTGTCAGCCTTTTTGATTATGATGTCAGAGTTGTTTCTGAGGCTGTGGATGGCATTGCGTTCCGCATGGCTGAGGTTATGGGGCAAGTGATGCTGCTTTTCCACAATTTCAGCCCGTGCACGTCGGCGGAAGCACTCTATGTAGAAGTCCAGTCTGCTGTTTCGACCTTCAGGAGGAGTCCATCTAGAATCCCTCTTTCTGTAGTGTTGGCAGGGAGACCTCTGTGGATTAGTATGTTGTTCAGAGGTATTTTGGAAATATTCCTTGAGACGGAGACGTCGAAAATAGGATTCTAGGTCACCACAGAACTGTATCATGTTCGTGGGGGTGGAGGGGCAGAAGGAGAGGCCCCGAGATAGAACAGCTGCTTCTGCTGGGCTGAGAGTATAGTTGGATAGGTTAACAATATTGCTAGGTGGGGTGAGGGAACCATTGCTGTGGCCCCTTGTAGCATGTAGTAGTTTAGAAAGTTTAGTGTCTTTTTTCTTTTGTAGAGAAGCAAAGTGTGCGTTGTAAATGGCTTGTCTAGTTTTAGTAAAATCCAGCCACGAGGAAGTTTGTGTGGAAGGTTGGTTCTTTATGAGAGTATCCATTTTTGAGAGCTCATTCTTAATCTTTCCCTGTTTGCTGTAGAGGATCTTGATCAGGTGATTCCGCAGTTTCTTTGAGAGCGTGAGGCACAAGCTGTCAGCATAGTCTGTGTGGTATGTAGATTGTAATGGATTTTTGACCTTCAGTCCTTTTGGTACGAAAAAAACTTCAAATCCAGACTCCAGCGAGAAACTGCTGAATTGGAATTCATTTGCAAATTGGATACTATTAATTTAGGCTTAAATAGAGACTGGGAGTGGCTAAGTCATTATGCAAGGTAGCCTGTTTCCTCTTGTTTTTTCCTACCCCCCCCCCCCCCCCCAGATGTTCTGGTTTAACTTGGATTTAAACTTGGAGAGTGGTCAGTTTAGATGAGCTATTACCAGCAGGAGAGTGAGTTTGTGTGTGTATGGGGGTGGGGGGGATGTGAGAAAACCTGGATCTATGCAGGAAATAGCCCGACTTGATTATGTAAAGAGTTGTCACTTTGGATGGGCTAGCACCAGCAGGAGAGTGAATTTGTGTGGGGGGGGTGGAGGGTGAGAAAACCTGGATTTGTGCTGGAAATGGCCCACCTGTTGATCACTTTAGATAAGCTATTACCAGCAGGACAGTGGGGTGGGAGGAGGTATTGTTTCATATTCTCTGTGTGTATATAAAGTCTGCTGCAGTTTCCACGGTAAACATCTGATGAAGTGAGCTGTAGCTCACGAAAGCTCATGCTCAAATAAATTGGTTAGTCTCTAAGGTGCCACAAGTACTCCTTTTCTTTTTGCGAATACAGACTAACACGGCTGTTCCTCTGAAACCTAATATAATGAAAGTAATTCTGTTCTATTCTTCTATGTTTCCATAAAGCAGCTATTCCCCCCTGCAGATTTCAAAATTCTAAAGAGTTTAATTAGAGGAAGTTTGAGTGTAGTGGTTCCAGGTGGGGTGTATTAGCATCCCAGCATGTTGCCCCATCTCCCAAATGGAAGCACAAGTGGGAAATTTAAAAAGCAAAATTGAGAAATCTTATTAATAAAGTTTATTATGCAAGATTTTAAAATGTGAAACACAAATTAAGCCTCAGACTGTAAAAGTGAAGCCAATCAGGAACTCTGGAAAATCTCTTAGCTTCTCTCCCATTTCAGCTCTAAGACAAAGAGACCACACTTTCAAAAATGCTCAGCACTAGGCAACTGCAATTGTTCTCAGATGTTTATCTGGAAGACTGGGCACTTCATTTGGGTGCTGAAATGGGAGGGGACTGTGATAGAGCGTTGGGCAACAACAGCAGAGCCAGCCCTCTGGTCCTCGCAATTCTAATTAATTACTCTAGAGCAAACCTTAATTAAGAAGAGCTGTGCCTAAGGGATGGGCTGAGGAGGACTAAGAGGCTATCTAGACCATTAGGCAGATGATACAAAAGGCATAGAAATGGAGGAAGCAGAAAGAGAGAGGAAGAGAATGCTCTCCCCCCTGCTTGCCTCAGGAGCTGAGGCTCCCTAGACTGTAGGGGTGAGGGTATACAATGTATATGGGTGGAGAAAACTAAAATGGTAAATAAACTGCACTGGGTGTTTTATCAGCAAAAAGGTCTCTGAGCTGTTTGTGGACCTGAGCAGAGGCAGGAGCAAGGCAGCCTGCCACAGGGAGCTCTTTGGCAAAATCTGGTCACTTACTTGGGATGGCCAAATGTGAGCTGTTGGGTGCTGAGCTCTTTGAAAAATCTGGCTAAAAGTGCACAAACAAGCACTTCTCACAACATATACACTTGAAAATAAAGTTTATATTTTCATAGCTGGTATAGCCATCTGGCTAAAGAGGGATAACATTGTGACTGGACCCACAGGGAATAAAATTTGACTCTACACCAGTGTTTCTCAATCTGTGGGTTGGGACCCGAAACTGGCTTGTCAGAATGTTTCAAAGGGCCATGTGGCAGCTCCTGTGGCTCCTGTCCCACTGGGCTAACTTTCCCACTCCAGGCACGGCAACTTCTGGGGTCCCAGAGCCACTTAGGTTTGACCCAGCTGTTATGATGACGGGAGTCTGGGTAGGCCAAATTTGAGTGAGTGGCATTGCAACCCATGAGCCAACAACTCCACTCACACAAATTTGGTCCAGTCAGGGGTGCGGGAACAAAGCTGAGCGGTGCTGCAGGCCTGGAAGTTGCAATGCCTGGGGCGAAGGGGCAAGCCCAGCCAGCCCCACAGCACAGGAGCTGCAGGAGCCACCACTGTGGGGTTAGTGCCAGACAGGACCCAACCAAAACCACCCAAGGGCCTCCACCCCCAGACTATTTACTGGTCGTGACAGGCCATAAACATTTACAAATGGGTGCTGAGCCCAAAAAGGTTGAGAACCACTGCTCTAGTCCAGTTTACATCATGCTTTAGCATTGGTTACTAGGATCCTGTATTCTGCCAGTGACAGAAATTACAATTTTCAATAAAATGGCCACCAGCAATCATTGAATCACTCATGACAACTGTCACTAAAACCTTCTATGTTCAAATCTAAACCATAGTTTATACCACATGTCAGTAAGTACTTCTCAACATGAGAGCTTTCAGATTTCTGTGCTAAGTAACATTTGCTTCTAATATGCTTTGAATCACCTCGAGTACAAGTAAATATTTTTCTTCCAAAAGAATTTTGCAAGCTCCCAACTTTTCTTGAGAGGAAGTAGCTGTACAGGGAACTGTATGTTTTTCAAGGGAGGAGATAAAAAGTGCTCTTTTAGAAACTCTAATCTTGAGTTACCTCGGGGGACATATTTTTTAATAAGTTGAATACACATTTGCTTTCCCTGTATTAGCTTGCTATGAGGGCGGAAATTGCTTTCCCAAATGAAAGGTCATAGAGTGTACAAAATATTTAACACTAGGCCTTTATTTCGTTCATGAATGTCTGAAGGTTTCAATCTTGAAAAACAGACTTTAAGGGATCCTCTAAGTATCATCCTGAAGTTGTTTCAATAGAACTACAACAGAGAACTTTAGGATTTAAATTACTGGAAAGATTATTCCCTGCTTTTAGTTAAAAAAAAAAATGATGATGAAGTACAGAGGCAAAAAAGGAATCTGAAAAGCATATGGAAGAGATTGGTTTAAGTTTGATACATGGTGTTGGTTCCAAACAGAAGACAAAAGCTTGTCACTGATTTCTCTTTCATTTAATGGGGTAGGATTTTTCAACCAGTCCTCTATTCAGCCACCATGTCCACATTTTACTTGTCCAAACAGCTGTGGGAGCATGTGCAAAGCCATTTGTAGGTAGGCTTATCATGGAGGGAACAAGATTTTGGAAGCAAAAGGGAGGAAAGGAAAATTAGGTAGCTGAGGGTTTATGATGGAGCAGGGAAAGGACAGCAGAATGGGATGGAAAAAGATTTCTATCAGCAACAATTACGCCTTGGGTTAACTTCTTTGTCTATAATATTCCTACTGGGAGATCTAGTCATAAAGGAACTGACAGAGATAATTATTTGTCACAAGATGTGGTACATATCAGCCTGTTATTCACACTTAACAGAAGGGCCCACCTCCATCTGTGCTGAGCAATACCTTTTCACTTGGAATTCTCTGCACTCTGACATATTACAGAGTATGGGTCATGCTGAATAAGAGTGCACCAGTTGTGCAAGACAAGGGGATATGTGCTATGGGGGGGAAACTCTAAGGAAACATTGGACAGCAGATTACACAAACAGGGACAAAGTCCCAATTTCAGTATAAATAAGCCTGAGTCCTTTGGTCATTATCTGTGAAGAGTCTGGGACACAGGTGACCAGGGATGTCTTAAAGGGAGGGTCTCTCCCTTAAACTCAATTTTCTGAATGTCTGAGCATAAGTATACTTAACTCCAATGTATTTTTTAAATTTTCATCTAATAAAAGTTGTATTTAAGATCAAATTTTGGATTTTACAGCCCTTGCATCACTTCCTGCCTTCAGGCAGGAAAGCTGGTGCTGTGTTTATTGAGACATGTGACAATACTCACCTGAGCAGCAATGGAGGAACATGGGGATGACAGCAAGACACAGACTCTGCCTTGGACTCTGATAGTAGGAGATACGCCACTTTCCCCACATACACTTCCTTTTTAAGTAGCCATAGGAGATAGGCATGTAAGATAAGGAATGAAAAAGAGGAGACCTTTGGGGGACCCTGAGACTTGTTATTGTGTATTCCTCTCCTTTCCAAGCTAAATAGTCCTAGGGCCTGATTCTCACTTAAACTAAGGCCACTTTACACCACTCTGGCAGAGTAAAGGGATTTAAAGTAAGCGTAACTATAATCTAAGCCCACTTTAAGGCTCCTCTTCACACCCAGAGCAGTGTAAAGTGGCTTTAATGTAAATTAGAAACAGGTCCCTAGTCTTGGGTAAAATTTTCAAAAGTGCCTAAATGACTTAGGCGCCAAAGTCCCTTCATTGATTTTCAATGGGACTTCTGACTTGGGAGCCACTGAGTGCTTTTGAAAACTTTGCCCCTTAACACATATGTATACTCCCCCATAGGCTGATAGCCATTTCTCTTTCCTTTCTGCAGGCCGCAATGCTGAAGTTTCCAGCATTAGAGATGTAGGACAGGACAGACACATTTTACACTCACACAAAGGCTGGGAACCAGACTGGAGAGGTTGACATGGCGGGGTGCAAACATGTGAAGCTGTTGAAGGCAGGATATGGCAGCTGCCTGAACAAGAGAGTCCGAGTGATCTTGTGTGATTGCACATCCCACCAAGCACGAAGAGCGGATTGTTGAAATAGTAGCTCCATTACCTAACAGAATAAAGAATTCTTAACAAAGCAACTTTTTTGTATAGCTGTTATACATTTTAACCTTTTAATCACAAAGCTTCAGAGATGTGAAATTTTTGTAAATTATATACAGCATCACTTTTCTAAATACTTATATTTGAAGTTAACAGCTGCATTACTTCAAAAGGATTCTGTATACAGGGTTAGAACTCACTTTCCATTTTAGCCCAATTTTGACACTTACCCCTTGAACGTTTCAAAGCAATCTGCTAGCCCAAAAAGTCCTTTAAACCTCAAATTTTGCACAACTGATCATTAGCCAGAAAAATTTTGCGGACATTGTTCAGTTAGTCAGTATTTCTGAGATATGGCACTTGTTAAAATGAACAAAGTTTCAGGTTTTGGAAATCTATTTAATTTAGTAGTCTTGGATAAGATTGCATGCATAGACCCATTTCTTAGAATATTAGATATACAATTTTAGAGTTATTTGCTATGGATTTAGTTTTAAACTCTGAATACTTATCACATTTTGACAGGTTTCAGAGAAGCAGCTGTGTTAGTCTGTATTCGCAAAAAGAAAAGGAGTACTAGTGGCACCTAAATTGGTTAGTCTCTAAGGTGCCACTAGTACTCCTTTTCTTATCACATTTTGGAAGACTTTATATTTTTTTGCAGTTTTGGAGCAGTTTAATATATTAACATGCTAGAGGAGTTTCTTAGCTCCCTCAGTTGCATCACTTGGATTCAACAGGTTACAGACAACACAGAATATTTGATTTAAAGACTATGTTGTCTTGCATTTCAACAAGTACCATTCATCATCTTTACAGCACAGCTATAATTACAGCAAAATGTCGTCTCTAAAGAAAAAATTCTGAACAACCTATGTTTGTATATATCAATACTTTTAAAATATCTGGTAAAAATCAATAAGGAAATTCCTAGGCAAAAAAAGTTCAGATACAACTACAAGACCGTAGTTAATAAACGTATTTGAAAGGCAAGGAATTTATAACTGAGGTTTCACTAACAGCCTCACCTATGGCACTTTATCAAAGACCTATGTATATCCACCAAAATCTCCTATGCACCTTAAAGGAAAAACACCATACTTCATCTTTATTTCCAGTTTGGACCGCATACCCTCAGATAACACACTGAAAAATTTGTCAAGGTATAAAGATCTGAGAATACTGAGACTACCTCATTATTGGAGTTAGATAGTTTTGGCACCAATTCATATGGCCACCTGCAACATATATGGTAATTTACTGCAATATCTTTGGGAGTTCTTACTATATTAAGTTTATGTATCATTGTGAGCCAGGGATTGTATGCAATTCCACGGAGAGGGTGGCCACAGTTCCTCCAGGAACTAAGGACAGTGGGGAGTGATTAGGCAAATTCACTCAGGTCTAACATCTCCAGAGAAGTACCACCACCTGGAGAGGCTCACATATACTAACTAGTTCAAACTGGATTCCCCAGAGACCAAAAGACAAAGAAAAGAGTTTTGGAAAAACAGCCTGAATTTAAACTGACTCAGGGCCTTTTATCTGATTTAGCTAAGAGACAGGACCTTCTGACCAAGGTGAGTCTGGGAGAAATCCCTGTAGAAGAGCTGGAAGGGCTGAAGTTGGGATGACCTTTGGTAAGCTTTTTAGCATGCATATAACGGGGGGGGGGGGGGGGGGGGTTATAGATTTCATATGTTTTTTTCTGTAATCTTTCGCCTTAAGAATAAATGTGCTTGCTTATAAAGACCTGCATGGTAACTTGTAACTGCTGGCGATTACAATTGTTCACAGCCTCCGGAGAGAACGCAAAGTGCAGATGCTGGACTGTTTAGGCAATCTGGCTTGCTGGAGATATCACAGAGTGGGCAAGGAATTGTGTAGCCTTGAAAATCCCTTGTCAAGAGGGAGAGAGATGAAGGTCTTTACCCAGGAGAGCTGACAGTTGAGGAGCTCGGAGCCTAGAGTGGGTGCCCTTGAGGGATCATGGAGGAGGAAATACAGGTGCAGTCGCCCTGAATTGTGTCACCATCAATACACACGGTGCAGTTGCAGATAGACAAACCCTACACACCAATCACAATGCTTCATTATCTGCCACCATGCAATACTTTAACAGCCAGCTGACATTAAGAAACAGCATCTATCCTATTTATAACCTTAACTTTATCTTAATTAAATTGCAGATTAAACTTACCTTGCAGCTCAGGGCCAACCGTAGTTATTATAGCCCCAAGACATCGGCCCAAACACTGATGTACTTCTGTATGCGATGGTGGAACTGTCAAGAGCAGGGTAAGAACTAGAGACAGAGTAGGCTCCACATATCCCCGGTACATTGGCCCACTAGAGTCCACTATCAAGGCAAGTGAATGGAGAGACCAAGTCTATAATAAATCAAAGAGATTTTTGGTTCTGAGTCATATAAGTTTGTTTAGTTTAGAGTTTTGACGATTTATTTATAGTCGCTATGGCTCTCACCACCCTTGTCTAAACATTTCTATTTTAACCCTCTGTTTTTAAGAACATCTTCGTCACCCCACAATCTGGAACATTCACTTCTGGGCTGAAATTTCCCAGGCTTGGTCTCTGCCTGCAGGTGAATTTTTGTTTGTTTGAATAAAAATGGCTACGCTGTTTGAGAATGAGAAGAAAAGGATGCATATATTTTTTCCACTATATAAAAAAGTTTGACACAATTTTGAAAGCCAAAACTGGGGCAGAAAGTTGAAATTAGACTCAGAAATGGTCCTCGAGAAGACGTGCCTGAACCAATGGAAACAGGTTTTCATTTGATAATGTTATGGCCAATTGAAATTCTCAGCTTGCATATACAGTGCATTTTGCACTGAGTTTTCTTTCTAAACTCTTAAAAGTGAAGCTAAGGAAGGCCACGCTGCTCATATGTAGTTAACTTAGCTGCACTGGAGAAAGGTAGTGAAGGGCAAAGCCCTGGTCTCATTCACTGAACACCCTGTAAGACACACTATGAATGAAGCCAGGTGCCCTTGTTTCATTTTCTTCAAAGCTTGTAGGGAACAAGTTTCAGGGCTGCTAATGTTCACAGGAAATGCACTCCTTCTCCTGTGGGCCGCAAAGTGTGCAGGACAGAGTGTTCCAGTGGCATTTACCAAAATAATTTTACATTATGATTTTCCCCCCTCACTCCAAAAAACGTGGGAAGTTCCATAAAAAGAAAAAGGACTATTGTAAGAGGAGGTTACAGTTGCACAGTTAAACATTTGAGTTAGCTGGCCACACTGCCTTTATTCTGCTCCTACAGTCTAGTTACATGATCACATAATCTTTCTCAACTACATAACACTATTTATTTTACAATGTTAGACACTAATGTTGCATCATGTAACATTTTTTTCATTCTTTCTACTGTTTCATTCTATTTATTGTAATGCTCCAGTATCTTTTTACTGATTTAGACGGAGGATTTTAAAGGTTCAAACGGAAGTGTTATGTGCCTAACTCCCATTTAAAGTTAATGGGGATTAGGCACCTAACTGCCATTTGTACCTTTGAAAATCTCCTCCTTTGATTTCTTATCTTTTTATACTGTGGTAAAAATTGATTAAATTTTATTTGTGAAATAATATGCAAGCCTTTGTTTAAAGACTACCATGATGCATTTACAGAACAGCAGAAATAATATTGCACATGCAACCTGAACTTTGTCAATATCTAACTTTTGAGAGCTTAACTATGGAAATTTGAGGGGGTTTTTATTATTATATATATATATAGATATATGTATCACTCAACAAAACAAATCAAAACTTCTATCAATCCTGTCTCCTCAGACAGAGGATTACCTCTACTCCATGTTCTCTAAAGTTAATAATTTAAGATGACACGGGTGTCTGTGGTTCCAGGCGACAAAGATAGCAGAGGATGGGGGCTCCAAACTCAAAGTTCTGAGCCATTAAACTGCCTCTTTCTGTGGGTGAGACACACCTTCCTCCTGATTAGGCGTAATAGCCATAGCCACTTCAACTAATAATTTCTTTTGGAGTAATGGGGGAAAAGAATGAAAAAGTCTCCTGATATGTGGTGAGTTACACTATAACCTTTTGAGAATAATATTTATAGGCAAGTAATTTTTTTCATTCAATGTTTTTATTTATATCTTTCTCCAGAGGGTCTTTTACTATTTTATTTAACTGGCTTTGTAGAATTCACTGCCAAGGGATATCATGAATGCACCTACTTTCCTTTAAGATTCTACTTTAACTTACATTTGTTTTCCAAATTGTCTTATTATTTATTTTAATTCATTGTTCTACAGAATGGAATAACTTATTTACATCTTGAGATGACTCAACATAATTAGGCACTTCATAGAATCATAGAATATCAGGGTTGGAAGGGACCTCAGGAGGTCATCTAGTCCAACCCCCTGCTCAAAAGCAGGACCCATCCCCAATTAAATCATCCCAGCCAGGGCTTTGTCAAGCCTGACCTTAAAAACTTCTAAGGAAGGAGATTCTACCACCTCCCTAGGTAACGCATTCCAGTGTTTCACCACCCTCCTAGTGAAAAAGTTTTTCCTAATATCCAACCTAAACCTCCCCCACTGCAACTTGAGACCATTACTCCTTGTCCTGTCCTCTTCTACCACTGAGAATAGTCTAGAGCCATCCTCTCTGGAACCACCTCTCAGGTAGTTGAAAGCAGCTATCAAATCCCCCCTCATTCTTCTCTTCTGCAGACTAAACAATCCCAGTTCCCTCAGCCTCTCCTCATAAGTCAGGTGCCTAAAGTAACTGTTCAAAGTCAGGTTAGTTTGTTGTTAGGCCCACTGCACCATAGAAACTGTATTTAGGACAAAAAGATATCGCTCTCCCATTTAGACTTATACTCCTTGGGGCATGGACTGACAATTTTTTCTTTTGTACAGCATTTTCTTTGCTGTTGACAGTAATACATTAATCTTAAACCCTACTGAATGGTTTTAAAATGTCTTTTTGTTTTATACCTGGACTTCAGGTGAGGTCCCATCTTGTGCCAACGCCAACAGAATACTGACACTGGTTTTCAGATGCTGTCCAGAACCTATTCCACCCACATAACGATGGAGACAGCCAAGAGCCAACGAATGACCAGTTCTTGACACAACATCTCGAGCAGATTTTAACCTATCAAGATTAAAGCATAAATCAAAGTATTTGCTAGATTTGTGGTTGAGGCAAGGATTGTTCAAGTGTCAGAAAAATAAACAAACCTCAGCTTCCACCTGGACTATTTGTTAACTCAAAAAAACAAACAAACAAACAAAAACAGCAGAGACTTTCTGGGAAGATATAAATGAAAAAGACAAAGGAAAATATTTAAAACTTTCTGATTATTAATTCCTCATATTCAGTTGCTTGTAAAGTTATTCTGACTTTACTATAATTCCTTTCTTCTCTTCTGGGAAGCATTTATTTCTGACATTTTAGATAAGGAATATTTTTGTAACTGACAGGACACATGATTCTCTTAAACTGTCTACTCTTTGCTTGATGTTGCAGACCACAGTACTCTGTTACCCAGAAAATGCTGTGCTAAGCTTAAACAATCAAGAATGAAAATGTGACGAGACATGGTGGAGGACTGAAGGGAATGCAGCTGAATCCTCTGATATATTGCCAGCTCACTTATTATATCTTTTTAGAACCTACTGCTTCTTACTGCTATGAGTTTTATTATGAAGGTTTTTTTAAATAATCTTTTATTCAAAAGAAACAAGGAGGAAAGTAGCAAGACTTTGAATCACCAGATTACATAAGTACATGATAACTTTTCTTATTGATGCTTGGCAAGATTTGAGCCCCCCACATCTACTACAGCTATGACAACTGTAAATAATTAGGCTGCTAGCTACAATTGTTCTCCAGTAGTCACGGAAAATGGATACCCGTAAAGAAGAAAGTGAAGGGTAATTTCTCGTCTTTCTGCGTGTAAGATCTTAGCACTCCAGGTAGTATGCAAACATATAAATAATAAAAGGCCTCCAGTAAATAATACAAGAATTACTTAACAATATGGACAAATTGAAAAATCCATTTGATAAAATGGATCTTGGAGGAGAAATTATGGACAAAACCATAGCAGTGCTTGGAAAATCATGGATTCTCAAGGGAAGAAACAAAGTCTTACAAGCAAATTGTATTACAAAAACAAAGTTCAAATTCTGAATATTGAAAATCTTGAAAAATGCTTAACATACGAAAATAAGTATCCTTGAGATACTTAAACTATCTAGAAGATCTCTTGAGAATTGCTGAGGATAATAAATTTTACTCCTTTAAAAAAACTCTTACCTATAAACACTGAATGAGAGCATGTGTGAATCTAGGTGACAGCAGGAAGAATCTGAACTCTCCCTTACAGTTTCTGATACTGCTTAGTTTGCCGAGATCCAGGGGTATAACTCTAGGTAAATTTTGCCTTACTTATAATAGAAACAGAGTCTTGCCTTGAAATGATACCACTGAAGAAACAAATTATTTCACAAAAAGATGTCCCCAGATGGTTTTTGGCCTATTTGAGTTAAGCTGATTCTTCCTTTATAAGAAAGAAAGATTTTATACTTAGAAGTTGCAATCTCTTTTGCATTGCTGCAAACAACCACAACAACAACAACAACAACAACGACTTTTTATCTTTTTAGACATGGACAAGTTAATCCCATTCATAAAAGGGAAGATGAATTTAACATAACTGGATCATCAGAAGACCAATTTCCAGTTTAAAGGAAATACACTAGAGTATAGTTCACGTACTCATCTCAGGAAAAATTGGACACACTTATCTTCCTGAATCTTTAGTACAGACAGATCTTTGAAGACCTAATTAGTGATGGGGAGTCAGACGGAGTACGGAAGCAAGTCACTGTGGGCCAACAAAGAAGCCAAAACCTAGATGCTGAGAGGAGGTGTTGATGACATGCGGCTACCGATATGCATTGTTCTGGGTAACCCCACACTTTACACATACTTAGAGTCAGCCCTGTTTATTTTATCTGAAGCAGTTTCTTCATCCTTAAATAGATCATCAAGAACTGTTCAACAATATTGTTCCGAAGACCAAATATTTCAATCAGTCATTGTTCACTCTTGGTAACAGCATATGAAACAACTCAGAATCTGTAAACCTGATTAGGCCTACCAACCCGAAGTGGTCAGGCATGAAGGAAATATACTTAAAACTATAACTGTATTTAGCAGAGACATTTTCTGAACATGTTTCAATTCTATGTTTTATTTCCTTTCTTGAGGCAAAGTGACAACAACTTACTTGTCAAAGCTGAACTGAGCCATTCTGGCGATGAAAGTTGCTTCTCCAACTACCTGAGCCATTCTGCCAAGTGCCTCTCCTGCTGCACATCTCAAAATGGGATTAGGATTGTCAAGAGCACCCATAACCAATGTCAGAGCAGATTTGCGGACTTCTTCTGGTCCTAATGTGCTTTTATTCTCAGCTAAACCCTATATGAACAAATGGGAAAAAATATTTGACCAAAAGGAATAAAAGTATGTTTTGACATCTGTTGCTGAAATCAAGTTTAAAACAGTTTAAACTGATATTTTCACAAGAAGATAATTCACTCATAAGACAGGCTACCTAATTTTTTAAGTGATGTCTTACAACAACTGAACATATCTTACATCTCACACCTTGAGAAAGGTGTTTAATTTCTACTTCTCTCCCTGTTTCTCAAGGGTTTTTTCTCTTTTTTTTTAAATAAGATTAAAATAATGTTACATGTTAATACAAATAAAGAAACAAAATGAAGACTACATGAACACCCAACTACCACCAAAACAATATTCTGCTTCTGCCCCAAAAAGCAAAGCAACTGGTTTCCTCCAAAACCAACAGCAATGGCATTGCATGGTTCTTTGCTAATTGTTTTCCATAAGCCAGTTCCAGCAATACAACTTGATGGGTTGGCTCCTCCCATAGATCAGACAGGCAAGGCAACAACCAAAGAGACACTGCAGTTTTCACGCACTTAACTCCACCTCCTTCTATCACTCTCACTCCCCTGAGCCCCTCACCAGCACACCAAGTAGAGAACTTCAGAACTGTAAGCTGAATCATTGTAAAAAAACAACAGAACTTCAGCATATGATAAATCAGCTCTTTATGATAGTGACGGGTGGACATCTGGACTGTTGTCCATATATATATCATCTGGCATGCTGCTTTCTGAAAGAGTATCTGGTGGTCTAGGTTTTAGGGACTTGTAGATATAATGACTAAGGGAAGAAGAGAAAGGGAAAAGAACTCCAGAAGTAAGCCCTGTATCACAAAGTCATGCATTTGTGACCAGACTGGAAGAAACCAGAAATTTTCCCTGCAACATTCAGGTAGTCAGACAGAGGAGAGTAACGTTTTAATGGAGACTTTGCCCAACTGCTACTGCTGGCTGGAGATCACGTTAGCTTGTCCTAGTCTACCGAACGAGTGATTTAGGTTCAACAGCTAGCCACTGATTGCATAACTACAGTCTTGCAAATAGAAAAATCTGAACACTGCCTGGAAAAACTGTTAGAGCAATATCCCTTGAAATGAGAAAAAAAAAAAAATTAAGTCTCCTGAGATAATTTTCTTCTGGTCTAAACTGACTTGCAACTGGTGAGGCCTGTTAGTCTCCAACAGCTGGCATTAAAGGGGACTAATAATCAATTTTGTCTTATCTGAAAGACACCACATTTCCAGTCAATGAACTTCTGGGGTCACTGTTAATGACCTGATGACACTGGCTTTCATCTTCGTGGAGTTCTGAGCAAATGCATCCAATGAAGTGAGCTGTAGCTCACGAAAGCTTATGCTCAAATAAATGTGTTAGTCTCTAAGGTGCCACAAGTACTCCTTTTCTTTTTAGTATCAGGAGAGAGACAGAGAGTGTGCACAGTCAGAGGAACAACAATGGTATGATTTCCCATCCCTCTGGCAAATAGGTTCCTGGATGCTGAAGAGAATGAACTGATCTGTGGCATCAAAATCAGGACACCACAATATAAAGTGTGTGTGGTAGGAGAGGAAATCTCAGCAGGAAAGGGCCAAAGTCAGCAAAGCAATTCTGTAGCTCACGAAAGCTTATGCTCAAATAAATTTGTTAGTCTCTAAGGTGCCACAAATACTCCTTTTCTTTCTGCAGATACAGACCAACACAGCTGCTACTCTGAAACAAAGCAATTCTGTTTCCCGTAGGGAAAAAGTTTCAGGTTTACTGGGAGTGGACTGTCTGTGAGAAGTAGAAAAATCTTTACTTTGAAGAGTGTTTATCGTCCAGTCTCTGCACCTGTGAAACATGCCCCCAGGGAATCCCTCTTTGGAGTACCCTGTACTCCCACTGCTGCAGTCAATTACTTTGAAGAACTGTGAAAACAAGTGCTCTGTGAGAGCCTGGGGCAGAATGTCAAGGCTTGCAGAGTGGCCATAAGAAACTGGATGCAACATGACCACCGCATTAAGTGTATTCATGACTCTTCTCATCCTAATACTCCATGTGAAGGAAGGAAATGATCTTCTCAGCAGAAAGGCAAAAATTAGTGAGTTACAATTAAAAGTATTAATTTAAGGCTCTGTCTATATTTTGAGCTGGGGTGTGATTCTCCTGCTCATGTGCACATACTTGCACTAACTCGATGAGAATCACACCCCAGCTTGAAGTGTAAACATAGCCTAAAAGGAAGATGAGGCTGAAGAAAAACCAAAGAGGGCCCACCAAAACAACCTGGCTGCCACAGTTGCTACTGACCTCCGTAAAGGAAGGATATAAACTGGGCAAGAGACACAAAAGGGCTGGAGCTAGCTGAATGGAAAGACTGAAAATGGAAGTCTCATTTGCTCGAATCCTACCTAATTCACAAGAAAGGGGAGTCAACCCATCAACCTGCATTGTTAATATTATATCAGTGTTACTGAATTAGAGTTAGCTTTACCTTTACCTATGACACGCAGGCAGGGGAGGCTTTTATTCTCTCCCCTCACCCCTGGATCAAACTCCGTCAGACTGGAAAGATGAAATTTTTAGGTGGTATGTCAGTGTGTTGCACTGCAACAGTCACTAAATTAAAGGACATTTTAGCTATATGAAGAAAATTTTGAAACTATTTTTCTTTTTCAAATCAAGGTAGCAGCAAAATCACATCTGAATACACTGGATGGGAGTGAAAATGCTGGATGACTGCAGCAGCCTGTTTGGTCCTCAAGTATGATAAGGATAAGGAATGTATTATTACCACTCAGAAAAAGAATCAGGTTACTTTAGGAAAAACACCCTTCTCCCCAAATTAAAGGTGGGGAAATATGATGTGATCATGTAGTTAAAGATTGTAGCATAACACACATGCACAAAGGAGCCCAATTAAGAATGTACAGGCAACTTTAATTCTGGCTTTTCCTAACTTTTGAGTGCTTGACTTTGCAACCTTAATAATGATCTTTTAATGTAGTTTTTGTGTTTAACATTATAAATAAAAGTCTATAAATCTGAGAATTTTAGTATCTGTCAGTTACAAATTTTAAAGCAGTTTTACCTTCAATGCACTGAGAACAGCAGTGAAGATATTAAGCTGCACAGCTTGTTGACGGACACCTTTAGCCTGTTTGACACATTCAGCAAAGTGATCCAACATTTGTAGCCTACAAAAGAACAATTAACATCATCACTAAGAGAGAGACACTTCCGAAAAATAAATTGAAAAGACAATACATTTTGCCTAAAGGGAAAAAAACCAATGCAAAAGAGAAAAAACGAACAAACAAAGTAGAAGGGTTTAAACAAGGCCCTGTGAATTTTGCTATTTGGCTGCAGAACGTATTGGGCCTTATGAAAATCTTTTCATCTCACCTGGTGGCCTGAGAACATGCTACCAGGCAGAGGGGGGTAAAGACCTCTGATTGACACTCTGCTGGCTCTGCCTTGAACTCAGCCACAAGCAAGAGATTGTCATTTCAGAAGAAATGATTGCTTAGAAGAAACAGCGACTGCAGAGAGACTTTACAGTATGACCAGGAATTGTGGGGAGAGGAGAGAAGAAAAATTCACTTGCCTCACTATCCTCCGCCTTAGACACAATGCTGGGAATAAGCAGAGTGCAAACTATAATTCACATTCTCTCCTTCCACCTACATTCTGCTGAGAAATTAGAGGAGGGGAGGAAAATATGAACTGGCTTTGTGCCTCACCTTTCCCCTAGAGATACCAGGAATAGGAGGGAATAGCGCCACCAGGATCCTTATCCAGGTAGCAGTGGTTTGGCATGTAGGCTACAGAGTTTTTTCATTCAGATGCAGGTAGACTTTGTCATAGTTATCCACGCCACTGTCACTGCAAAGCTGAATTACTGCAAAGTGTTCTGCATGCTAATACACTTTAAATCAATTATAAAAATGACCTCACCACACATTACGTTGAATTTTCAGGACTGTAAACTAGGAAAAAGATCTTTTACTTCTAACATGAGTACATGTGATATGGAACCCACTGAGAGACAATGAACATGGAACACCAGAAGTAGATTTACTTTTTGAGAGAACTATAATCCCATTAAATTAAAAAAGGAAAGTCAACCATACACTGCATTGCACATTAACTTAGACTGACCTGTGTTTGTAAGAAACATGAGGAAAAACCACACCAAAGAGCGCCACAGAGGCATCAATGACGGATACTCCCAGGGGAAGGGGGCCAGGCACAGCTTCACCAGCTGGGATGCGCAAATAAATGGAAGACGGGTCATGCTCCAAAGCACCACTTCCAGATGCACTGTTTGGCTGAAGCTACAAATAACCACAAGTTATTAATACCTTCTAAATACATATTTGCACATATTTATACTGAACATACTGAATTAACCAAACTACATATGCAGCAACTTAAAACTAGATTACTCACCAGCAGTTAGAATTCTCTAACTACACTCTTACATACAAAGCCAGGCAAATCCCAGAACGTTCAAAGCAGTTAACAGCTTGGTGTGAGCAGTCTCAGTCACCCTTGGTACAGATGAGGTGGGTGAATTAAAAAGACAGAATGACAAAATTTGGTTCTGATAGCAGCTCTGGGAAGCAGTGAACACAAAGAAGCATTTCAGGGAAAAAGGTTAAACCATCGTTTCCTCAGCATGGGCTTGAGGCGGAAAGGCAGCATACATCCTGTATCAACTCAAGGAGTAATGATTCCCCAAACGGACCAATCTGTGTTCTAGAAATTGACTTCTGTGACATAATACAAACATCTCTTTAAACTCACCCTCTCATCCAGGTATGCCATCAAACAACAGCAACCATAAATAAAAAGGTGGTGAACTTTCTCATACCAAGTATTTATTGTTATTTAAGTGATAAATAATGTATGAAATATAGTTTGAGGCTAGTGCTTCTGTGGTCTCCTAGGCAGGCAGATCAAACAGAAACTGAGGAGTCACTGAGACCTCTTCATGCCTCTTTATATACCTGCTTAGATTGTAGTTTCATGCAGGCATTAGGATGCATGCAGTCCAAACATTAAAAGCTTTAAACAGTGCTAGGTTTCATTTATCAGGATATGCAATTTGAAGACAAGGATCTATGGATGCAAGTATAGGAACGCAAATTTATAGAGAAGAATGGTACAAAATAGTGGTACAATAAAACAGACTGCTCACCCCAGTAGCCTCAAAGGTGAGGAGGGTTAGCCTGGGCCAGCAAGGGAAAGAAGGTCTTTTTCCCTTCCCACTCCTCATGGGAGTTCAGCTTCCTTGAGGGCTTGAGAAGGGGGAGGAGGCATCCTAACTGACTTGGGCTTCCATTGTACCTTTCAATCCAGCCATTGCTCCATGTGCACCCAAGGGGAGGGTTTACAACCCCTTACCTCCACCCAGTGTACCATTCTACTTCAGGGAGCAACAGCTCCCCTGCCTCCTGAGTATTAGGCTAGGGCTGGGTTTTGGGGCCATCTGTGGGCATCATACTAGTCACCTTTTAGGGGCTGAGAAGGAGTTTTTCCCACACTGCCAGATGAGCCTGGACAGAGAGGTATTTTCACCTTCCCCTCGGCAGTCCAGGGACTACGTGGGCAGGTTAGGTTATAGCGTTCATGTTGTCACAACCTGACAGCATACGTGTTGGAACTAGGGTTTCTGGGGGGTCCTGCTGCACCCCTAGGTTAGAAATGGTTTCCATTCATATACAGGGCTTACTGTTTGGTTCAATGGCTCTCAACACCCCCACTATACAAATTGTTCCAGCGCCCCTGCCTGACAGATACCTAAAACAGAGGAATTGGGACCAGAATTAGGGGAAACTTATCTCCTAAAGGTGGGAAATGGAGCTGGGCCTCCTAACTTCTGGTACAGTGAAGGATCAAGCCCCTTTTCGCCTCCCCTTTAAACTTTGTACAAGAGGAAGCCATTGGAGTCCCAGCATTAATGTTGAGACCAGGATTAAGGCTTTGAGTGAAGAGAGGGGAGGGCACAGAAGACTTATTGCACTCAACACTAGTTGAGTTATTGCCAGATAATTTCCCAGATGCATTTAATTAAAAAAGTTGTGGCCTAGTTAAACAACGTTCCCAGTGTCTTGTCTTTCTTCCAGTGATGTCTGGCACAAAGCACAACTGAAACAATGTTAACAGTTGACTATCTGCAAAAATTCATTAAAAGGGTCTTCAAAAGAAAAATTTCCCAAGATCTTTTATTTTTCACATGCCTATAAATGTTTTCAATAGCTAAACAGATTTCCTTCAAAAATGTAAGAAGTTCCTTCTACTCCCAATAAGACTTTGTACATGTCACCATCCAGATCGAAGGATATGATTTCACACTGTTGCTTTAAGAAAAAAAAAAAAAAAAAAGAGTCCCCTTTTGGTATAACACTAGTTGCAATGTTCATACTGTGACAAAATTTCCATTATAAACTCTGCTTCTTTTGGATTTTATAATACCTCAGCTGGGGGAAAAATTTATGAGACTTACTGCTAAATCTAGAAACGTTTAATTCACTCTTTAAAAGCAAGGATAGTTGACTAACCACAACTTTATAAACTGTGCAATGATATTCTCTACTGATTTTTTTTTTTTTGGTAGCTAGTTTTACCAGAAATTTACACTGCACATGGCAGGCTTTAAAACCTTTAAAATCCTTTGAGACAAGGTTGGAAATCAGTAGAATTACACTGGTCTACCAGATCCATAGTAAGAGTGCAGTTTCAGTTTTTAGGATTTTATTCAATACAGCCAAGGATAAGAGGAGTTTTATTACTGATTTTTTTTGTTACCTGATCTTCAATTGATTTATGATCTGTTTCCTGCAGCCAAGAGCCAAGAAGAACGCTGTCGTCATAGTGGCAAAGAGATCTAAGCAGCGATGTAGTTGTATTAGCAGAATTGTCTGTCAAAGTGAATTCTGCCACTAGTTCCCGAAGGAGTGCATTAAATGATCCTAGAAAACAGAACTGTACATTAAACCTAGTAATAATTCTTGGCTCTTCCATAGACTTCAAGGCATTTTACAGATGCAGGCAAGTAGCATTATTCTCATTTTACAGATGGAAAACTGAGGCAAAGAGCAGTACATTTGATTAGCACAGGGTCAGTGGCAGACCTGCACACAGAACCCAGGAAGGACCCTTGACTCCAAAGCCCAGTGCCTCACCCCATGTATCATGCTGGCTCCTACAAGACCATGCTCCCACTCTTGCAAACACTTATGCTTGTGAGTGGTCCCACTGAGTTCACATAAAGTTACTCACATGCGTAAGTATTTGCATGATCAGAGCCTATTTTTGTAAACAACATACTGCCACAGAAAAATGTACCATTGCTCTTTGTCCCCTCTACTAGTATTGATCTAATAGACTTGTTTCATAATGTAATAATATATTAGCATATCTAAGCTTATTAAACTCTGAATTACTGACATGCAGAATGAAAAAAAAAAAAGAATACAAACAATTTCTTTTGGACCAGAAAATATGGAGCATTTGAAAAATACAAAACCATTTTAAGGTTTGAGTGTATTTATTTCCCCAAGGACTGTGTGCACTTTCTAACATTTAGGGATTCTAAACTGAATAAATGATCTTTCATTAGAATTCTCCGAGAAAATTCACACACGTAAATAAGAAAATGAGCATTTTGTCCTAACTGCAGTTACATTTACAAGTTAGATGTCAACTTAATGATGCTAACCTTTTGAACACTTGAAATCAATATATTTTATACATCAACAGTTTGGACTGATTTAAATCAAAGCTGATTTTAATCAGCAAACAGGAAACACTAATTTAAACAACAGATTTTAATCTTGTTTTTCTTTTCAAATTTTTAGTTATTTCCATAGAGAAAGACTGATTCTCATTTGTGGGTGACCATGAAAGCATTCTGGTTTGCAACTAAATAAAAAACTTTTATACCAGATTTCTTTTTGCTAAGCAAGAGGATTTATATCTATACACATTCATTTGAACAGTTATATATCTTAACTTACATTTTTCAGATTCCTAAATTTTACGTTTTTTATTATAGTGAATGATGCATTTATTTACTAGATGATTACTAATTTTTTCTTGTGATTTGTGTCAAGGTCTATTTGGATGGAAATTCAAATTCAACTAAATATGCATAATAACAGCATTTTAAGTTGTATATATGTATTTATTAGTAGTAGTTAAATAAAACTACCTTAAATGTGCAGGATACATAAGAAAAAAAAGTTTATCAAAACATGTTTTACCTTTAATGCTAACTGATTTATTAAAAAAAGAATCTGTAATCACAGAACTGTAGTGATTGTTGCTGGTCAATATGTCCTTCAAGATTTTAGAACTAGTAGACCTTATCCTTTCACACCTAGTTTCTATTCACAGAATGAAAGAGGAAAACAAGCTTTCCTGCTTTCCCAATTGGTTTCTTAACTTTGAATGAAGTAGTTATTGAACTAACCTAGCTGAATAAACTGAAATGAAGAAAATATTCTCTCTGCACTGCAAAAGGCTATTGCTGTCAAAAGTTGGTTTAAATCTTCAAAGTAAACTCTGGTTCCACATACTTATCCAGAGACTTCCCCAGTTAAGTGGTTTGACTTTCTTTAAAACTTAAAGAAGCAAAAATGTACTGCTTAATATTATTTTTTTATTTAATTTAAATGATTGTAATAAATTACATAAATGTAGGCCTTAACTTAATTTTTCAGAGTTTCAAATTTAATTTTAAATGTTTATTTTAAAAAATAAAACTGTATTTAATGTAACTTAAAGGATCCAATTTAAAGAAAAATATCCATTTTTAATTTTTAAGGTTTTTTAATTATGGATTTTTATCCACTATGTATATTAATCTAGTACTGCATTAATGTTAAAGACTAAGAAACCATAAACTTAAAACCAGGAAATAAATCTTATCTCTATCCTTTGTGTATCTGCCTTGAAATATCATTCTGTACTTGTTATATCAGTTTATTGTATTTGTTAAATAAAACATAAAATACTACAAACTTAAAATTCTCTTAAAACTCTACAAATTGGAACTTCATCTTCTGTACATATATATTACATACACTGTATGCGTTGTGCTGTACTATGCAGTGTACAAATTATGCATCTAAATTGATAATATTTAAAATTCTAATACTATATTCTTCATTCTCTAGAGAGTTTCCATTTTTATCTTACTAATGTTATCTTTTACTTTGAATAAATTATATGGGATCTTCTTAGTCCTGTATTTTCACTGAAATCACAGAAATCCAATACATATGGAAGATTTGTCACACCTTTGAACTCTACCATTTCTTTTAACTGTGAATTTAGATCTTAAATATTTAAACTGCACTGTAAAGATTTTGAACCAATTATTTCTTTTTCAACTGGTATGGATCTAAGCCTTACCCACCACAGAATCCATCAAAAGGCATAACTACACTTTCTTATTTTGTAACTCCCTTTAAAAATATATATTTATTTACCTTCATACGTTTTTGGAGGTAACAAAGCCAAAATGTCATAAAGTCTTAAACGGACCATAGCTGCACTAGCTTTAAGATGAGCTCCATGGGCTTTAATTACCGATGGAATGCTACAGTGTGAAAAAGAAGAGAGTTAGGTACAATCAAGCATTAATTATGTTATGATATAGGGAATTTAGGAATTTTTTTAAACATAAGTGGTAGTTGAGATAACAGTACACTGTTCAAAAAACTATTCTGAACAAAGTTTTCAGAAGTAACAGTACTGAGAGGATCTTTAACACCGTACAAATCAAAGAGCAGATCAAAATACATTAGTAAACTACTACTACTGTAAATTTCTCTCTTTGTTTTGTTTTCTGTAATGTATATTTAAAACCTTTTCATCTGTTACATTGTTTAATAGGCCACTTTAATTAACAAACTTCATTTTTACTTCTAATTTCTTGATGTTCTTATTCTTTGTGAAGGGACTAATTAACTAAGGAATCAAGAATTTATTGACCTGGAAATCCAAAATCAAAAAGGGAGTTTAAAATGACAAAGTCAAGTCAATTGTTGTATGCAGTGTTGTTGTAGCCATGTCAGTCTCAAAATATTAGGAAGACAAAGGTGGGTGAGATAATATCTTTTACTGGACCAACTTCTGTTGGTGAAAGAGAAAATCTTTCAACCTTACATAGAGCTCTTTTTCTTCTTCTTCTTCCCCAGACCTAACCTGTCTCTCTAAAGAGAAGTCAAAACAGGCCCAAAATATAAGTTTTCTGATAAACTTTTACAAAATGTAAGACCAAAATAAGTGTTCTCATTAAATTTAAAAAAAAAACAAAAATCTATCTTACTTCAAGAAAAAGAAATGAGCACTGCTCTGTGGGCAATTCAAGGACTGCAACATAAGGTCACAGCATGAGAAACTACAAGTAAAACTAACTAGAAATACAAGTGAAACTTACTGAACCAATTTCAATACCCAGGCTCAGTGAAAAGTAAAACTCAGACCTGAAACAGTGACAGCTTAGGTTTTTTATTCCATATTGAAAATGTAAGCCATTGTTTGTAACAGCAGTAAAGATTGTTTGAATAATGGCATTTTTAGCCTCAACCTGTCCCTTTAAAAATTATGCAGACAAGAAGAGAATCTTAAAAGCTGTCTACTTACTGTGACATCATTGTCATGGCACATTCTATGGGTGTCATTAATTTTCTGATCACATCTTCAGTAAGGAGCTCAGGACAGTGAGCAACAAAACTCCTCATAGCTATCAATGTAAAACATTTCAGTCAAAGTTAAATTGCAACAGAAATGGAAATAAATTTCAGCAAGTAACCAAGCTACAGATGCCAACAGGATATATTAAAAAAAAACTTTTAATCACATTTTTATTAACTCATAGCTCATAAAACAATTAGTAAGATTACACACTGGAAAAAATTAATTATGTAACAAGTTTTGTGCATGCTTTTTCTATTACTTTTTGATAGAAAGAGGTGAATTACAAATTCTCTGTATGAGTATGGTATTTGTGATGTTGAAATTAGCATACATCTAATGAAACAGGACATGAACTTTCACCACTTCTTTGTGATTCTTACCGCACAGAGCTCCAGCACGACCTTCCAACGTTACTTGCCAGGTAAAAGAGTCTCCTCGGGCTTTCTCTGCTTCCAGCTCCTTTAGAGAACGAGGAAATACATTTCGCCATAGCAGCAGCATCTTAGGTAGATGGTACCGAACAACTGAAGGACCTAATCAAGGAAATGTTTATCTGAAATTGCAGCATCTATTTATAATGTGCAATATATTAAAAAATAAGGGTATTTCAATTAATAACCTAAGACTAAAATAAATTGCTATGCAATAGAGATTTCTGAATACAATTACTTTTCACTGTATATACTGATTCCTTACTTTTTGCATTTCCGCCTGCTAGAACAATGAAAAATAAAGGAAGTCATTCTCATTTTTAGGTTAAAAGTGCTGTAAACAAACTGCAAGGGTATTTTTATTTGTTGACTAACAACTGTTTTTATTAGAGAGACAAAGTAGATGAGGTGTAGCTCAAAAGCTTGTCTCTTTCACCAACAGAAGTTGGTCTAATAAAAGATTTTACCTCATCCACATTGTCTCTCTAATATCCTGGGACCAACATAGCTACATCAACACTGCAAACAACTGTTTTTATTGATTATTTTAAGTCATGGAAACATATCTATTAGTCTTTGGTTCTGTGGAGTCTTGTTTATACAAATGCTAAATTTGGGGGCAAATTTAAGTTGACAATGTCCCTTTAAAAACCTGGATGTTTTTATAATAATACATTAGTGATTTCTACCACCAGTCTCCATTTTTGTTTTTCATCATATTCTCAGCTGGAGCAAGACATGTTCTTTTAACTAAGCTAACCTATTCACATTACAAACAAACAAAAAAACTAACTGGAAGTATCTAGCTTTAATGGTAAGTTTTTCAAAAAGTTTTAGAAAAAGTTCTGGAGGGCATAAAATTCACTGTTGCAAGCTCCTTTTTTTTTAAAAAAAAGAAAAGAACAGAAAAAGTCCCTAGAAGGGCAACAAAGATAGTTTGATGTATTTCAAGACTCGCATATGACAACACATTTGCAAAACCCAGGATTACTTGGAGCAAAAAGAATAGACTAGAGAGGGAACCTGATTGAGAGCAGTGAACAGAGATCTGCCCCGTTTTCACCTTGTGTCATAATATAAACTAGAAAATTGTTACTGAACCACTAAAATTTCAAGAGAGGCTATTTAAAACCTCTCAGTGTATGATCAATCTGCAGAATGCACTGCCACAGAAGGTCAGAGCCAAATATTGGGTTGGATTTTAAAAAGACAACTCGATAATTAAGACCATTCAGATCTGTCATTGTTCAGTTATAATTATTTATACTGTTCCACAGAGATGAGATACTGACATGGGTAATCACATCTCATATTTATCAAAGCATTACATAATTAAGTAAGGCACATTAACTATAGAATGGGGGAAGGGGTTTGCCCTCCTGCAAGGCATCAGCTACTTGCTATTGCTAAATGCAGAACTAAACAGAAAAATGTTGTGACCTGCTATGGTAATTCAGCTTATATAAAAGCATCAGTATACCACTCCAGTTTAACTTAAAAAGGGATAAATGAACATTTAACTATTGAATTATGAACATGATGCTATACAAACAGAGTAATTTTCCTCCTAGAATAAATAATCTTGTGCTACATTTTTGATTGCTCCAGTACAAAGTGTATTTACCAAAACAGATACATCAGAAATGCTGGACAAGAATTAAAACAATATAACTAAAATAAAAAGCAACTACTTGTACAAACCTAAAGTCATAAGTGCACCAAGTAAAAGCCACCCAGCTTGAGTGCGCTGTAAGGACAGTCTGCTATTTTGAGCAGCAGTTCGTAACAGATCCTCAGCAATACTGACTACCATCTGCAACAACAGGATAAAGAGTAATGGATTTCAAACAGAAGTTAAATCAGCTAAGGAAGGTGCCACAAAGTAACCTATTACACATGCTCTACTGTATGTTAAAATGTTCTCAAATAAACAAACAAATAATCTTACATTTTGTAAAGACCAGATTACTTTTTAGGCAGGTTATATCTACTCTTATGTATGTGCAATGCTTATATAGTCAACCTGTCTGTGTTATCAATTAATTCTTGAAACAGAATTTAATGAAATCACAACGAGAAAACAAAGCTGTGAAACAATAACTAAAAGCACACCAAAAATGACTTTTGTTCTTTATCAGTCATTAGTTAGGTTTCAACGATGTTTTAAGGGTCAGTGTCCCGCAGTCAGTTGGAACATTTATTTCTCAGTACAAATATCTTTCACTACAGTACAATTCCAGAGATTAAACGTTCTTCATCATCAACTCACTTTTCCCTTTGCATGAGGAATACCTAAGGGACACTGATGCACTCCACCTAGTAAAGCAGCCATTGCAAAACTGTAGCCACTAACTGCTTCTGGTGAGGTCTTCAGATTGTTGAGCCTTTCAGCGCACCTATCCAGAAATGGAGTCAACTGAAAAGGCAATGCCACAGCTACACAGCGCAAGCACCATGCAGCAGCTAGTCGAGCAGCCATGCTTGGATGAAGAAGAACTGAGGTTACCGTCTCCAGTAGCCCTATGAAAAAAACAATACATGATCATGTAATTAAAGACTATCACAATGTATCTATACAAGGGGCCCAACTGAATGTTGCAGAGGCAGCCTTAATTCTGGTGTTTCCTAACTTTTGAGTGCTTGATTTTACAACCTTAATTTTCTTTTAACATAATTTTGTGTGTGCTATTTCCTACATGTTTAAAAAATAAACTGAAATAAATTCTATCACATGGCATCATACTGATCCCCAAACAGTTTATCAGGAGGACTGGAACCTTTAGATCCACAATACAGGCCTCTGACACTCGAACTCAAGGTGACAGAGCATCAGTGGGCTGCCATCCTAAACAGCCACTAGAGGGGGATGAGACACATTTTGCCAGTAGGTTTCACAAATATTTAATGACAACAGAGATACAGCAAGATTCAGAAATCTTGGGATCCATTCCAGGTTCTGGATAGGAATGTGCTCTAGGGGTCATATAGACTTCTACCCCTGTCCCAGTCCTGTCTTCTCCCCTCCCCTAACCACTGGACTCTTCATCCTAGTCTCAAGAGCACCCTCCTCATGTACCCAGGGCCTGTCTCTTCCCCTGGGCTCCTCATCCCAGTCTCCATTCCCAGCCAGCCCTAGTCTCTCTTCCCCCACCATTTCCCAGTTTTTCTGTCACCTGCCAGTCCAAGTCTCCTCCAATAGGCTCTGTGTCCCAATCTACTCCCTCCATCACCCCCATGTCCAGCTCTTATCCCCACTGTATTTGAGTCAGCCGTCTTCCTTCTTCTCAGTGCTTGGGTGCCAACAAGGGGAGCACTGAGAGCACAGGAGTGAGTATCCTTGCCCTTAGTTCCTATGTTCAACGCCACAGTACCCCCTCAGTAGCTACGAGAAGCAACTGCAGGGGAAATCATGCAAAGCCCCTGCACTGCAGCATGCTCAGTACAGACATTTTTCAGATAATCTACCTGTTGTTAAATGCTAACAACTCTCCACTGAACATGTGCAAGCTGAGATTTTTCAAAGGCTTATAATTTGGCCAAACTTGGGCAGTTTTTCCTGGGAACAGCAAAAGGCACATCCCTGGCACAAAGACAACTCCCTCCCCTTGCTACAAAGCATGGAGGCACCAGAGCTTTTCAACAAAACCACTTTAAGATTTTTTTTTTTTTAACATGAGCAAAACAACGTATTTTCCCTTTTCTCAGCAACAGCTAGGCCATTTTCAATTAACTTTCCTAAAAAAATTCACCCTGAGGAAGATACTCAGAGACACCTTGTTTCTAAAATGGTTATTTATCCGTTATATTTTGCCAGATTTTAACCGTGTTTCATATAACTACTCAAAATGTCTTATGAACTGCTATATAGAGCTGCTGAGCTTCATCCACATACCTATAGAGGGTTCTTGTATGAGTGGAGATGCAGTGGCGTTCAGGCTCTGAACCAGGCTACCCAGCTCTTGAAGGGCACACACCATCACATGTTGGCTTGCAGCTACGTCAGCAGCTCCTGATTTATTTTCGCCGTTAGTATCATTCACAACTGCTTCTGCAAAAGAAGAAAAGCAAGTATCTTACTAAACTTTGTCACTTGAATCACACTTGAATACAGATAAGAATCACTACAGAAGCTGGATAGAGACTATTTAGTTTTGGCAACAGCCTTAAAAATACAAATGCAACCACAAGTTTTCTACCTACAATGACATGGCAAAAAAATCCCCCCAAAATGTAACACCTTTATGGTTATTAGCAAAAGCCAAAGTAAATAGTCCAACCAAGCCTCATTTACAATGGGTGACAGAAATTATTCTGGATACTAGAATAATAACAAAAGTTGTTTAGCTCAGAAATGGAGCAGTTCTAAAATAGCAAAGATGACTACAGAGAAAATATGGACATGTTATATACACACACACACCCCTATATGTGTGTGTGTGTGTGTGTGTGTGTGTACACACACACACACACATATATATATATATATATACACATATATATATATATAAATTTATTAAAATGTAATCTTAATATATTTATGCAGAGTTTTAGATTTTGTTTCTTTCAAGAATTTGCATGTATGTGTATGTGAGGGGTTGCAAAAATCAGGCTTATAACAAAAAAGAAATCACACCAGTAACTATGGGATAAAAGAAAAAGTCAGTAATGTAATTTGGGGCACTCTGCTCTGTGTGTTTCAGTGGGACATTTCAACTCTTCCTCCTGCATCTTATCTCAGCAGCAGCCCTAGGCTATTCAGGCTAGGCAAAGAAGATATACATTGTGATAAACATAAGAATGGCCATATTAGGTCTGACAATGATCCATCTAGTTCAGTATCCTGTCTTCCAACAGCGGCTGGTGCCAGACACTTCCGAGGGAGTGAACAGAACACTTATTGAGTGATCCATCGCCTCATAGACTCTAAGGCCAGAAGGGACCATCATGATCATCTAGTCTGAACTCCTGCACATTGCAGGCCACAGAACCTCCCCCACCCTGTAATAGACCCATAACCTCTGGCTGAGTTCCTGAAGTCCTCAAATCATGATCTAAAGACTTCAAATTACAGAGAATCCTGCATTGACACTCGTTTAAATCTGCAAGTGACCCATGGTCCATGCTGCAGAGGAAGGAAAAAAACTCCAGGGTCTCTGCCAATCAGACTCGGGGGGAAATTCCTTCCTGATCCCAGTCATCTAATCCCAGTTTCTAGCTGTCAGAGGTTTAGGGACACCAGAGGGGACACTGACATCTACTCAAATATTGACAGACAACGAATGAGCATGCTCAGAAGTGATTTTTCAGTCACATAACTTCATTTCCATCACATCACAAACCTAACAAAGGGATGATTACAAAATAAGGAAATGCAAAATCTGGAGTTTCTTTGTTCAGCCATTTTTGGGTTATTGGTGAACAAAAATCAAATGTCTCAAAAATTATGAAAAAATTATTTATTGCTCTTCCAATAATTTAAAATTTCTAAGGGGATTTTCTGCTAACTATGGTGGGGAAGTAATTTCTGAGATGAGACCAATGATAGAAGTATCATCCCCCAAAGAAGAATTTTTCAGACAGCTATGACCGTGAAAAACAGGAATTCAGATGAAATTCCTGATATAATCTTAACTGTAGTTTTCACTAGGACATTGTACCCTGGAAAAATTATTCTGTGAAAATGTTACTGCGCAGTTCCAGTTTACTGTCTCAATCTCCAGCTCAAATTTTCTCATTTTATAAGTAAAATGAGTTATTTTAATTGCCAGCTCTGTAAAACCTTCCATGGGATCTTTGAATCTTTTCTTCTCAGACACAATCACAAATAATTAAAGATTCTGCAAGCCAAGTTATGGCCACATTTATCTTTTGTAACTCCACTGTCTTCAAAATATGCTCTGTAAAATCAACATAGATTTCAGGAAGAATGCATGGGTTTATTTCAGGGCCTAATATGACCTGTGTGATTAGTAGAGGTAATAATGCATAAGAAGGAAAGAACCCAGCTTCATTTTTAGAGATCACAAGACAATTTTCTGGGATAGCACTTTGAAAAAAAAAAATCTTTTTACTTGTAAACTAGATGACAAATGCCACTCTCCACAATGCCACTTGCGCAGAATCACTCTTCAGAGTAGAACCAAATTTTTAGTATGGATAACTTTAACATTGCAAACTGACTGAGGAAAAAAAACAGCTGAGTAGTTTAACAGCATAACTGCAGTAATCATTCACTAGTAGAGAAAAAACATTATTAAAGTTTTGCTCCACTTGTTTCCTAAATAAAGAAAAAAGTTTCTTACCCACTGCCTTCATTTGTTTACCAATGGCTTGACAAATATCTTTGGCAGCTGCAATCTGTGCTTTCTCCCCTAATAAACTACCTACGGTTGCTCTCAGGATAAAGGACACACATCTTCGAGAGTATACTGCCTCTACATGAGTCTGAGTTGCACGAGGATGGGACACCAGATCCAGGACATGGGACAAAAACGTAGCAAAATTGCGCTCCAACCACTGTCCGCCTAGCGTTGTAACAAAGACAACATATGCCTGCAAATACAAGATATATATATTCAATGCAAACGGGAACAAATGGGTATATTTATTCACGCTAGAAGGCTTTAGGAAGACAAGAGGAAAGTCTAGTCAAAGCAAAAAAACAAAAAGGCACTTTTAGGGTTGTGTGTGTTGCTGGCTTCTTCTTTTTTTTAAAACTCTCAACAATGGCAAGCATGGTGAACATGTTATAAATCATCTAATCCAGTTAAAAAAAACAACAACACTGAGGACTGATCATTTGGTCAAATGTCTAAAGTTGCTGTGAACTGACCAAACAAAAGAAAAAGCATTCAGTAAAGCCTAATGTTATGCAAGAGAATAGCTGTAATCCAATCACTGCAAATGCCATGTACTTTCACATCACTATGTCCCTTTGGAAGAAACGTTTTAATCATGTAAAATAAGTTGACAATATATTTATATAGGCTTGCCATATGAATGGTACAAAATATATTCAAAGAGTGCTTTTCTCCTTTGTTTTTAACCCAGATTGCCAATGTGTTATATATTTATATAAATCAAAAATAAGTATACATGTTTTAAAGCACTGTGTTGTACAGTCATAAAAAAGGTTATGGCTGTTATTCTTCCATCTACCATGAAACCCCACCACTCCCTAAAAAAGCCTAGGAAAAATGAAGTTTACTTACTTGTAGCTGGAGTTCTTCAAGATAAATTCTGTATATGCACACCCTGGGATGCTCCCACAGGTGCAGCCTGAACAGCAGAATGCTAGCTAGCAGTAGACGTTGGGAGTGCTCACACATCCTCTCCCCTCCTTCAGTGAATGCTCAGTGTTCCCGGGTGAGAGTACACAAGGGGCATGGAGCTCCAGCCATTTAAGTTCCTTCCCCTGTGACCCCAGGTCCTTCAGTAAGTAGGACTCCGAGGCAGTGGGAAAAGGTGGACAGGGGGTGTGAATACGCAGAGTCTACCACAAAGAACTTCAGTTACATGTAAGGAACCTAAATTTCTTCTTCAAGTGTCCTCTGCACATTTGCATTCTTGGGATAGATTAACAAGCAGTAATTCCAGTCCAAGATGTTGGGACGACAAAGTCCTAATTGAACAAGGGCTGTAAAACTGTCTTGCCAAATTTTTTATCAGACCTAGATTCCAAATCTGAAGAGCAGTGTTTAATGAAAGTGTATATAATCTAGTATCTCCATCTTGAGTGTGAGGTTGGAGGAGGGGAGGAGGAGGTGGGGCAGAATACACTGGTTTATACAAAAATCTGAACCATCTTTGGTAGAAACCTTGGGTGTGTACAGAGAATTACTTTATCTTTATGAAAAACAACACATAATGGATCAGCCATTAGGGTATGCAATTCATTTATTATTATTACCAGCCTCTACATCATTCCTCTCAAAAACAGCAGCCATCTTATGTCTGGCAGAAGTAATAGCTAACAAAAATACTGTCTTAATAGACAGATGGAACAACATACAACTTCCCACAGGTTCAGAGGGAGGTTTAATCAATTGTGAAAGCATTATGTTTAAATCCCAAAATGGGGTAGGATGCCTGATTGGAGGATAGAGATTATTAAGACCTTTTAAGAACCTTGTAATCACATCATGAGTAAAGACCAATTTACTGTCCACAGGATCCTGCTATGCTCACATGGCTGAAAGGTGAACCTTCACTGAAGATAATGAAAGACCTGTTCTCTTAAGATACAATAGATATTCCAATATGTAACTAATAGGTGCTGTAAAGGATCTATATCATACATGGAAACCCACAACAAAAGCCTTTTTCATTTATAGCCATCACTTTCTCATCAGGACTCTTTCCTTGAATTTATCTGAACATTTCACACCTCTTATGTTTTCTAATAATCTCACAGTCTAACTCCCCGTGCTGTTAAATGAAGAGACTGAAGATCCGGGTGACAGACCTTCCCTCATTGTTGTGTCAACAAGTTCGGTGCCAACAGCAGAGGTTTGATTAACGTGAATCAAGTCCAGTTCCCACTGTTGTCTGGCCCAGGCTAGTGCTATTAAAATTACCCTGGCTCTCTTGTTTTACTTTATCACTCTTTGAATAAAGGAACTGGGGGAAATGCATATGAGGCCTTGACTCCAACTTATTAGAAACTCACCTGATACTGAGTCCATGGCCATTTGCTCTTGAGAAAAATCTTGCATGCTTGTTGTTGTTTTTGGATACAATAAGGTGTATTACAGGCTTCCCCTACAACCTGAAGAGGTGCATTACTACTTTCTTTTAAAGATCATTCGTGCACTGGACAGGTCGACCTGCTCAGGTGGTCTAAAAGGGAGTTTTGTTCCCTGATACATGAATCGCTATTGGGTGAACACCTTGTTCTATATATTAATCCCAAAGATGCAATTTGCCCAATTGTAGAGAATGAGCTCCACCTTGTTTGTTTAGCTAATATAATGGTGTCACAATGTATGTTACCTCCGGAACTACTTTGTGTCTGACCTGAGGTAGGGATCATCTGAGAGCCAGCCTGATTGTGCTCAGATAACACGGTGATATGAAGTGTCTTTTCTCCTGGTGACCAGTGCCCCCTGACCACAATACTGTTGTTTAAGTGGGCCCCCCATCCAGAATAGATGCATTGGAGGTAATTACTACTGATGGCATATAGTGAAACTGAATGGTATACCTTTCATCGCATTTAGACTGCATGTCCACCACGTCAGTGCTGCTAACTCCTACTGTGGAATTACCAATTTGCAATGTGTATTGTCTACGCCTGGTTTGTAATTTCTCCCTAGCTAGTGCTGCAGACCTCTCATCCAAGGATTAGCATGCGGGGTCTCTGATGTAGCTGATGATAAGAGACCCATTAAACAGAGAAAAAATAACACTGGCTGTTGAGAAAAGTGCAGTAGGAGATGTAAAGATGATTTTAATTTTATAAACCTTTCTTCTGGAAGAAAGGCTTTTGCTATAACTGAGTCCAATATGATCCCTATTGGAAGGGATCCTTTCAGTTGGATTTAGGAGTGATATTTCCCCAATTTATACGTAATTCCAGACTGGAAAAAGTTAAACATATTTGTTTTACATGAAACAGGGTCTCTTCCTTCGACAAAATTTTATTAACCAGTCGTTAAGGTAAGGGATATACATAAATCCCTTGCTTTCTCAGATATGCTGCTACTACAGTGACATTTTAAAACACTCTCGGGGCTGTAGAAAAACCGAAAGGGAGGACCTTATATGAAAATACTCCTCTCCTGCAATGAAACGCAGATATTTCCAGTGAAATGGCCGTACTGAAATGTGGAAATGCACATCTTAAATCCAGAGCTGCAAACCATTTCTGAAGGCACAGAGAACAGATTATAGAAGTTAGAGATAACATGCAGAAACTAGACTCTTTAACAGGAACAACCTCCTCTCTGAGCAAACCCAAACGAACCAGGTCCTTCATTAAGGACAGAACAGGAGAGAGGTGTTAGGATATAGATATTCAGGCCTGTCTGTAAAGGCCTATACGCTAATTTAGGTGTATTCTTATCACTTAGCTGGTTATAGAGGTATAAAAGAAAGAATCAAAATCGCTGTCTGCCGGTGTAAGTGCCTTCTCTTATTGTGACAGTCTGAAGCCCTGTTCTTAGGCTAAGGCCTTTGGCTAAACAGCAGAGGCAGCCATAAGCTGGGAAGCGAATGGTCACATCCTCACATTCCAAACTAGTCACACTGAAATAAGGTGCTACTGGGCTGTTAGGAATACAATCCTGTCCTGATAATGCCTATCACCTCCGGAGAAATGGAAATGCCTAGAAGATGTAAAAGGAAACTTAGTTTGATAGCATCCTGTCTGACAAGAACTCACTGAAGAATAGATGTAGTTGTGAAATCCTCACTTCTGTATTGTTTTGTCACTATAGTTCCCACTTTGCTATTGTTTATTTGCACGGTCTCTGTCTGGTTCTGTGATTGTTTCTGTCTGCTGTATAATTAATTTTGCTGGGTGTAAACTAATTAAGGTGGTGGGATATACTTGGTTAAATAATGTTACAATATGTTAGGATTGGTTAGTTAAATTTCAGTAAAATGATAGGTTATGGTATAACTAAGCAGAACTCAAGTTTTACTATATAGTCTGCAGTCAATCAGGAAGTAAGGGGGGGAAATGGGAACAGGGAATGGGAGTGGGGAATTGGAATCATGTTTTGCTAAGGGAGGAAATGGGAAGAGGGACACAGGTAAGGCTCTGTGGTGTCAGAGCTGGGAAGGAGGACACTAAGGAAGGAAACTGGAATCATGCTTGCTGGAAGTTCACCCCAATAAACATCGAATTGTTTGCACCTTTGGACTTCGGGTATTGTTGCTCTCTGTTCATGCGAGAAGGACTAGGGAAGTAAGCGGGTGAAGGAATAAGCCCCCTAATAAGAGGGGTTGGTGGAAGAAAGGGATTTGAATTGTACCAAATAACCACATTCAATAATCTCTAGAATCCAGCTGCCCAATGTTATTAATTCCCACTGCTGGTAAAAACGGGACAGGTGGTTCCCCAAACAGAGGATAACAGAATGTAACAAGGCTGACATAACTTTTGTGAACTCTGTGATCTTGGAGGAACTGCAGAAGACAATGATGTTGAAGATTGCCTTTCTTATTGTGATACTTAAATGACCTCTTTTTGTTTTGCTGTTGTTGTTGAGAGGAATGACGTTGAGGTTGATAATAATAATTCTTCCTCTGATAGGAGTAAGGAACCAACAACGAAGAAAGTGGATATTGTCTCTGGTATAGGAAAAATGGAATTGCAGATGATTTTGTTGTATTAAACTCCAAAGATCTAACTGTAGATCTGTTGTTCTTCATTTTCCCTAGCAAGTCATCTGACTGTGCACTAAGCAAGCCATCTTCAAAGGGAAGATCCTCAAATCTCATCCTTGTCTTCTGCGAAAGACACACTAATCTAACCCTAGTATGTTTTCTTAATGCAACAGCTGAAGCCATTGCTCTAGTTGACGCATCTAAAGAGTCAAATGCTGCTCTAAATGAATATTTAGCCACATGTTGCCCTTCTACTAAAAAAGGGTTTGTTAATCTTTTATGCTCCTCTGGTAGTGCATTCAGGAATGTCAAAGTTTCCCCATAAATGATATTGATATCTAGCCATGACAGCTTCATAATTTACTATTCACAAACGTAAAGGAGCTGAAGAAGATATTGTCCTCCCAAACACATCCAGTCTTTTCCCTTCTCTATCAGCAGAGTGAACTTGTGTACCCTTCAACATGAGTACTGCAGCCTCTACTAACAAATTAGAAGAGGAATGAGAATGGAACAAAGCAAGACCTTCCTGAGGGAATTGGTATAATTTGTCAGCCTTTTAGCAAAGAAGGAGCCTCAGGTACCAGGAGCAATGGAAAAATCCTGACTTCAACTCTCCATCTCGTCCCTGCGGAAACATCCAATTGAATTGGTGCCAAGAAAATGTCCAGGTCCTGCTCAATTGCAACACAAGGATTAATCGCTGACGGAGTCAGAGGTGGACCCAATCAATGTACCTGCACCATTACTATTTGTTGTGGTGCTGTGTTAAGATCCTTAATCTTTCCCTCAAACCACTGCTTCCTTAGCTTTAATTTTTGGAACTGGCTCATTTGGAGCCAACAGAATTGGATCTGAAGAAGAACATCTCCTGATTCTACCACAAGAATCTGTACACGCAGTAGGTTCCCTGAAGACCCTCTTGCAGACTGGCTCTTTTCAAACAGGCTGGCACCAACGAGGATAGAGCGTTCATGCTCCCCGTAATGTCTGAGTCCTTTTCTTGTGGACTGGCTCTGAAAACAGAGGCTGACACCACAGTAGAAGAGGCTTCCCTCTTCATATCCTTCCTGTTTCTGGCTCCTTCAGTGCTGAGTACTGAGGAGGCAGCTTTATCTTTCTTCCTTGCAGATTCGCTCAAGGCCTAAACTGGTCTCTGCGATGAACCTTGCATTTGCTTGGTTTCGGATGGTTTTGCTGACAAAGCTTCTCATAGTAAAATTCCTCAAAGGCTGTTCTGACTCTCTCTTTTTTGCTCACATTGCAAAATGTTGAGCAAATCGAGCATTCCAATGGGGAGTGTCCCTCATTCCAACATGCCAGACATCTGGCATGTGCGTCAGACGCTGGAAACACAGTCAGACATGATATGCACCTTTGAATCTCTGGGGGTTTTAGTCTTTGGTTCCACCTCCTTTGCACCAAAAAACTTATAACTAACTTACTCTATGATACTAATACCAAAACTATTAATTACTAGACTAACTAGATCAAACTAGCTACAGATTTAGGAACACCCTGGAGCAGTTCCTAATCCATGCAGCTGGTGATGGCTGGATAGAACTGAACCAGCTGGAGAGCCACCCCCCTTTTATGCCCTCACCCTGGAACGTTCACTGAGCAGGGAGGCATATGAACACTCCAACAGCTACTGCTTGCTAGAATTCCATAACTCAGGCTGCACTGGTCGGAGCATTCAAAGAGTTGGAATATGCAGAGGACCCTTGGAGAAAAACACATGTCTTGTGTTGCACACTGAGCCTCAACAGATCAGGGTTCTAGTAAGCGGACTACAGTAAGAGGAAGTGTATGTCAGAGTTGGGGACCCATATTGATGCCCAGCTCTATTTGCTTTAAACCAGGTGTCTGGGACCTTGAGTTCCTCAGCAGATCTCAGCTGCTACAGTAACATGAGGGAATAGAGATGGTCTAGCAGGGTTGCCAGGATCCAAACGATTTAGGGCTGCAAACTTTATCCAGAAAATCAATTGGTAGCCAATGCAGATCACAGAGAACAGTAGTAATGTTCTCTCTAGGGGAAATTCAAGTTAAGTTGCATTCTCAATCATCCATTTTTCAAATAGTTTTAAGGAGTACCCTTAGCACACTGTGATTGGATGATATTTTTCATATATCCAGTATACATGGCAAACTCTAATCTGTAGTTGTCATATTCTCTAATTTAAAAAATAAATAAATAAAAAAGCAAGCTTTCAAAAGTCAGCCAGTATTACTAGCTAAAAAATAATAGTAATGTTTATGTAGTGCATGGAACTAATGTAATTCTCTCTGGTGAACAACAGGCAAGTCAACTTGAATCCATATATAAGTTTATACAAATTGCCAAATTAAGAAAGTGCATTACACATTTATGCAATCCTACTGTTTTGGGACAAATACAAGAACAATAACTTAATAAGCCTATATAGTCACATTTTTCCCCAAACAGGGCTAATAGCTCCAGGGTATATATTGTTACTACATTTTCAGAAAACATGAGAGGAAAAAAACTTCTAACAGTTATCACAAACCTGTGTGACACCAACTCGAACTTCCCGATTGACAGACCCTCCTACTTTCAACATCTCACCACCACTTTTTAGGAATCCTGACCCTCCTCGAAGAAACCCTGTGGCCATAAGTTCCAAGACTTCCTCCAGTGTAGCCCGCTTCACATTCTGACGCATCACTTTTGGAAAGACAACAGTAATCATTTAATTACATATTTTTTTAAAACAAGACAATTTAGCCATCTTAAGACCCACCATTAAATATTCACATCACTCCTGCCACCCTGAATCCAGTTTAAAATCCTTATTTTTTTATTTTTTACATATTTATTATTTTGAATTCTCAGTGGAAGACTCCCACCTGTGGTCTTCACTAAGATGCTCACACAGCTGCCGTAGCAAAAGTAAAATAAAACTATGAGGATCAAACCATTCCAATCTGTCTCAAACTACTGCTGCCAGCATCAATATACAAAAGTATAGGTCTATGCCCAGATGTGCAAATTCTCGAAGGGAGAGGGAAACACAGTTGAAATGAAGGGAGATGGCCAAGTCTAGCCTCTTGTTTCCCCACGGTAACATGGTTTAGGGGAAAAGAAGCACTCTGCATTTCTCCCTAGCAATTCCTGTGGTCACTTTGAAGGAACAAACCTGATATCTGCAGAGGGTGCCACATTCAGTACTTCTCAGCCATATAATGTAAGTTCATAAATAGAGCCTTATTTTTAAAATAATAGAATCCTCCCCCATTTGAAAGTGTTTATGTTTCAGGTTTATGTGTGTGGTGATGGTGGGGGTTGAGGAAGTAAGTAAGAGAAAATAAAATAAGATATACGGACCTAATTCTAACCTTCACTATCGAGAGATATGCATCACTATACATTCACACATTTTAAATTACTCATGACTGCCTTTTCACATGCATGCACAATAGCAGCTTTTCCTTACATAAGGCAACATACTAGTGCACACATGAAAGATCAAAATCTGGTTCTCAAGTCTTGTGTACACTAGGAATTTTTTGGACCCACCTGTGGTAGTGCCAGCGGAGGCTTTAGCATAGACAAGGCTCAGGTGTTTTGACTGCCATGGTCAGATCACCCAACTGCAAAAATGCCTAAGCCAGTCTGACCCTTGCCTACATTACATCTTCCCTCAGCGCTACAGCTGTGGAGCCATGCCCCTTTGAGAATGATGAAGCCAATAAATCTGACCATAGACGGAGCTTGAATGTGTGATTTCAAGCTTTTTTTTTTTTTTTTAAAAAGGTAACAAAAAGAGTATTTTACGTCTCATTATTCTGAGATTGTTAAACTAGGTAAAAAGAAAAGGAGGACTTGTGGCACCTCAGAGACTAACAAATTTATTTGAGCATAAGCTTTCATGAGCTACAGCTCACTTCATCGGATGTAGCTCACGAAAGCTATGCTCAAATAAATTGGTTAGTCTCTAAGGTGCCACAAGTAATCCTTTTCTTTTTGCAAATACAGACTAACACAGCTGCTACTCTGAAACCTTAAACTAGGTATCTACTATATAATTTCTATATATATTTCTATTATATTACTATATAATATAATATAATTTCTACATATTTATCGCAATATCTGTCTACAAGGGGCAGAGGATGACACAGGGGGGTATTCCAGCAACTACACATTTTACAAGGTGGATCAGGCTACAGTTGTGATGGGTAAGGCTATGATTTAGTCACAGGTATTTTTAGTAAAAGTCATGGACAGGTCACAGGCAATAAACAAAAATGCACGGCCCATTACCTGTCCATGACTTTTACGAAAAATACCTGTGATTAAATCTTGGGGGAGAGGGTGGGGAGGCGCTGGAAGGCCGCAGCTGACGGGGAGAGTCCAGGACATGGCTAGGGGGCCATCCAGGGCCAGCGGCACCAGATGCCAGGGGCCGCAGACCACTGCTGCTCCGGCCGGCTGCCCGGAGACCGCTGCCTGGGGCCGCAGACTGCAGCTGCTCCAGTTGCCCCGGGACCACTGCCGGTGGCCACCTGAGCAGCTGACGCCAGAGCCAGCTGCTTGGGCAGCTGTGGGGTCATCCACACTGGCCCCTGTAGAAGTCATAGAGGTTGCGGAAGGTCACGGAATCCATGACTTCTGAGACCTCCGTGACAGATATGGAGCTCTAGTGATGGGTGGGAATAAGTTGGAGATCTGCATGTATAACGCTAGTCTTGAGGAATCACAGTTGAGATCTTAGCTACTGTGCTTTTGTTCAGAGTTTTGTTTTCATGTTTTATGCCAGGTGAATTACCTTTTTGTAAGTTAGAACTAAACTACTGCCTTTATCTCCTTATGGGAATTTAATAGGAAATCCACAGACTTCACTCATTTTAGTTTATTCATTTTAAAATTTAAGTCTACCAAAAAACAACAAACCATCCATGAACTGAAACAACACCACACCATGCCATGCGCTCATATAATGCAATACCTGTTGCTTGTTTTGGTATCAACGCTGTAGCCATGACCGTCCCCAAAAGATTCGACACTGCAACTCGTACACCATAGTTTGAGTTTTCCAGAGCTTTAAAGCAGAGTGTTGCTACATTTTCTAGCTCTGCAGTCCACATAAATACAGCTTCATTCTGTAGTTCCAGTAGGCACTGTAGAAAAATAAGAATAAAAGAGTACTACTACAACCTACTTTTCCCTTCTGTCATTAAGCCTAAGCATTAGGTTTATTTGGCAGACATGTTAATACTAACCACTTCTGATTGGCTTTTTGTTTTTGTCTCTCCCATTAAACCCCAGATAACTCGGCTGGAGTAACCACTGAAGAAAAACCATGGGATTATGCAAAAACTTCAAAAGCATTGCACCTCTTTTGTTTTAATATACTCAACTAGCCATAGGCGCTGACTCCGTGCGTGCTCCGGGGCTGGAGCACCCAAAGGGAAAAATTGGTGGGTGCTCTGCACCCAGCGGCAGTCAAGCTCCCCTCCCCACCCCGCCCCCCCTGCCCCAGCTCACCTCCGCCTCCTCCCCGGAGCTCGCCTTCCCTTCTTCTCCTCCCAGCACTTGCCACCACAAACCAGTTGTTTCGTGGCGTAACAAGCTGTGGGAGGGAGGGGGGAAGAGCAGGAACGTGGCACACTCAGGAGAGGAGGCAGGGAAGAGGCAGGGCCAGGGCAGGGATTTGGGGAAGGAGTTGGAATGGGGGTGGGGCAGGGGCAGAGTCGGGGCAGCACAAGCACCCACCAGCTCCAAGAGAAGTTGGCGCCCATGCAACTAGCCTTGAAATATCTGAAGTAAACCACACTTTCAGCCTCCTTTGTGTACAAGACTGTAAGGGACACGTAAGAGATGAAGACAGATCCAAGAGTCGAAGGACCTCTGATACTGTAAACTGAGCAGAATGTGCTAGTCATAGCTGACAGAGGCCTTCCGGAAAGAAATATTATCCTATTCTACATGTCAAAATCCATAATGTGTACAGTCTCCCCAGTCTAGTGAGATTGAACATCTCAGACTGACTTCTTGCTGAGAATTTGTGTAACTCTCCACCTCATCCATATTCTCCACCAGTCTGTGGGCAAAGCTTGGACTAGTTCTTTTTGTGTGTTTTCATTGTTGATTTGGAGTAATTTTGTCAAACAAAGTAGTCTAGTGAAAAATTAATATACTGCATGCTAAATATCTGGCTTTAACAAGTATTGTACAATTGTAGGAATGGTCCTTGTCTGAGGATTGCCATAAAATCTAGAACTCCAAACATACATATGTGATGAAGTTTGGATGTTGAAATGTGCGAAAGTTAAACTGAAGTTTAATTTCTTATGTCCAACTTGGATTTAGAGAGCAAAACAAAGACCTAGTAGATCATCTGCTTCATCTACCTGCCTGTGCAGCATTATTCCCTATAATACATCTTTAGTGCCTTGTTTAAATGACTAAAACTGGAAAGACTAGCTTTTGAGGGAAGATTAAAAGAATTATTCATAAATAGGGTATCTTGACCAAGCAACAATGAAAAAGGGACCTGAAAACAGTCAAGAAATATTTGTAGGATGTAAACATCAGAGGACAGGAATTTAAGATGGAACAAAAGTATAAAGAAAGATAAAATTTTAAAAAAAATGTAGCAGAATATCAGGAACTATAAGGAAAAAAACTTCTTAACATGTTGATCTATTAAAAAGTGGAATTGTCTCTTAAGGGAAGAGGTAGAAGGCCAATTACTTGGAACATTTAAAGCTAGACTGGACAAGGCACTAAGAAGCATACTGTAGAGATCAATTCTGCATGTGTAATTCCTATAACTCCGGGATTAAAAAAAAAAAAAAAGGCTTTCCCCCCCAGCACCACTAATTATTTACCTCTAAACAAATAAATAAAGTGGATTGTTACTCATCACATTAATTACAATCTAACTGAAACACACAAACATCAGAGTTTATGGAAGTACAGAAAAGGCACCATGGCACAGTGAACAAATATTCCTCACAACACCAACCTCCTTATTCAGGAGTGAAAGTAATATAAAAGACATACTGGTACATGGGCCCGGCTCTGGGCCCCTGCAAGGGGTGGGGCCTCAGACGGAAGGGGTGGGGCTGCAGGTCAGCCTCCCCAAGCCAGCCTTTCCACACTGCCCGGCACACGCCACCTGGGCTCTGGCAGCAATTTAAAGGGCCTGGGGCTCCGACCACTGTGGTTGGGAGCCCCAGCCCCTTTTAAATCGCCGGGCCCCGTGTCAGCTGCCCCTCCAAAAGGGCAGCAATGTTAAAGCGCTGCCGCAGCAGCACTTTAAGGTCGTCTGTGTACAGGCCAGTACCGGTGGCCACTTCTTACCAGTACACCGTACCAGCCCACTTTCACTTCTGTCCTTATTCCTGCAGACTGAAAATCATCAGTATAAATTCAAAAGCAAAATTTGCCATTTTCCCTATAACTCACTTTGTTGCTATCAATTTTGTATTCAAATAGCACATAGTGCTATGATTTCAGAAATGTACCACACTATACAATAAAAAGAACAGGCAGCAAGCCCAACTATAAGGAACTTAGCATCCAGAACACAAAGAATACTAGATTTTTAAACCTTATAAAAAAATTTACCTACCTTCGCTACTGCACATCGTACAGCCATAGATCTATCCGTCAGCAGAGATCGTGCATTCTTATAAGTATCACGGTGGCATGAAGCTGCTGCACCACCCAATCCATTTAGAACTTTCTGTAAACTCATTAATATTTCACTTCGGCCCTGAGACTGCATACGTGAAAAGAAAGCAAAGGGTAAAAAAAAAACAAAAAAACAATTCACAATCAACAGCTCTTCATAGTTATTTGTACCCCAAATATCAGCTCTATAGTTGTATCACCTTCTCTTTTTGTAACTGACGGGTTTCAGAGTAACAGCTGTGTTAGTCTGTGTTTGCAAAAAGAAAAGGAGTACTTGTGGCACCTTAGAGACCAACCAATTTATTTGAGCATAAGCTTTCGCGAGCTACAGCTCACTTCATCGGATGCATACTGTGGAAAGTGTAGAAGATCTTTTTATATACACACAAAGCATGAAAAAAATACCTCCTCCCACCCCACTCTCCTGCTGGTAATAGCTTATCTAAAGTGATCACTCTCCTTACAATGTGTATGATAATCAAGTTGGGCCATTTCCAGCATAAATCCAGGGTTTAACAAGAACATCTGGGGGGGGGGGGGGGTTGGAAAAAACAAGGGGAAATAGGCTACCTTGCATAATGACTTAGCCACTCCCAGTCTCTATTCAAGCCTAAGTTAATTGTATCCAATTTGCAAATGAATTCTAATTCAACAGTTTCTCGCTGGAGTCTGGATTTGAAGTTTTTTTGTTGTAATATAGCAACTTTCATGTCTGTAATCGCATGACCAGAGAGATTGAAGTGTTCTCCGACTGGTTTATGAATGTTATAATTCTTGACATCTGATTTGTGTCCATTTATTCTTTTACGTAGAGACTGTCCAGTTTCACCAATGTACATGGCAGAGGGGCATTGCTGGCACATGATGGCATATATCACATTGGTGGATGTGCAGGTGAATGAGCCTCTGATAGTGTGGCTGATGTTATTAGGCCCTGTGATGGTGTCCCCTGAATAGATATGTGGGCACAGTTGGCAACGGGCTTTGTTGCAAGGATAGGTTCCTGGGTTAGTGGTTCTGTTGTGTGGTATGTGGTTGCTGGTATTTGCTTCAGGTTGGGGGGGGCTGTCTGTAGGCATGGTCTGGCCTGTCTCCCAAGATTTGTGAGAGTGTTGGGTCATCCTTCAGGATAGGTTGTAGATCCTTAATAATGCGTTGGAGGGGTTTTAGTTGGGGGCTGAAGGTGACGGCTAGTGGCGTTCTGTTATTTTCTTTGTTAGGCCTGTCCTGTAATAGGTGACTTCTGGGAACTCTTCTGGCTTTATCAATCTGTTTCTTCACTTCCGCACGTGGGTACTGTAGTTGTAAGAATGCATTGGCACCCTGACAGCAGGATTGTCTGGCTATGTAGACTCCCTCCTCAGGCCCTACGCTACCAGCACTCCCAGCTACCTTTGAGACACCACTGACTTCCTGAGGAAACTACAATCCATCGGTGATCTTCCTGATAACACCATCCTGGCCACTATGGATGTAGAAGCCCTCTACACCAACATTCCACACAAAGATGGACTACAAGCCGTCAAGAACACTATCCCCGATAATGTCACGGCTAACCTGGTGGCTGAACTTTGTGACTTTGTCCTTACCCATAACTATTTCACATTTGGGGACAATGTATACCTTCAGATCAGCGGCACTGCTATGGGTACCCGCATGGCCCCACAGTATGGCAACATTTTTATGGCTGACTTAGAACAACGCTTCCTCAGCTCTCGTCCCCTAAAGCCCCTACTCTACTTGCGCTATATTGATGACATCTTCATCATCTGGACCCATGGAAAAGAAGCCCTTGAGGAATTCCACCATGATTTCAACAATTTCCATCCCACCATCAACCTCAGCCTGGTCCAGTCCACAAAAGAGATCCCTCTAAGGTGCCACAAGTACTCCTTTTCTCTTTTTGTAACTGTACATATTGGTGTTCATAGATGATACAAACTCATCAATTCAATAAAACCGCTTAAGATAGCTAGAGGCTGAACAAATAACATGAAATTACTGTGTAGTGTTCATGTAGTAGCAAATGCTATATTTAAATATGTAAAATGGTCTCAGTTGTTATAGGCCATATGGCACATGTATATGCTCAAAGTATAGGGAGAGCCCCCTGTCCTTCCTGGCTGGTGTAGCGAGAGCTCCCTCTGCTGTTTCAATCTACTTCAAGTACTAGGTACACCTCTACCTCGATATAACGCGGTCCTCGGGAGCCAAAAAATCTTACCATCTTATAGGTAAGACCACGTTATATCGGGGTAGGGAGAGGAACTGCTCCCCACCCCAGCTCACCTCTGCTCTAACTCCGCCTCCTTCCCTGAGCGCGCCGCCGCCGCTCCGCTTTTCTCCGCCCCCCCCGGTCCCTCCGTCCCTTCCTTCCAGGCTTTCCGCGTCAATCAGATGTTTGGTGCGGGAAGCCTGGAAGGAAGGAAGGAAGTGGGGGGGAGAAAAAGCGGAGCGGTGGTGGCGCGCTCAGGGGAGGAGGTGGAGGTGAGCTGGGGTGGGGAGTGGTTCCTCTGCGCCTCCCCTGCCACTTGCTGCGGCCCCCCAGTCCCAGCTCGCCTCCGCCTCCTCCCACGAGCGCGCTGCAGCTCGTGTGAGCCTGGGAGGGAGGAGAAGCGGAGCAGCGGTGCACTCGTGGGAGGAGGCGGAGGCCAGCTGGGGCCAGGGGGCCGCAGCAAGTAAGGGGCGAGGCGCAGAGGAACCGCTTGCGGTAACATGAATTCGGATATAACGAGGTAAAGCAGCCCCACTCCCCGGAGCGCTGCTTTACCGCATTATATCGGACCACATTATATCAGGGTAAAGGTGTATATGTATAGTAATAAACATATGCATTAAAGTGCACTTTCAATCGGGGGTGCTGGAACAATTTGTAAAATGGGGGTGCTGAGAACCATTGAACCAAATTGTAAGCCCTGTGTATGATGGAAACCACTTCAAGCCAAATGGTTCTGCAGCACCCCCCACAGCCCTAGTTCCAGCATCTATGCTTTCAATATGAAACAGGAATAGAAAATAGTACATATGTAGACGCTGCTATTCTAATTGTGAAATCTTAATGTTGCATTCAATCTTCTAGTTAATTTTTTGCATTTTATTTCTCAGCTATATTAACAAGGAAAAAAAATGGGGGGGAAAAATCTAGAACTATTTGGTTTACATAGTTCATAAGCTCAATCTGCAAATCTTTCAACCAGCCAATTGGGGCAGCTCTACCAATTTTGCCGCCCCAAGCAGTCGCCACCGAATTGCCGCCACCACAACAGTGGCGGAGCTGCCGCCGAAATGCCAGGGCGGGACACAGACTGCTGCCCCACTCTGAATGCCGCCCCAAGCACCTGCAGCCAATACACATTTAACTAGCTGCACACACATGCATCTTTTCTTAAGTGTGTAATTTTGTACTTGGCACATTCAGTATCCAAACTTCAGTCTATGACAACTGTGACATCAAAATTATTTTATTTTATTTAGTTAGTTAGTTAGTTTTGGAGTCTAGCAAAATTACTATTCCTCAATGAGAGCATGGAATGTTTCACTTAGACTGTAAGCTCTTTGGGGCAGATTCAACAGCCAGCACAGTCCAAATAAACCCTATGTACTCAGGCTTAGGTCCATATCCCTTTCTTCAGGGTCAGGTTTACTAATCAACAGAAGACACAAAGGTTCAAATACATACAAAACACTTGAGAATAGACACTTTTCCACTTTCTGCCAGCTGGAAAGGGGAAAGGACACATCCTTTTCCAGCAAGATAGCCCTTCCTGTCTGCTATGGAGAGCCTTTCCCAGGTCCTTTCCTGACCCTGGGTTCTCAGTAGTAGGATAGACCTCCTGTTTACAGCAGCAGCTGCTTGCAACTTAGGCCTGTCTACACTACAGAGTTAGGTTGACGCAAGGCAGCCTACACCAACCTATGTAAGCATCTACACTAAAATTTCACTCCCGCCAACATAACTGCCCCGCTACACCAACTTAATAACTCCATCTCCATGAAAGGTGTAGCGTCATTGTTGATGTAGTTAGGTTGACACTGTGTCAGTGTAGACACTGTTGCTTATATCGACTCTTACTGGCTTTAAAAAGCCGTCCCACAATTTACTGGTTTTAAGAAGCCATCCCATATTGACAGTACAATCAGTACAAGTGCTCCTGGTGAGGACATGCACTGCCAACACAAGGAGCAAAGCGTAGACACACACAAGCGATGTAATTACTGCAGCGACTATATGCCAACATAAGTTAGGTTGACTTAATTTTGTCGTGTAGACATGGTCTTAGAATCATAGGACTCTTGTCATGTGCTCCCTGAACTCAGTCCCCTCAGTCTTAAAGGACTGAGCATTGAACCAGGGTGCAAGGACCAGCACCCTGTTACAAGGGCTATAACAGTATTTGAAACCATTGTGCAGCTTTAACGGTTGCAATCGCAACTAAGTGACTGCTATAATAGTCACATGCCAAAATTTTAAGCCACTTACATAGTACAACTATATGTATATCTTTATACTGATATGAACCATATAGACAGTAACTGTTTGCCCAGTTCAGTGAAAAGCCATGAAGACACTAATTAAAAAAAACATACTTTGGGCTTTAAAAAAAATCCCTAAATGTGTAGACCTAAAATGCCCCTGTAACTTACCTCTGCATTTTTCAGAGACTTTAAGAGATTATTAACTGTTTCTGGAAAAGAACTGCCCAGCATCCTGCCCATTTTCTCATAAAAAGCTCCAACACATGCCACTGCAGCCCTACAAAGACAAGATGTCCCTCAGTAACCTCTTTGTCAGCGTTTACCATACAACTTAAATGGAGAGCATCAAACTAGGAGTTAAGGAAATTTATTTTTAAATGTACACTATGTTGTTAACCTTCTTCTATTACTAAAAATCTATTATTCAGTGGTTATGTTGGTTGTTTCTCTATATTTCACTCAACCTAGATAGCGAAAATAGAGTGATCAGAAACGTGGGGTTTGCATGGGAACAGGGATGCTTCCCGGTTGATCCATTGGCAGGATTTTTCCTTAGGCCCTAATCCTGCGTAAAATTAAGCATATAATTAAATCTTTGCAGGATTAAGGCTTTAAATGGTTGCAGAAAACGGTCTTCAGCCAGACAGCAGAAAACTGTTAAAGGTCAGCAGTACGTTCCTTACATTTTGATATATGTGTCCTGACAATTGAAAAAAGAAAAGTTTTTTTTGGTTTTGTTTTGTTTTTACATAAAAACTCAAAATGTGTACAATGTTGTACAATGCAGTTAAATTTAGATACGCTAAAATCATTGGGTCAGTCAATTTTTTGCACTCGCATTTTTCCTTTTCCTGATGTTCAGGTACTAGAATAACTTGGTTGGTTGGAGTGGGGTTTTTTGTTTTGTTTCATTTTTTTGGAGGGGGAAAGAAGAGAGTTGAGGCAGAAAGGATTTTAAGCAATTCTGTGTTTCAATTAGACATACAAATAGTTCCAGCTGCAGCTTGACAGAAGCAGCTCCTGTGCATCCCAGGCCCCCGAGAAAGCGTAAACTGATATCACAAAGGGACAAGGCTTTCTTAGCTTAAAGTTTTTAAACAGATACAATCGAGAATGCTCAACAATAATTTTTCAAATCACGTATAGCCTTATTATCCAACCAGCTCTTCATTTCAAACTTATCAAACCACGTAACTCCTCATGAAGGCCACCTTACATAAAAAGTCTGCCATTTCAAAGTACAGCTGGTTTTGAATAACCTGAATGGGAAAAAAAGGCTGTTGGGATATTCTTTAAGCGGGTAAAGTAATATGTTTGGGAATTCATAATAAAAACTATTCTGCTCAACATTTCCCATTGAAAAAAAGGCATAAATTAAGCAAGGAGAATTTCAGCCCAAAGGGTCAATATTTCAGACAGCTGAGTATGTAAAAACAAAGGGTTATTATAGAAATGGTTTTACAACCTTAGCTAGTATTTCCTACCAGCGAGACTGCTAGGACAGTGTTTCTCAACGACCAGTCCTTGGACGGGGGGGAGAGGGGGGTCCCTGAGATTGCACTGACACAGTTTAGGAAGGCAGCAAGCCAGTCGCTATTATCAAAAAGGTTGAGAGACACTGTGCTAGGATACCTGAAATGTGAGCTGAAGCTAAACACACACAGATCACAGAGATTACTTATTCAAGAGACACACACTGTATGCTACAGTAGATGAATACAAACGAACAGTGAACAACTCTTTCTGAAGAGTGCCAAACATTAACAATTATCTCTTGAAATATAAAGTCCATGTTAGGGTTTAGCCTGCAAGGTTCCATGCACCTTTTAATTTGGGGATCAGAATGTGCCTGTAAATATCTGAGAAAATCCAAGTAAAGGAATTTGTCCATTTGTTATTCTGTCAGGCATTAGCTTTCCTCTGGATAACATAAACATGTAAAAATTAGCCCACAGTAGGAGTCATTTCCTTACCTGGAGGAAAGACTCTTCAACTCCAGACAACCACATGAATCTTTGCTAGCTCTAAATCCTTCCCTCCACACTCCCAATCCTGCTCTTGTTAGGTCTCATTTATTTTTATTATATTCTATACATATGTATATAATACACAAATACATACACACACAGATTAATGTAGAGATATGAAATACTTTATTTATAACAAACATTCCCCATTCTTAAGGCAACATTTTACTTACAGTTTGGTCGGTAAATAGGCAGAAGTATCATCTTTATTCTTGATAATGTCATTACATTTATCAAGCGTCTGAAAGACAGTAAATGTATCGCCAATGCTATAGAGAGCGGCAAGATTTTTAGCCAGTAATTTACGTGTGGGTGGCCCAGGGGAACTGCTGATGAGTCCAGTTAACTGTTCCACAAGCTTCTTTTGTTTTTCCTTGACATCTGTCTGTTAAAGGAACAAAATTTATGTTGTTATATTCTTTCCATTCATATGTAATTCAATATTTCTACCAGTTTCCATAAACCTTGAGGGAGATGTTTTATGTTTCAATCTCAAATACTCTATTATACTCAACACCTGCACACACAAAGGCTAAATGGAAATATACAAGTGGTTGCTATTGTTGAGTTCTTACTATTTCTATCATATATCATTTATTAATACATTATTACTTCACAGAGGGTCCTTTAAGCTCCAAGGACTATCCTCCTTTGCCATTTTCCACCTCTTTTTCCTCATCATTAAAAGGTCCCGCACTGGAAGAGAAGAGCTAAACTTACCAAGGTATATATATTAGTGAAGAACTGTAGATCCTACTGAGTATTGTAGTTTGTAAATCTATCATTTCAGACTGAGCACATGTAACAACAAGCAAAATAATAAGCACAGGTATTTACAAAACTACAAGATATATAAACTTCCAAATGTATGCACTTATAGTTAGTTAGGGCGCAGTGTAAATCAATTTATTTTATTTTAGAAAATTCAGGACACTGTAAATGGCAAATTACTGAATTTTATGACGTTTGCATGGAATTCGTTTTACAAGTATCATTAGTCAATTTTAAGAACAAAATGAATTTCACAAGTAATGTCAGTCAATACCAAGGTGTCATTTCATCTTTGAAATTGACTAACACTATTTGGAAAATTCATCCTGTCCTTGAAATTGACTAGCTAATGTTTGTTTGTTTTTTTTAGTATTAAAGACTTTCTTGTAGGACATTTTTCCTTTTACCTTTAAAAAAAATATATCATGGTTGCAGGCATTTTCATGATTTCTGTACATTACATGAAATCGTGATTTACACAGGGGCCTACTTACAGTCACGCTGAAGGTTGGCTCCCAGATCCTACTGCCACTGTTATGGATGTCCATCTGGTACCTTTACATGAGTATGAAATTAACATGACATTTTTAGATGGAGAAATAAAGTTACCTTGTTGGCCGCTACAAGCACTTTATCCAGAAATCGCAACCACTCAAAAATAAAGACCGGCCTCTTTGCTTCTGTGATTTGAGCCAAAGCTTCTTCATTTAGCAACAAACTATGAGCCAGCTCCATCCTTATTTAAACTCTGACTTCACTGTAGACTCCTGTATTGTCTCTAAAATACAGTTAATGTACAATGTAAAGCAGTAAAAAGCTGTTACAATTTTTTTATTCAATGCAAATTAGTTTTCAGCGCAGAACTGCATTTTAAATACATACTACAGTATCAAACCCCAATTCTGCATACACTTATGCTTGTGCTTAATTAAGTAGTTTCATAGAAGTCAATGGGTACATCTATACAGCCTGCAGCAGTGAGCTTCTCAACCTGGGTTAACAGAATTGGGCTTGCAGGGTTCATGCTAGAGCTCTAAAAATAGGTATGTAGCCAGCTCTTTGAACTTGCAACTTGGGCTGGTGCTCAAGCTCTGAAGCCTAGGAAGGGGGATGAGCTCCACAGCCTGAGTTCCAGACCGAACCACAACTTCAAAGAGCTGTCTAGCGCATGCCCAAGTCTGTCAACCCATGCTGCAAGGCTCACTAGCACGGGCTGTGTAGACATACCTAATGGGACTAGTCACATGTTTAAGATTAAGCACATGCATGTTTTGTTCAACGTCTTTATCAATGATCTGGATGATGGGATTAATTGCACCCTAAGTAAGTTCGCAGATGACACTAAGATGGGGGGAGAGGTAGATATGCTGGAGGGTAAGGATAGGGTCCAGAGTGACCTAGACAAATTGAAGGATTGGGCCAAAATAAATCTGATGAGGTTCAGCAAGGACAAGTGTAGAGTCCTGCACTTAGGAAGGAAGAATCCCATGCATCACTGCAGGCTGGGGATCGACTGGCTAAGCATCAGTTCTGCAGAAAAGGACCTGAGGAGTACAGTGGACGAGAAGCTGGATGAGAGTCAGCAGTGTGTCCTCGTTGCTAAGAAGGCCAAGGACATATTGGGCTGTATTAGTAGGAGCATTGCCAGCAGATCGAGGGAAGTGATTATTCCCCTCTATTCGGCAGTGGTCAGGCCACACCCAGAGTATTCCGTCCAGTTTTGGTCTCCCCAGTACAGAAGGGATGTGGACAAATTGGAGAGAGTTCAGCGGAGGGCAATGAAAATAATTAGGGGGCTGGGGCACATGACTTATGAGGAGAGGCTGAAGGAACTGGGCTTATATAGTCTGCAGAAGAGAAGAGTAATGGGTGATTTGATAGCAGCCTTCAAATACCTGAAGGGGGGTTCCAAAGAGGATGGCTCTAGGCTGTTCTCAGTGGTGGCAGATGACAGAACAAGAAGCAAGGGTCTCAAGTTGTAGTGCGGGAGGTCTAGGTTGGATATGAGGAAACACTGTTTCACTAGGAGGGTGGTGAAGCACTGAAATGGGTTACCTAGGGAGGTGGTGGAATCTCCATCCTTAGAGGTATTTAAGGCCCGGCTTGACAAAGTCTTGGCTGGGATGATTTAGTTGGTGTTGGTCCTGCTTTGAGCAGGGGATTGGACTAGATGACCTCCTGAGGTCTCTTCCAACCCTAATATTCTATGATTCTGTGTGTATTTGATGTATAGGGTCCTTAAATGTCAAAAACAAAGTACAGGCAGCTTCAGGATTTCAGAGGTTTTTCTGCCTGGTAAAGAATAATGTTGAGGTCCTTGTTAAAAAGTCGTAAAGAGAAAAAAAGAATGTTACCAGTCAGGAGACTCTACTTCCCTTCCCTTCCCATCCATGATCTTGATTATCCCTTTAACCTCTCCAAGATACTGGATACCATGGAGAAGAATACTCCATGGGGCCTTGTGAAGAAGTCTGGGAATCTTCTCTTTGATTTGTGAGGAGATCCAGGAAGCTTTTACCCTTTCCAGTTGAAGGGGTCTCCTGCACGAAGTACATAGTCCATAAATTGTGTTTCATAGAACTAGAGCAGTATAGTTGTATGAAACATGCATTTCACCAAGTGTAACTTCATCCACATACCAGATAATTTATAAACCCAGAGAGAAGTACTCTGCAGATCCTACACTTTTTTCTTTTTCCTACTTTTCTATTTCTCCTATTTCCTTCTCCCTTTTTATTTTTCTCCTTAAAGATAAAAAGCAGGGAAATTAAATGCAAGAAATGGGCATGGCAGAGGGGCATTGCTGGCACATACAGTGCAAATAATTGATGGTCACATAAACACCACCCTATACCAGAAACCTACTGACCACTATACTTACCTACATGCCTCCAGCTTCCATCCAGCACACATCACACAATCCATTGTCTACAGCAAAGCCCCAAGATACAACCAAATTTGCTCCAACCCCTCAGACAGAGACAAACACGTACAAGATCTTTAACAAGCATTCTTAAAACTACAATACCCACCTGGGGAAGTGAGGAAACAGATTGACAGAGCGAAATAGGTACCCAGAAATCACCTACTGCAGAACAGGCCCAACCAGGAAAATAACAGAATACCACTGGCCATCACGTACAGCCCCCAGCTAAAACTTCTCCAGCACATTATCAGCAATCTACAACCTATCCTGGAAAACGATGCCTCACTCGCCCAGACCTTGGGAAGCCAGTCCTCGCTTACAGACAGCCGCCCAACCTGAAGCAAATACACACCACACCATAGAAACACCATAGAAACATAGAAACACCAGGAACCAATCCCTGTAGCAAACCTCGTTGCCTACTCTGTCCCCATATCTACTCTAGCGACACCATCAAAGGACCCAACCACATCAGCCACACCATCAGAGGCTCATTCATCTGCACGTCTACTAATGTTATAAATGCCATCATGTGCCCGCAATGCCCCTCTGCCATGTACATTGGCCAAACCGGACATTCCCTACGTAAAAGAATAAATGGACACAAATCCGACATCAGGAATGGTAACATACAAAAGACAGTAGGAGAACACTTCAATCTTCCTGGACATTCTGTAACAGATTTGAAAGTAGCTATACTTGAACAAAAAAACTTCAGAAACAGACTTCAAAGAGAAACAGCAGAACTAACATTCATTTGCAAATTTAACACCATTAATTTGGGCTTGAATAGGGACTGGGAGTGGCTGGCTCATTACAAAAGCAGCTTTGCCTCTCCTGGAATTGACACCTCCTCATCTATTATTGGGAGTGGACTACATCCACCCTAATCGAATTGGCCCTGTCAACACTAATTCTCCACTTGTGAGGTAACTCCCTTCTCTTCACATGTCAGCATATTTATGTCTGCATCTGTAATTTTCACTCCATGCATCTGACGAAGTGGGGTATTTACCCACGAAAGCTTATGCTCAAATAAATCTGTTAGTCTTTAAGGTGCCACCGGACTCCTTGTCCTCATTTTATAGGTATATGACTTTTCATTTAGCTGTATTAAAATGTCTTCTGTTTGACTGGGCCCAGTTTATCAAACAATTCGGATCACACTATATGACTGACCTGTCCTCCTCATTATTTACTCTTCTGCCAATCTTTGTATCATCTGCTAATTTTATCCTAACCGACTTTATACTTACTTCTCAATCATTGATAAAAATAATGAATAGCATCAGACCTATGATTCCCGTTTGACAATTACTTTTTGTCAAGCTTTTTTGTAGGCATCATAACAGAGAAGACTCTTGAGGAAGGATATGCAGGTGGATAATGAAGTGGCTTTGTGAATGTTCATAGGGTGCTCCTCCCAAACATGAGAGGCAGCAAAGGAGGAACAATGGATGTGTTATGTTTTCAAACAATTAAGCAGGCAATGGAGGCCGGCACGTGGTTGATCAGAAACAAGCATCGGCAGCTCGACAGCAAATGAGAGATGATAGGTAGGGTGGGGATTGACTGCAACTAGCCTTGAAAAGGAAGACAAGCAGTTTATGTTGGATGTGACAGAGAAGGGGGAACTAGCGGGAGAATGCAGAGAGAGGGGTGACATGGTCAAAGCAACAGGCTAAGAAAATGATCTTTGCAGCAGCATTCTGAATGGATATGCATTATTTGAGAGCAGTATATAGTTGAAAGAGGGATCGTTGTCTGGTAGTTTTAGAACAGGAGAGAGGGGGAAAGGACATCCAAATTCTATTCCCAGCTCTGCCACTAACTTGTTGAGTGACCCTTGAACAAGTCACTCACACTACTTATGCTTTGGGTTCCCCATCTGTAAAATAAGCATTATACTTCTTTACAGGGGTGATATGAGGATAAATTCATTAACATTTGGACCCTCAGATACTACAGAGATAGGGGCCATGGAAACACCCAGGAATAAATCTTATTTATTATTATTTAGTCCCAACGTGGTGCTCCATACCATTCAATATATAAACATATATCCCCTGCCCTTATTAATACAGGTGGTCAGTTCACTCAACACACCAATTGTTGCTTATGGAGTGGTATGATGCAGCAGCCTTCATCCTGAATATGGAGGTACAAGCCCTGGAAACCACAGATCCTAGGATACAACACACACAGGCCACAAAACACTGCTGCGGAGCCATGCTACCCTCCAGGTCCATCACCCCAGCCCCATATGCCACCTCGGCAGGGCCACTCCACCCATTGGGAACCGCCAGCTCCGGTGTTGCCAGGTCTGGTGAGTTTCATCGCCAGCCGCTGCTGGAGCCCTGCCACCAGGCCGGGCTCTCGGCGAGCCCCGCACGCAGGGCCAGGCTCGCAACCGCGCCCCGCATCTGGCACCGGCCAGGCCCGCCTCAGGCTCTCCGGGGCTCGGGGCAGGATTTCTGGCCGCCGGGGGTGGGCGGCTCCGCCGGCGACCCCCTTCCCGGCAGCGTCTTCCTGCCCCCGGGCCGCTTCCCCTCCGAGCAGCTCCCCGGGTGCCGCCGAGCCCCCCGGGCCCGCACTCACCCGCCAGCGGCGGCCCCAGCAGAGCCCGACGGGCCCCTCTCAGCAGCGCACCGAGACTCCCCCCGGCGGCAGGAAGAGCCGGGTCGGGCGCAGGCGCAGCCCGGCACCCAGGAAGCGCCGGAGCAGGAGAGTGCGCAGGACCGAGCCCCAGAGAGAGAGCGGGGGTGAGAGGCCGCCCGGGGGGCGGGCTGGGAGGTTTTGGGCTGGGGGTGCTGAGGGGTGGCGGGGGATGCTGGGAGGTTTTGGGTGGGGTGGCTGGGGGTGCTGGGGGTTTTGGGGTGGGGTGGCTGGGGGTGCTGAGGGGGGGAGTGGGAATGCTAGGAGGTTTTGGGGTGGGGTGGCTGGGGGTGCTGAGGGGTGGCGGGGGGTGCTGGGAGGTTTTGGGGTGGGGTGGCTGGGGGTGCTGAGGGGGGGAGTGGGAATGCTAGGAGGTTTTGGGGGTGGGGTGGCGGGGGTGGGGGTTGGGGGCTGAGGGGTGTGCGGGGGGAGTGGATGCTGGGAGGTTTTGGGGTGGGGTGGCTGGGGGGTGCTGAGGGGGGAGTGGGAATGCTAGGAGGTTTTGGGGTGGGGTGGCTGGGGGTGCTGAGAGGGTGGCGGGGGGATGCTGGGAGGTTTTGGGGTGGGGTGGCTGGGGGGTGCTGAGGGGGGAGTGAGAATGCTAGGAGGTTTTGGGGTGGGGTGGCTGGGGGTGCTGAGGGGGGAGTGGGAATGCTAGGAGGTTTTGGGGTGGGGTGGGGGGGGTGCTGGGAGGTTTTGGGGTGGGGTGGCTGGGGGTGCTGAGGGGGGAGTGGGAATGCTAGGAGGTTTTGGGGTGGGGTGGCTGGGGGTGCTGAGGGGGGTGAGTGGGAATGCTAGGAGGTTTTGGGGTGGGGTGGCTGGGGGTGCTGAGGGGGGGAGTGGGAATGCTAGGAGGTTTTGGGGTGGGGTGGCTGGGGGTGCTGAGGGGTGGCGGGGGGATGCTGGGAGGTTTTGGGGTGGGGTGGCTGGGGGTGCTGAGGGGGGGAGTGGGAATGCTAGGAGGTTTTGGGGTGGGGTGGCGGGGGATGCTGGGAGGTTTTGGGGTGGGGTGGCTGGGGGGTGCTGAGGGGGGAGTGAGAATGCTAGGAGGTTTTGGGGTGGGGTGGCTGGGGGGTGCTGAGGGGGGGAGTGAGAATGCTAGGAGGTTTTGGGGTGGGGTGGCTGGGGGTGCTGAGGGGTGGCGGGGGGATGCTGGGAGGTTTTGGGGTGGGGTGGCTGGAGGTGTTGAGGGGGGGTGAGTGGGAATGCTAGGAGGTTTTGGGGTGGAGTGGCTGGAGATACTGGGAGGTTTTGGGGGTGGAGGCTGGTTGTGCAGGTAGTAATTGGGGCTTGTAAACTCTTAAGATATGAAGCAAAGCAGCAGTCACTGAACATCAGACTGGCTTTATTTTTTGCCTGATTTTCGGACTCTGCGGGTTATAACTTCCAGATCTTCATAGCTGGAATTCTGCAAAAATGTCTTGTGTTTGTGGTAAAAATGGAAAATGTTGACCTCATGCTTTAGCCCTTCTCCTCCCCCCTCCTTCAAAAAATGTGTCTGTAATTTTACTTAGACGAGATAGGCAAGCTAGTATCTTTTATTGCACCAACTTCTAATTTAATTAAATTGTATTTAATTTTACTTAAGTGACACTTTTTGTAAATTTTGATTTCAGTGGGACTGCTCAGGGTAGTAAGTTAAGCACCTGCCTAAGTATTTGCAGGATCAAGACCCTGTAAGAATACAAAAATATATTTAATTTATTAGGGAAATTTTCTAGGGAATTCAAGATTAAGATGGATGGATATTCCTTTTTATTTTATATCATATGCTTCAATAAAAAAACATCCATTTGTCTTGTGAGCTTGAATGGTTTAAAGAAATGTTGAGATTAAAAAATGTGGGCGTAACTGCCAGGTTAGATGATCTACTAAATGGGTCATCTCCATGGTGATGGTGCAGAAAGTTCAAGATAGTTTTGCCTAAATTCACAAAATCCGAACAAAGTGAGAACATTAATGGGAGCCTAAACTTGATTAAATAGTGAATTGTCTGATGCCTAGTTTTTCAGTGCCCTGGATGCCAATCCTGGCAGAAAAAATGTGGACAAAGAAATTGTAATGCTCTGATGATGTTTAAAACCTCATAAAAGATACAGATTCACCCATTTGTCCTGTGGTATTTATTTAGCCCAAGAAGTATTTAAAATTAAAGAGGAGAAAAGCTTTTTGAATTGTAGACAATTTGGGCAACCACAGAAGAAAATTATGCCAAAAATACCAAGTGTGGATATCGAGGAAAAAGAGGGTCAAGTTAAATCTAGACAAGTGCATTATCAGAGCAACTGACATAGTAGTCTTTTTTTTTCCTAGCTGAGGTGTAACCCTGCTAAAGTAACAATAGTCCCCAAGGTGAGGCTGCCATAGAACTATACTGAGCAAGAGACGAGATCAAGGATGATAACTGAAACATTCATTTCTACCCCTGGTAATTCCCAAAATATCAAATGATAAAACTGCTGTCAGTCCCTCAGTCTAGTAGTGTTTTTTGGCACTTGTCCAGTACTGAATATAGCAAACCTGAACCCGTGAGTTTATCTCAGCCCGAAAACAGTCTTCTTATTTCAATTCCATTCATTTTAAAAAGGTAAAATGTGCAATAAAATATCTTCATTCATTATAGGTAAGAGGATCTGAACAGGGTACACATATTAAACATGGAAGAAGAAGACGACGACTATATGTCTGATTCTTTTATTAATGTGCAGTAAGTAGCTTGCCTAAGTAGATCATACACATCCACATCCAGTAACAATACTGATCATTTTGGGGATTTACTCACTGAGTTTTTCCCTAGTGTTTATGAAGAGCCTGTCATCTCTGAATCAACCATTCTGTCAATTTCCAGGTATCTCATTAAGGGCCAAATCCTCTTTTCATTCTCACCCAAGTCACTGGGAGATTTCAATGGGATGATTCAAATGAGTAGAGCAAGCAGTATTTTGGCCAAATTGAAAATTTAGGCCTAATTTTTCAAAAGTGGCTATTGATATTGGATGCTGCCATTTAAATATTGGATGCCATCTTAAAGGGCCTGGTTTTCAGAGACTGTACCTTCTGAAAATCAGGAGGACCCTTTAAGGTGTCTCAGGTTGGGCACCAAAAATTCAAGGCACCTCAGATCACTAATTACTTCACAAAAATTGGGCCTCTCCCCCTCTGTACTTTTTTTTTTTTTTTTTTTTTTGCATTTACTATGCCTGTCCTCCAAAATATAAATTATTTGTATGTGGCTAAGGTGGAAAGTTGAGGAGCACTGTATTCCTTACAAGTCTTCACCAGTTCTGTTGTAGAGACATATGTCCAGGTGGAAATGGAAATGAGGCAAGATTAGCTGCCAATGAAACTCTTCTGGTAACTGCCATTTCTCAGCATCAACAGAGTATCCTGAGATCCTAAACAAGAAAGAATTCATCTGAGCTGTATAGTAGTCTAGCAGGCAGGATAAATAACTCTTTCAAAGGATTCTTTCCTTAAGAGCTAATCTTTTAAACTGGTTAGTTATTGTACAGGCAAGAGCATTTCTGTAAGATGCAACCAAACACTTGCATTGAGCTGTATGGGATCCCCTTTGATATGTCAGTTCCATTGCAGAGAAGAGAATGGGAAAAGATAAGTTCTGTAGGGATGGGAGAGCATCCAGATGGAAACATCATTTTGACTGTGTGTTAAAAGTTTACACATAGTCTCTATTTGCAATTATATTACAGAATAGGTAATACAATTATTGTCATTCTTAAAAGTCATTTAAAGGTTTACTCGAGTGAAGCATGTGTGTTTGCAAGATGTGGTAAAGCTACAAGAATTAGTAGGAGGGATTAAGCAACAAGTAGTGTAGCTGAAACTACTTTTAACCTTTTTTTAGTTTAATTGAGTAGGTTTCAGGTTCTCCATTAAATGTCTGACCTTCAGCTGTAGGGACATTGTTATAGAGGAAATAATTTAATTTCTTTTTTAAGGAAGTTTAATGCACGTTATATTTGACATTTTAGTCATACATCAGAAAAATCAAAGTTATGTTTTCCATGGATTACGAGCAGCCACCATTTTAGAACAAAGTTATTTCTGAGTTTTCAGAGTGAAAAAAATTACGGTAATATTGACCTATTTTCTTAAGGGTTTCACACATTTATAGTTCAAACAGCACAATGAATTGTATTCAAATTTCTACCACAAACAGTATGAATTAGAAGTTTTGGCCCAAAAGATAATTTTTGAGTCCATTACAAGCAATTGAAAAATTTGGTATTAGAATGGAAGTGCAGTGATTCAAAGATATGGAGAAATCAGAGCTTAAGATTTTCAATTTAGGCCTCCCCAGTCTTAAAGTCACTCCCCATTCTCAAGTGGTAGCTATATATTTTCTCTGGAGTTTGGACCTTGACAAAAATAAATTTGATGACGAAATTTGGACCTTGACAAAAAATAATTGATTACCCCTGCACTAGAGGTTGCTTATCCAAAGCTGCTCTATGTCCTCGCCATTTCATTGTAATGGATTATGCTGCCATTAAACATTTATTGCCTCTTAATAAAAAAAAAAGACAGTATTAATACTTATTTTTTCCCTTAGACAGGATGTCAGGCCAGGATTGCCAATGGTGAGGCATGTGAAAGAAGCTATTCAAAAAGAAGAAAAGCAGAGAGAAGCTAACCAGAAAAATAGACAAAAGAGCCTAAAAGAAGAGGAAAGAGAGAGACGTGACACTGTGTTGAAAAGTGCTTTAGGAAATGAAAACAGAGGCTTTGCTTTGCTCCAAAAGATGGGGTACAAAAGTGGGCAGGCCCTTGGCAAGAGTGGTAAGTTTGTTAACTTCTAAGAATTTAGATGTATGCCCATTTTTCAAAATGTGGGTTTAAAAGGGTACCTGTTACTAATACCATTCCACCTATCTCTCGATGAATTAAATGAATACCTCTGTAAGAACTCCTGTCTGTTAGCGTAGTTCTTAACTGCCACCTTGGCACAGCAGAAGAAAGCACAGAAGGTGAGAGCAAGCCCTTAAAATCTCTGAAATAAAAAGGGTGAGGGATATGGGGGAATTGGAGGAGAAAGAAACAGTACTGCTACTAACTAAATGGTATTTCAGATGTGGATGATAGTTTACAAGAATCTTACTAGCTGGAGCAGGGCATAGCCTTTTGATTTTGGTGTTCCTTCCAAGCAAGTAACTTTTAATATTAAAGAACCTATTTCCAATCTGCACAAATTTACAGCTTGATTCTGGAAAGGGATCTGTGCACATAGACACTAAGTCCTTCTACACAGAGCCCTAGTGAAGCAAAAATATCATCTGGGATCTATCCAGAGTAAATCACTAGGGGATGAATAAATGTTGCATTCTATGAGTGAATAGTGAGGGCATACTAATGCTTAGTTAGTGAATGTTTGTAAAGTGTGTGAAGATTCTCATATGAAAGATGCTACAGAAGAGTGCAGTGTATTATTAATGATTATTATTAATTACTAATATGTTATGCCTATCAAATTAAGCCATCCTTCTTTGGTGCGTAGGGCAGCAGCCTGAATGAAGCACATAGCAACACTACAATTCAACAGAGAAAATAAGGAATGCCTGATCCGCCAGTCCATTGTCAGTGCACCGTGATGCTTGATTTATCCATCTGTTAAAAAAAAAAAAAATACCATAAAAACCAATTGTTCAGTGGCAAAATCTTATGTATACTTGGATCGACTGTGTTTATGATTTGGGGAGAGACCTGACTTCATAAGCTGTCTGCCCTTTTTTCCTACAGGAGAAGGCATTGTTGAGCCTATTCCTCTGAACATTAAAACAGGTGTGTAATATTTACCTCTTATAATTAGTTGGAGTTCACAGTCTCTCAGCTGCTCACAACAGTGTTTTGAACTTAAACAGGCAGAGGTGGGCTTGGTCATGAAGAATTACAAAAGCGGAAAGCAGAAGAAAGGCTAGAAAACTACAGAAAAAAGATTCATATGAAAAAACAAGCAGATGAAGAGGCTGCAGATCAGTTTAGGTAAAATGATTTATTTTCATGTTATTGTAAACATTTTCAGGTAATGTAATAAAGGATCCCGGTTTCACACTTATCTTAAAGTGGTACTAGCTGCCTCAGGTTTGACTATCATCAAAATGTCTTATCAATTCTGAATAACATTTGTGTGATGAGTGGGCCCTGAGGAGAGTAATTGCCAATTATTTTAAAAGAAAAAATGGTTTGACACAAGAAAACAAAAATACATAAATTCCCTCTGCTGTGCCCCTTAATTACTATGAACATTAGCAATGCTCGGGGACAGACAAAATAATGTATATGTTGCCATTTATTAGAGGGTGCAATTTAAACCAGAAATCTGTTTTAAAAACTATTTAAATGTAGCCTCCTCAAGGAAGACACATACGTACATATAACTTTACAATTATAAATTTACAATTCTTAAGCTTCAGCATGGTCCTGTTTAGGATGGCCTTCTCTGATCCTATCAGAGAACTGTATGCCTGTACAAAGGAGCAGAGTTACAAATGTTGTGGGGAACTATGGTGTGTCCAAAATCTCAACTCTTTATGTTACAATAAGTTCTTGCCTATAATATGTGAATTTGTTATCTGCCTGTTGATTGTAGCTAGCAACTTTTTTATTGACAGAATGAGATTCAAAAGCAAACAAGAAGAACGTAAGATAGAAGGGGACCTTAGAAAAAGCCAGCGGGCCTGTCAGCAATTAGACACACAAAAGGTAAGGCTAATACGCTGCTTTGGTGTGGAAGGATGGTTTATAGTTTAGAGCTGGCTACAAATTCGTCAGTCTTCATGTACAACAATATTATTTCACTTCTTAACAGTTTTGTATAATATGGGGTGTTACTGGACTGAAGTGGCAATGCCCTGAGATGCCCTGTGTTACCCGGGGACCTCCTGGTGCCAACTGGCAGAGGGCACAGGGTGCATAAGGGTTACAGGGATCCCATGGGTCTAGTATCTACATCCTAGTTCACCAAAGGATGTAATGTAAGATCTCTACTGAAAGCTTGTGTCACACTGGTCATCATGATCATTATGAAATTTATTGATGGATAATATGTAAGGAGTTACGTGTGTGTGTGTGTATACACACACACAGAAAATGATGTTCTTACGGTGTGTATGTGTGTGTATATATATACACACACACTGAAAATGATGTTCTTACAGTTTCTGACTTGGAGCTGGTCACCAAAAGGTGTTAAACAAGTTTCTTTCAAACAAGAAACTTTTCTGGCTGACTGGCTATATGCAGATTGAGTGATGTATACTTCACAATGAATGCCTATCTACAGTCTGAAAAAAATACTAATCAAGTGATTGCAAAGTCTCCAGGGGGAGATTCTAGACAGGCAAAAAACAAGGTATGGGGGATTACCCTTTTTACAAGTAAAGACAGTGGATTGGTGGAACTATATCTGGGGGTGCAGAGGTAACCCAATTATCCTTCATCTAGGAAGTAAGTTGACCATGTGTTTGCCTTATGAAAAAAGGATGACAGCCAGGCTTTGCTGAAAAACACTGGGAAGACTTTGGGGTGAGCTAAACTTAATTAAAGAAGGGCGTGTCTTGTTAATTAAGTTTAGGCTCTGGTACCTGTGTTATGATTTTATTTTGTATGTAACCCTTTGTTTCCAATATTTCTGCATGCTATGATTTGAATCTTTGTTAAATAAACTTATATTTTCTCTGTAAACAAATCTAAGTGTTGTATCTTAAGCAGTGCTGTGATCTAAAGTATAACTGGCAAGCAGGGGTGGACTGTTCCTTTGGGAGCAGAGGATCTGGGAATTATGTGAATGTCCAGTGGAACAGATGCTGGAGACACCAAGCGTATCCTCAGAGGGCTTAGGCGTTGGTGTGTGCCTATTGCCAGCTTGCTAGTAGCCAGCCTGGGGGAATGCTGCACTGCGAGAGCCTGTGTCCCATGGTCCAATAGAGCTTATATGCGACAGAAGTTACATCCTTGGGCTTAGAGACAAGAAATATGTTCCATGTGAATTCATTTTGGTGTGTAAGCTTTTTAAGGATACTTCAGATATCAGCTAGAAGGCCTCTTCCACCTTACTAACCATTTACTATTTTTATGTCTCGTGGTAGCTTGTGTCAGGCTTCTCAGTCTGGCTCAGAGGAGGCTGCTCACCTGCCATCCTAGGTGAGGGAGGAGCTTCACAATGATGGGCATGTGCAGACTCAGGATTTTGAACTGTAAAGTCATAAAAAGAGCCTTCTGAAAGTGGACATGGGCAATAAAGAGAACCAGTGACAAAAGAAACAAGAATAGTTTGCTGTGCAGTCTTGAACTTTACTAGCATATCTGGCACAAAAGTTTATTTTAATAAAAACTTTAAATTTGTTTTTAAAAAGCAATAAACCCACAGATAACCCTTGCTGTGGTCCAATGTGATCTAAATTCGATCAGTTCTATTCTTGAAGCTTCAGTGTCTCAAGATCATACTTTATAACAAAGTTTATAAAGTGATACTTGTCCCATTATAAACTGCATTCATCAGGCATCTGCTGGAGAAACCTATAGCGACAGAGAGAACTTTGCTTGTAATTTTTTTTTATTTTTAAGGATATTAACGTTCCCAAGGAGATTTGGTACTGGACAGAACCTGAGCAAGAAGAAAAAGATCAAGAGGAGGAAGAAAAGGATGAATACAAAGGTTCAGACTTAAGTGTGAGTGCTGAAACAGAAGTTAGTATGAAGCGGTCTTTATTTGTAAAACATGTATGTGTGTATTAAAGTTCTAAGTGGTCTCTCTTTCTGCCTTGCAAAGTGATTTTGCAATAATATTAGGTGGAGTATAAAGCATGATTGTACTGATTTGGAGTAAAAGAGCAAAATTAAATAGCACTACCTCACCTTTGGGCCAAAATTTTCAAAAGAGTAGTGATTTTGGGTGTCTTATTTTTAGGTGCCCAATTTTACACTTGATGGGTCTAGTTTTCAGAAGATGCTGAGTAATTGCCTCTAAAAATCAGGGCCCTCAAAACAGTCAGTTTTGAAAATTATGTCCTTTATGCCCAAGAACCCACCAGTGGTGTTATTCTAATGAGTTCAGTCTGTGGCGGAGGTGGGTGATAAAAAGAATCCTATCAGGAACATCATTCAATTGAAGTAGGATATTTTTAGTTGTTCAGTAGGTGAAAATAAAGAACAAGCCAACATCCTTTAACCAGCTAGTTCTCCATAGATCATCGGTGCACCACAAGCCACAATTTGGAGACTTGGGCTGTAGTATCAGTTACAGTGTACTAAGGTTTCCATGTTTTTGATTGCAGTATCGTGAGATCTTTTCTTAGCGAGCCCTTTTGAGCCACAGCAGGGAAGACAGTGTACCCCAGGGGCTCATCCAGGACTGTGATTGTAATTCCTTCTCAAAGCTATAAAATATATTTCTCTGTATGTATATATACAGGTAATAGAGAAGTTACAAATCCTGACTGCCTATTTAAGAGAAGAGCATCTTTATTGTATCTGGTGTGGAACAGCCTATGAGGGTAAGAGTTAAATCCATCTTGGATATAATTTTCCTTTGGTTATGTATTTGGAGTCGTATCCTGCAATTCTTATTTATTCATTCTTTACCCCAGCAAAACTCCCATGGAGGCCAGTGCCACTAATGATATCCTTGGAAGTAACTTTTGTATATATTGGTTGAATTCAGTCATTTCTCTTCTCTTGGGTTCCAGGACTAGTGAATGGTCAATAATGGGCTCTGAATCAATATTTTGTGGCCAAATTGGTAACATTCTCCTCTGAGACATCCCTCATCAATCCCACCGGAGCATCACTTTTCTATTTTATAAGTTTATAAGAACTTCAACCTACAACCCCATTTGGAATTAACTTAATCTGTTTGTATTGTTTCTCCAGTGTTAGATTAGCACATCACTTTTCTTCTGACTCCCCACCCCTCTCTTATTTTAAATAAGATTTGGAAGATTATAGATCTTTTCTTCACATACCTGAAATATTAATCTTATTTTCCTTTATACTGTAGAGGCTGCAGATTTATCTTCAAACTGCCCTGGAGATAGTTCAGCAGATCATGACTAAAATCTTTATAATAAAAGGAACGCTGGAAAAATATTGTTGATTCACAGCAGTATTTTAAAATATCTCCATGGGACATCAAGAATTCACACAAGTACGCAGGTGGAAAGACATATTGAAAGGTTCAGAGCACACACTTTTGAAAGCACAGAAGCATTTGTAGATTTTGGATTTTTTTTAAAGTGAAGCTAGTCATTGAACTCACTATTTAATAGGAATTACAAATTTACATATGTACTTAATGCAAAATAATTTAGGTTGAGGCAGGAGTTTTGCAGGTTTCTACCAAACTAAAAACTAGTTGGTACTATCTCTGCAATTCCAGTCTTGCACCTCAGAGGACAGGCAGCTAACTGCACCAAATTGTTATGGTTTATTATTTCTGTACGCCTCCAGTTGGAGGTACCTAGGTTCAGACTGCTAAATTTGTGTGTGTGAGAGATTGTGAACGGATGGAGATTTGAAATGGACAGTACTTGACTTTGTAACCAACATTTTAAAGGCTTCGTTGGGGAAATAAACACTGCCCTTCGTTTCCCACATAACATAAAACATGGAATAGAAGATAATCAGTTGACAGTGAATATTGGTTCAGTCTTTATAGTATACAGTGTTAGACAAGTCATTTAATATGCGTCCTCCATGAGGATGTCTGATTTGAATCTTAAGTTTATTTTTTGTCAACATAATCGGCCAGACGTGAATGCTGATGGTTGAAAATGGTCTGACCTTGTATCAATCACTATTGCTTAATGTAAATGTGGATGTTTGTATAGAAACTCTAAATTTCATCAATTTAGTGGGTATTTTTAAAGTGTTTTGTTCATAATTAAACAGCTTTTTGTAACTATCTTTTTGTCCAACTTGGTTCCATTCAATCAATACCTACTGAACAGTGGCAGCATTGTCCATGAGCAGCAACTGCTAGTGGAAGTAAATCCATAATGATGACAGAAAAAGGAGCTGAACTAGAAGAATTAGCTTTTACTGTAAGGCAGGCAGCAGTTTGTGTTAGACATATCAGAGTTGGACTGAGACAACCACCTACCCATCAGTTGTGGTGAACAGAGACTTTACTGTTGTAAATCTTGAAGTTTAATGGGCAAGTGGCAGAGGACCTCTTAGTTATTCCATGCCAGTAAGATGTTGTAACAGGGCACATTCACGTCTCACAAGCACCCCCTTGGCTGAGTGCATGTGCATGCACTCTCTCTGTTTGTGGTAGGTCTGCGGTGACTCAGCCCTCCGGCCAAGTCTCACGTGTCTGAATGTGTAGGCAAACAGACCCCCTCCAGAAAAAACAGTCCAAGAGGGGTCTATCCCAGTATCCCTTGGTAGGAATATCTCTTTAGCCCTCCCTGGGCTCGGCTCACAATCAATCCAGTAGTCCCCCAACCCTGGTATGGGGGCTTTCTCCCTGAAGACTCTTCACCCTCATAGGGCCTTTCTGACCACAGCTCTCCAGCTAGGCTACTGCAGTTCAGTTCCCGCTCTGGGGTGCTTCAACATCCAGGCCACTTCGCCCAGTGGCTAATGGGGGGGGAGGGACCCAGGCCAACCCACTACTCTGGGTCCCAGCCCAGGGACCCTATTGAGAGCAGCCATCCACTGTGTCCCTCATCTAAGTCGGGCCACTGCTCTAATTCCCTGGTCCGCTTCCCCTTGGCCCGATTGCCATCTTCACCCTTCTCACTCTCCCCGGCTTGTGGCAGCACTGCCCTGTCCCAGATCCTGCAGCTCCCTCAGCCAGTTACACACCATCCACGCTCCTCCAGCTCCAGCAAGGGAATGAATTTACTCTTGCCCTGCAGGTCCATCTTATCAGACCTGCTGGGTCCTGATTGGCTGTGTCGCACACAGCCACTCTAGGCAGCTCGGAGGATCCTTTCCACTGCCCTTTTCTGGGACGGGGTGTGGCAGGGCCACAAGACCTTCAGCAGATGGCCTCAGAAGGTCTGGTATACCCTGTCACAGATGACTATTACAGAACTTTCCCTGAGAGGAAAGGAAATCCAATTAGGTGGCTTTTCTCTGGGCTAGGATATACTCTCACTGGCATCTTGAGTCATTAGGAAAGAGGAATTTGTCCAAAAAGGAAGATTTCAAACATTTGTTTTAATGGGGAAGCAGCAAACACTTACAGACACCTCAAAACGACCGAGCAAAGCTTACATGTATTCTCATTTGTTACAGAAGAATGCACCACAAGTTTAGAATTTATATAAAATTGAACACTGGATAGCAGGCCAGCACCAAAATTTCCCTACTTCAGAGAGCACAGACTTAAGAACACATCTGCTATCCTGCAGTGGCTGGGTTTTTTTTTCAGGCATACTATTCATTCTAATACTTGATCAGTATAAGAACAAAAATTGTGAATTTATCCACTGTTTCTAAGAATCAAAATAGTACTTTATCTACAAACCTAACATTGTAAATTTGGGCCCTGTTTTTGCAATGAGGTCTGTAGGTGGACCAATGGATTCCTACAAAGGCACAAGGATATCAGCAGGCAGATCTCTGCTCACTGCAAGACTGGGGCCTTAATTTCTACAAACAGCTTTTAAGGAATGATTATGTTACCCTTTGGCACTGACATGCTGCTATGATGAAAGCGTTAAAAATGCCTGTAACAACCTGATTCCTACCTCCATCTGCTCTTTATAAGCACAGCCAGGGCTTTACTATTAAAACATGCCCGCCAAAAATCTAAAGTGCTTGAACTATGCAACCCAATGTTAAAGACTCAGCTGAACTCCTTGATCTTATAGGACAGGGTTGGTATCCTGGGGGAAGAGAGAAAAAGATTGGGAGTGCAGGGAGGGGATGGTATTTACTGGGGTCACTCTCCCTCTCCACAACTTATTGGAGATTGTTTCCTTAATCTGAAGGTCCCTTGGCCTCTTACTGATAGCACTCTCCCTTCCCTCCACAACCACTTTGTCTGTGGCACCTGCCTCACCACAACTCATCTCCATGCATAGGTGCTGGAACTTGGGAGTGCTGCAGCATGCCCTGGCTTGAAGTGGTTTCCATCATATACAGAGTTTACAGTTTGGTTCAATAGCTCTCAAGAACCCCACTATACAAACTGTTCCAGCGTCCCTGTCTCCATGTGGTATATATAGTTGGAGAGTGAGGTGGTGTCACAGACTCTTCTCCTGGGAAGTAGACAGAGATTGGAGACCACATAATTACTATGAGGCTGCTACTGAGGGAACATTGTGGAGCCCAAGCAATTGACACAGCTGACTTGGGCAGGATGTGGATTTACATTTCAGAGACAAATCCCAATCTTCAAAAGACAAAAACCAGATCTTACGTGTTAATTCAGTTTTCAAACTGTGGAGGTGTAGAGGAACATTTGGGAGAGGGGGAGAAGGCAAGTGGCGGGGCTTGAGGAGGAAGTACCACCTCTACCCCGACTCGCCTCCTTTTGTCTGGGTTTGGGGGGCATAACCAAAAATTGTAACTCAAAGGGAGGCTCAGCTCAAAAAGTTTGAAAACTGCTGTGTTGACTCATTGTGACACCTGGTTTCTATAAAGTGAATCATTAAACTGAGCTTTAATTCTCAAAGGGACACATTCTTTAAGAGCCTAAATATTTTTAAATTCTTCATTGTTTGAAACACCCTCATCGTATTAGCATTATTTATACAGCACCAGCAATTTGCTAATAATTTAACATTCAGGTATAAAGACAAAAAGCCCAAAAAGCTTGCAATCTTCAAATATGTATAACATTTCTATGCTTTTTTACCAAATTTAATCATTTTCCATTTGGCAAACACTAACTTGTCTGGTGTCTTTAAGTGAAGTGAAATTCATTATACTAATGTAATAAAAATCAACTTCAAAAGTGCTTTAACAGATATTTTGGTCTATGTGCCAGCAACAAGCATATTAGCTATTGCTAATTATATGTAGATACCAATCGGCCACTGAAGAGCACACAACACAGACCTTGTCTAGAGAAAACTTCAGCTATTTTCCCACACTGTCAGACAGCAATAAAGACAGATGAACCTTCTCTACACAAGAGGCTATATAGTCACAAAGGGGACTTGTAGGTGCCCTGCCTTTTAGTGGAATTCACAGTCCTGAGTTAGGCACAATGTACAATGCATGGGGAGAGTTAGAATGGGATTCACAAAAGCCAGCCCACTGAGCCTACCTAGCTTAGGTGGAAATGCTGTGGAGAGGGATATGGCCTATGCCAGGGATTCTCAACCTTTTTCTTTCTGATGCCCCCACAACATGCTATAAAAACTCCACGGCCCACTTGTACCACAGTAACTTGTTTTCCGCATATAAAAGCCAGAGCCGGCATTAGGGGATAGCAAGCAGGGCAGTTGCCTGGAGCCCCATACCACAAAGGTCCCTGCAGAGCTACATTGCTCAGGCTTCAGCTTCAGCCCCATGTTATCGGCTCTGGGTCCCAGGCTTCGGCCCCAGGCTTCAGCCCCATATGTGGGGCTTCAGCTTTCTGCCCTGGGGCCCCAGCGAGTCTAACACTGGCCCTGCTTGGTGGACCCCCTGAAAGCTGTTTGTGGCCTCCCAGGGGCTTAAGGGAGTTGAATGCTTAAGTCCCAACTAGAGGGAGACACCTATCTCCACTTGGGATTCACACCTTTCTCCTGGACTTAGGCACCTAAGCCAGGTCAATTATTTTTCATGAAAAACCACAAAGGAAGATCACCCCATAGCACAGCAGTTAGAGCCCTCACACAGGATGTAGGAGATCTGGGGTCAAATCTCTACACTGCCTGATGTGGAGAAGGGACTTGAACTTGAGTTTCCTACCTCCCAGGTGACTGATCTAACCACTAGAGTCACTCAAATTCTCTCTCTGGCCCTATGAATATTTCATTAGCTACTACAAAGTGGAGCGGCTTCAACAAGAGATTGAAACCAGTGGTTTGGATACTCTCCTGGGAGGTGGAAGGACCCAGCAGAGTAGAGATTTGACCCCAGGTTTCCCACATTCTGAGTGACCATGTCCAGCCACAAAAAGTTGGGAGCCTCTGGGACTTCACCAGTAGAAACTTAGTCACCTTGGGACTTTAGGGGCCTACAAGGTTAGATGGCAGCTGAGCAGTGATTTTGTGAGTACAAGAGGTGCCTAAATGTTGGACTTAGGTGCCTAACTGCTACACTAGGCACCCAAGTCCCTCTTGTGAACCTAGCCCTAGCACTCCCACCCATACAGCCAGAAGTTGCAATTTTTCCTAAAATTTCCTACTGCAAAAAAGCCACAATATTTCTAGGTGACATAAAAATAAATGGTTACTGCTGGGAGAGAGCAAAAGATTTAAAACAGCAGGCAGCAGCAAACTTAAGTATAAAAGGTCAAATCCTGCCTCCTTCATACTTATGGAAATAAGCACTGGACCTGCTGACGTTCTGTTGTACAGCAGGGGCAGACTGTAGACGGACCTCTCCACCCCATGAAGTACCATGGGGTAATACTGCACAGTGGTTCCCTCGTCAGCCAAGGATGAACATAACTATGGGTCCATGACTGCTGATCCACCTGTAAAACACGACACCCACCACCTGCCCAGAGGTGAGAAAGGGCAGGGGCACAAGGCTCCAGACTATGGAGTATAAAGCAGAAATTTATACTGATGCTCTGGATCACAAGAGGCTTTCATTCCCCCAATCCCTGCAGAGATCCCCATGTAAAGCCAGGTTTTGTGCAGGACAATAGGATTGAACCTAAGATTCCAAATATGTTTGTCACATTTCAGCAATTTTAAGGGAGGGGGGGGAATCAAATTCTAGACCAAAACAGAGCTTATGTTGTTCCTTTAAGCAGGGTGCCTAACACGTATGTACGTTCTTTGTATCTGGATTCTTTTTAGCAACAAACTTCAAAAGCTCCAGTACACCAGATGCCGAAGGTCTCTTTGCAACGTCTTTTGAGAGCAATTGCTCAATTATGTGTTTCTGTAAAAAAACAAACAAGGTACAGTATATATTAGAGGAAATAAAATTCTGAACATGAATAATGAGGAAATAGATGAAATAATGTGTTATACTGTACCTCTGCCGGAAATTTCTTGCTGAACTCCTCTGGAAGTACACATTCTCTTATTTTGTGCCACTCCTAAAAACGACACCAAATAATTTTTTTAGTATGATATTTTCATTGACTACATTTTGAAGCTCTGCAATTGAACCACACAAAGTATGAAAACAAAATAATCACAAAATGTAGTGATAGGGAGAGAGCGAGTCTTCAGAAGACAGCATTTGTCAAAGGAAGTATCTGAAAGCTTTCAATTTGGCTGTAAGGTGTTTTTAAAAGTGTTCTGTAAAGCTTTGAGTTTGACGACTTTTTCACCTTATGAGCCTCAAGGTCCATGAAGACCTGCTTCTGCCTCATTTTTGTCAAATCCCTGGTTCTCACTGTTAATTAAAAAAAACCAGTAGTTCTGCATCCCAAACCCCGTGGAAAAATCTACAGGAGAGGACTTTAACTCTGCCCCTGCGGGCATCATTGCTACTTGTGAGACAAGGGGATGCAAATAGCATTCTCCCCACCACACACACAATCTTTACTTTTAACATTGCTACAGTGTTTCAGAGAATGCAAAACAGGGAAGGGAGGTAGGCAGGAAAGAAAAAAAATCTCAGACTCAGATTACAGTCTGTGATTAATATGTCCATGGGCTTTATGGTTACTATCTCACAGAAAATATAAAATCTAATGTGGAGGACTTATGTTACACACACACCATGAATGCCATTAGAAAAATTCAAAAACACCTTTTTAAGTCACTTTTAAATAATCAGTGCTAAGTCACAATGACCAACATTTTTAAACCCAGATGCCTAAAATTATGCTCCTAAATACGTATTTAGGTACATAAACAGAAGTGGCCTAATTTTCAAAGATGCTGAGCAACCCTCACTCTAAATTAAGTCAGTAACAGTGGCAGGTGCTTTGTACCTTTGAAAAATCAGATCACATCTAGTTAGGGTTCATATATGGATTTAAGAGCTTAATTTCAGGCACAGTTTTCAGGTTTGAAAATTTTAGCTATGCTCCCTGCCCCAAAAAGCCTGTCACTGAAGACAAGACATAACAGAGGAAGGTGACCAGCATTAGGAAGGCAGGGGAAAGAGAATCACAGAATATCAAGGATGGAAGGGACCTCAGGAGGTCATCTAGTCCAATCCCCAACTAAATCAAGAGGACAAGCATTACAGCAAAAAGGATAAAGGTAGCATCAGAGGTCTAATTTTAAAAAATAATGCTGAAGGCAAAGACAGAAACCTCTGTTTTGGTCATCAGACACATGCCTGTTGACCAATTCCTATGGTCCTTACTTGAGCAAAACTCTCACTGACTTCAAAAGGAAGTTTTGCCAAAATGAGGGCTGCAAAATAAGGTACCCCAGAGATTTAGTATAGCACGTATCAGACTAGCCATTTCCCTTTTCCCCTCCCCTCAGTGTAATTTGACCTCTCAGCAAATTCAGCCAAAAAGCATCCCAGACATCAAGAGTACAAAGCAGGGTGTGTAGGTTACTAGCTGCAGAGTGCTTCAGTCCCATGCGGGTAAATGCAATATATATTTTACAGGACAGGAGGATAGTTTTATAGTTAGGCACTGGACTGGGATGTAGCTCCAGGTTCAATTTCTGTCTCTGCCACAGACTTACTGTGTGACTTTGCGCAAGGCCCCAATCCTGAAAAGACTGAAACACATGTGTAAGTTTATGCACCTGAGTAATACCATACACTTCAATAAGACTACTCATGTGCATAAAGTAGAGCCGGTAAAAAAGGTTTACTGATGAAAAATGTCTTTTTAATTAAAATAAAAAAAAAGGGCAAAAAATGTTGGCAGCAATATTGATTTTAAAAATCATTTTTTTAAACAAAAAGTGAAACAATTTGTTTCAAATAAAAACTTGTTTAATTTTTGAACAAGTGTTTTTTTGCGGGGGGTTCTCTCTTATCTTCTCTTTTTTCTCCCCTCCCTTATTCTTACCCTTTTGGAGGATAAAGGGAGAGAAAAGATAGTGAAAATCAAGCAAAACACCTAAATTCTAACATTGTCTTGCTTTTTGAACGTTGAAAAAAAATTCAGTTTGACAAAAGCAACCTGTTTTTTTCCCATGGAAAAAATTTTTTTTAAGATTTTTTTTTTAAATTTCTCATTTAAAAAAAAAAATATATATATATATACACCCTTTACAACCCAGCCCTAGCATAAAGTTACACACATGGTTAAAAGAACAGGAGTACTTGTGGCACCTTAGAAACTAACAAATTTATTTGAGCATAAGCTTTCGTGGGCTAAAACTGACTTCATCGGATGCATGCAGTGGAAAATACAGTGGGAAGATATATATATATATATATACACACACACACACACACACACACAGAGAACATGAAACAATGGATGTTATCATCACTCTCATTAATGTGAGCTATTACCAGCAGGAGAGAAAAATAACCTTTTGTAGTGATAATCAAGATGGGCCATTTCCAGCAGTTGACAAGAACGTGTGAGGAACAGTAGGGGGGAAAAATAAACATGGGGAAATACTTTTACTTTGTGTAATGACACGTCTACTCCCAGTCTTTACTTAAGACTAATGTAATGGTGTCCAGTTTTCAAATTAATTCCAATTCAGCAGTCGCTCGTTGGAGTCTGTTTTTGAAGTTTTTTTGTTGTAATATTGCGACTTTTAGGTCTGTAATCGGGTGACCAGCAGTCTCTCGTTGGAGAGACTGCTGAATTGGAATTAATTTGCAACTGGACAACATTAAATTAGGCTTGAATAAAGACTGGGAGTGGACGTGTCATTACACAAAGTAAAACTATTTCCCCATGTTTATCTTTCTCCCTACTGTTCCTCACACATTCTTGTCAACTGCTGGAAATGGCCCATCTTGATTATCACTACAAAAGGCTTTTTTTCTCTCCTGCTGGTAATAGCTCACCTTAACTGATCACTCTCGTTATAGTGTGTATGATAACACCCATTGTTTCATGTTCTGTGTGTGTGTGTGTATCTTCCTACTAAAAAAGAAAAGGAGTACTTGTGGCACCTTAGAGACTAACCAATTTATTTGAGCATGAGCTTTCGTGAGCCACAGCTCACTTCATCAGATGTGTACCGTGGAAACTGCAGCAGACTTTATATACACACAGAGAATATGAAACAATACCTCCTCCCACCCCACTGTCCTGCTGGTAATAGCTTATCTAAAGTGATCAGCAGGTGGGCCATTTCCAGCACAAATCCAGGTTTTCTCACCCTCCACCCCCCACACAAATTCACTCTCCTGCTGGTGCTAGCCCATCCAAAGTGACAACTCTTTACATAATCAAGTCGGGCTATTTCCTGCATAGATCCAGGTTTTCTCACTTCCCCCCCACCCCCAAACACACACAAACTCACTCTCCTGCTGGTAATAGCTCATCTAAACTGACCACTCTCCAAGTTTAAATGTGTGTTTGGGGGTGGGGGGGAAGTGAGAAAACCTGGATCTATGCAGGAAATAGCCCGACTTGATTATGTAAAGAGTTGTCACTTTGGATGGGCTAGCACCAGCAGGAGAGTGAATTTGTGTGGGGGGGTGGAGGGTGAGAAAACCTGGATTTGTGCTGGAAATGGCCCACCTGCTGATCACTTTAGATAAGCTATTACCAGCAGGACAGTGGGGTGGGAGGAGGTATTGTTTCATATTCTCTGTGTGTATATAAAGTCTGCTGCAGTTTCCACGGTACACATCTGATGAAGTGAGCTGTGGCTCACGAAAGCTCATGCTCAAATAAATTGGTTAGTCTCTAAGGTGCCACAAGTACTCCTTTTCTTTTTGCGAATACAGACTAACACGGCTGTTCCTCTGAAACCTATCTTCCTACTGTATTTTCCACTGCATGCATCCGATGAAGTGGGTTTTAGCCCATGAAAGCTTATGCTCAAATACATTTGTTAGTCTCTAAGGTGCCACAAGTACTCCTGTTCTTTTTGCAGATACAGACTAACACGGCTGCTACTCTGAAACACGTTGTTAAGTATTTGGAGGATCAGGGTCTTAATCTCGCTGTACTTCAGTTGCACACCTGTAAAATAACACAATATTTCTTTACCTCACAGGGTTTTTGTGAGGATAAATAATGATACACTCAGATACCATAGTGCTGAGGGCCACATAAGTATCTCAATTCATATCGCTTGCTCTGTCTTCCCGTCTCTGATGGAGATTAAGTTTGCTGTACTAGACAGCAGAGCTGTCTGACAGACTAGATAGCAAATAGACAAGGAGTACTTGTGGCACCTTAGAGACTAACAAATTTATTTGAGCATAAGCTTTTGTGAGCTACAGCTCACTTCATTGGATGCAACAGATAGCAGTTGTAGCCAATGATTTTAGTTTATTGTTCATTTATTGTGTGATGTTATGATTAATCAATGTCATATATATTCATTGTATGTTAATTCGAGTTAATTTGTAGGATTATAGAAGTATAAGATTGATCAGTATTTAGAGGAATTGTACCGGGTAAAAGTAAGTAGGGCGGAAACGCAAGGCCTACAGGCTGAGGCCTGTAAGATTTTAGCTTACCCATACTAGGCCATCAAATTAAGAAATGCTGATATAACTAAATGACCGAAGAATAACCCGATGCCCTAAGATTACGGGAAAAGATGTACCAGTGGGTGATATTGCAAAAAATTAACAGTAAAAGTAATTTTTTGCTTACAAGATACCCAGTAATCATGTTTTGCTAACACATGCCCTAACCGCAGGGTGCTTGATGTGCAGAAATGCTAATGAGGTATAGTCAGAATTACATTATAAAAAAGGGTGCCTAGATTAGGAAAATTGAGCTTCCTATGGGAAACTCCAGCAGGAACCATCCCTCTACTAATAATCAATTCATGAGAGACCTATCAGACCCTAACTCTTGTTAAGGATGTGAGTCGAACTATATTTGTAACTTGTGCGTAGGTTCGGAAAGAATTTCTGTATGCTTGGGTATTCAAAACTTTAACTGAAACTTTAATAAAACTTGTAAAACAGACTAGATCTTGTACTCGTGAATGTCTGTGTGGTCACTACCCTTGGTCTTTATGTGTTCCTAGAGACTCTAAATCTGAAGCAAGTAGCAAAGGTGACTTTCACTCTGTTAAGATTGAAACTGTAGCTGCCAGAGCCGATCCCAGGGTGGTGTAGTATCACATTACAAAATTCACTTTAAATAAAATGAAAGGCTACACAGAGGTGACAAACAGAGAGCACCAAAACACATTGACAAGTGAATGGTGCTAGGGTAATTTTTGTTTTAAATTTTGAAGACAGCTTTTATTCACAAAAGTAATATGAATATGTGGGCCTCACTGAAATGAATTTTCAGGAAGGACAAGAATGAAGAGAGGATGAACACCTGATGTACTGGTATAAGGAAGGTATTCCAGACATATGGGGCAATAAGGAACACTACATAATATACAAGTAACACGTCAAGTCATATTTTGCCTTATATAGTTTTCTTCTGACCTATTTTTCATTAATAATTTAAGATTACTTACCTGAAATTTTTCAGCATCAGTGGAAAATATCCAAAGAATTTCAAAGAGAATTAATCCTAGTGCAAATATATCCACTTCCTGTCCATATTTGTCTCCAGCCTGTGGTGATTACAATAAAAATAGCATATACCAGACATGCCTTTTAGGTCTTAAAATGTATCATAATTGAAGTGTTTTCATACAATTCAATTCTGCAGTATTTATACAAGCTAAATCCCTATGAAGTCAATGGGAGTTTTGCCTTAGGACGGCATGATTGGGTCCACCAGGCCCTCATACAAGTCCTTAAATCTCTGTGCCAAAGATGCCCCATCTGTGAAACAGAGATAATATTTACTGTTAAGTAAAATGAAATATACAGACTTTAAAGCATCCATAGTCCCACCTACGTAGGATAAGTAATTGATTCCCCCTTCCAGATAGGGAATCAGACACAGAGATTCTAAGGCCAAGATTTTCAATAATGGATGCCTAAAGTTACCCAAATTCACATTTCAGTACCTAAATTAGTGGCCTGATTTTCAAAATTGCTGATCACCCACAGCTCCCACTGACTTCAAACTTTGTAACGTAAGACAGTATCAATGAGAGAGGATCACCTCATTTCACAACTGACTTGTGCAATTTGCTTCAGATTTTCCAGTTTAAAAAAAAAAAAATCTATCCTGGTTTAGGATCACACCTGGAAAACTTTAGGCAACTGGTTTAGTACTGGAGAAATTAGGACAGGGATGGCTAAATCTGGACTTAAATGCAAGGATAACTATGGAGACACTCATATCTTCTGATGTCTTACTATTAAACCTGCAGTAACAGTTACCTGTTCTGGGCTCATATATGATCTTGTTCCCTTTTCTGTTGTCCGCAGGTCATCTGTCATTGAAGTTACAAGTCCAAAGTCACCTATTTTTATTTTATTTTCACGAGATATGAATATGTTGAGGGGCTAAAAAGGACAATTGAAAAAATGTCTCAGTTTCACATTACAAACTTTTAGCACCAGGAAAAAAATCAGTCATAGGGTACTTCAGTGGAAGAGTTGCTAAACAGTCAAGGAAATGATTAGGAGTTATGTATCAAAATAAAAACTGTTGGTTTAACAATGAGATTTTAAACACACTAGTCAAAATTTGAAATCATGACTGCCATAATAACTAATTGTTCTCATTTGCACATACAGTTAAGTACTAGCAGTGGTTTTCAAACTTTTTTTCTGGTGACCCAGTTGAAGAAAATTCTTGATGCCCACGACCCAGTGGAGCTGGGGATGAGGGGTTTGGGGTGTGGGAGGGGCTCAGAGCTGGACCAAAGGGTTGGGGTACGAGGGTGGGGCCAGGAATGAGGGGTTCAGAGGGTTGGGAGGGGGCTCTGAGCTGGGGCAGGGGTGTGGAAGGGGGTCAGGGCTCTGGGCTGAGGCCGGGGATGAGGGGTTTGGGGTGCAGGAAGGGGCTCTGGGTTTGGGGGGGTCTCAGGGCTGAGGCGGGGGTTGGAGTGCAGGAGGGGGTCAGGGCTCTGGTTTGGTGGTGCAGGCTCTGGGGTGGGGCAGGGGATGAGGGGTTTGGGGTACAGGAAGGGGCCCCAGGTTTGCAGGGGCCGGGAACCGGCCAATGGGAGTGCGGAGCCAGTGCTTGGGGTGGGGCAGCATGCAGAGCCCTGTGGTCCCCCTGCCTAGAAGCCGGACCCGCTGCTGGCCACTTCCGGGGCGCAGCGCAGTGTCGGAACAGGTAGGCACTAGTCTGCCTTAGCTGGGCAGCACCGCCAATGGGACTTTAACATCCTGGTCAGCGGTGCTGACCAGAGCCACTAGGTTCCCTGGGTGCTGAACAAGGCAATCCAGTGCCTTACATGCCAGTACTCTGTCGCAACCCGAACTTTGAAAAACACTGCTCCCTAGGGCATTAACTTCAGTACACTAAAATATATGATGTGTTGTATGTGATTTATTAAAATTGATTTTGAACTCAAACTTGAAACTTAATATATACCTAGTATACAGCATTTCACATTCAAAAGCACTTTGTGATTTTATTCCCAATCTTACACACACTGACAGACCCTTAGGCTCACATGGAGTCCCACTGAAAATAAAACAACAGTTCAACATTTTCTGATCCTCCAAACATTTATTCATTACATCTGTCCACCCACACAACAATCATCTGTTCTGCTTACCTTGAGGTCTCTGTGAATAAACCCTTTAGAATGAATATATTCCACTCCTGCCACTATTTGTCTAAATTTGATGAGAGACTCATCTTGGTAATTTTTCTTCCCTCTCTTTTCATCAATCCAGCCATCCAGTGTTCCTTTCTCACAGAATTCCATTTGGATAAAAAGGCAATCACATAGAAAATCTGGCCTCGGTCTGTAAGAGTAAAATTAAATCACAGTATTAAAAACAGCACTACATAATTGTTCCTAAGCAGTTGGCTCAATGGTTTGCTGGTTTCCAACCTTTCATTTGGCTGCAGGCCCCCACAATCGTGGCCAAAAGTCCCTAATTTTTTAGGACCACTCCAGGTAGGCTTGGGGCTGCCAGTGATGGCACTGGAGTCAATCCTAGCTCCCAAACAGCCAGCTGCCTGCCACTGAAGCCTGTTCTACACTAAGTAGGCTGACTTAAGGCAATTTACCTCATCCTAATTATGTCAGTGTACACACAACAGCTTTGTCCTGCCAATGTAAGTGTCCTACTACACGGACAATAACAACTCCATCTCCACAAGAGGCATAGCACTTATGTCGGTGTAGTTAGGGCGACACAGTGTCTGTGTAGATGCTGCGGTTACTTACACCAGCTGCTGGCTGTCTTGTCAATTTCACAGCTCCATGCTGGAGCCCCCAGCTCCCTGCTCCCAGCCAGGCTGCGCCCAGAGGCTCCCCGCTCCGGGAGCTGAAAAGCCTGGGGTGGCTGCCCCCCAGCTCCCAGCAGGAAGCCGAGAGCCTGGGGAAGTGGGGACAGATGGGCTCCCAGTGGGGAGCTACGCGGAGCTTAGATACTTGGCCCTCAGCCCCCACAATGCCCCTCTTCAGGAGGTGGAAGCGCCGCTAGTGAGGACATGCACCACTGACAGAAGGAGGCTAGTGTGGACAGTAATTACTGCAGTGGCTGTAAGTCGACCTAACATAGGCTGACTTAGGGCTGTTGTGTACACTTGCTCTGAGTCAGCTCTTCTGCTGAGCAGCCAGTAGGCCCCACAAGGTGGGGCAGAACAATACCATGGGACAGGGCATGATCTAGTGAGTGAAACACTGGTTTGAGAAAAAATAACTCCTGCACTTTAATCCCAATGCAAATACCATCTCTCTTAGTTGCTGAAGATCCTGCTACTGATTTGGCTTCAATATAAGACACCATTCCAAATTAGGCCTAAATGTCAGTGTACATATCTGCGACACATACTGTTCACCAAAAAAGTGGCAATTCATCAACAAAAAGGAGATATACATGTACATATACATCGTTCATTAAGCATACTGCCTGATGTTAAATATTTTTCACGTTCTTTCTTCTTTTATTAGATGGAAAAAATATACGTGTAGGGATCTGTAATTCACTCATTTTTTGCCACACAAATCTGCAATAGGGAAAAAATAATCTGATTATTCCAGATAAAGAGCCATTGATTACACTACAGAATTCATTTTTATTCACCTTGAAAGGCTTGAACTGTTCTCAGAATTGAGAAAGTCTTTCCCAGTCCAAGAGGCGTAATACCGTATGATGTTTTCATGCGCAAGCTCTGCTAATGCTTGTACCTCACGCTGTACTTTACTAAATAAACAAAGAAAAATTCTCATTACCCAACGCCGACGAACTGACACTTCTTAATAAAATGAACAATAAGATTAATTGAAGACAGGATATCAAGCAACAGTAGTAACCTTCAGGATTAAATATCTATTTTAAATTATTTTAAAAGTCAATATCACTGTTTAATTTTTAAAGAGAAGCTGAAAATTGTATCTACTAGCTGCGTTTCGTTTGCCAGGCTGTTCTTGTGTTTTGCCTGTTGTCTGCTCTATTATCCTGAGCACTCAAGTGTTTGAACCCTGTTGAAAATGTTTGAAAGGAGAACCGCACCCCAACTCAGGTTCTTGTACTTAATACCTTATCTGGTCATAAGAACACAACAGATAAGCAAAGCATAGAGTTGATGCTCTCACGGAGAAATTAAGCATCCAAAGACCCTGATCCTGCAAACACTAGAGCATATAACTTTTAATTTGCAAGTAGTCCCTCTACATACACTGAGCTCAGCAAGACTATTCATATGCAAGATTATTTGCAGAGTTGGGGCCTACTTTGATTATTGTAGGGTTGTCCAATGAATTAATTTCAACCTCAGATGGGGCCCAAATGTGACCCTTTATTTGAGGAACATATAGGGCTTACATTTAAAATGTTAAATTTACTTCTCAGGAGTGCAATGTGAATGAAAATAGGAAATATCCTGGAAGAACATTTAGTAATACAATATACTCATTAAAATAAGACACCAAAGCAATTTAGGCTAAAGGTTGCTCTGAAACTGTTGTAAATAACATGGAGGAGGAGATCCTTAAAACGATTTGTTAGAGAGACACTTACAACTTGTTTTTTAATTGATTATTTAAAATAAATATTACTCGGCATTTTATCAGAAATTAGAATGTCCAGAAAAGTTTTTTTTATGCTCCCCTGATGACGTTTATAATGGTATTTTTAGCAAGTGACACGAGGACAAAGAAACAATTATACTGGTTTTATAAAGAGTGTTGCCAAATGCACAAAGGAAAAAACAGGGAGGGAGGATTTCCCCCACCCAGTGTATAGTCATCTGAACTGCTACTGGTCAGTTCAAACATTTTCAGACACAAATGTGGTTTTCAAAGTGACTCTGTCTCTTTAAATGTTCTATAAATCTGTTAGTCTGCAGCTGACAAGTTTTATAAAAGCAGTAATCACCATTCATAGATAATCTACCAAGTGTTCTGCAAATTTATAGATTCCCAGGCCTGCAGAGAACACTGTGATAATCTAGTTTGACCTCCTATATAACACTGGCCACAGAACTTCCCCAAAATAATTCCTGTTTGAACAAAATCATAGCTTTTGAAAAAACATCAAATTTTGATTTAAAGATTACCAGTGGCTTAGAGAAAAGGAGTACTTGTGGCACCTCAGAGACTAACCAATTTATTTGAGCATAAGCTTTCGTGAGCTACAGCTCACTTCATCGGATGCATACTGTGGAAACTGCAGAAGACATTATATACACAGAGACCATGAAACAATACCTCCTCCCACCCCACTCTCCTGCTGGTAATAGCTTATCTAAAGTGATCACTCTCCTTGCAATGTGTATGATAATCAAGTTGGGCCATTTCCAGCACAAATCCAGGTTTTCTCACCCCCCTCCCCAAACTCACTCTCCTGCTGGTAATAGCCCATTCAAAGTGACCACTCTCTTTACAATGTGTATGATAATCAAGGTGGGCCATTTCCAGCTTAGAATCCACCACAGCCCTTGGTAAATTGTTCCAATGATAAATTGCTCCTCAGTTAAAAATTTACACTTTATTTCCAGTCTGAATTTGTCTAGTTTCAACTTTTGACCATTGGATCTTGTTATATCTTTGTCTGCTAGACTGAAGAGCCCTTTATTGGGAACAGAAATTTGTCATGTAGCTCTTTGGAGTCTATCACTATAAGGCATATTATCCAATCATTTAATCATTTTCATGGTACTTTGGGACTGGTGAACCTCACATATGGTGAATCAGGTTTTCAATAACCTCTCACTATATTAGACGAGGCTGTCTAGCTAGGGGTCAAGGGCTGGAATGCTTAAAGGGGACTGTATTTGGCTACTTGGAGAGCAGCATGGTATTACAGAAGCTGTTTTGTTACTGATTTGGTTAATCTAACTGAAGAATAAACCACCAGTTGTGGGGATTGTCTGCTCTATTCCTTGCAGTCTACCCTGAGTATAGCATTCTCACTGTGGTCCATACACTCAGTCACACCTCTCTTCTCCCACATCTCTACTGAAACAAGGCTGCTTGAAAGACTTTGAATTGGGGAAATTGGTCCCAGGCTGGGAAGGGAATCCAGACTGTGTATTAAGAACTGTGAACTGCCCGCAACATCCGGAGGGGTGAGAAAAGCTGTTTGCTTCAAATTTTACTTAGCATGAAAAAGTTTAGGAATTAGCTTGCAATTTTATCTTTTATTTCTTTTAAAAGCCAATTCTGACTTCTATGCTTATACCACTTATAATCACTTAAAATCTACATTTCTATAGTTAATAAACTTGTTTAATGTTTTATGTAAACCAGTGTGGTTCATTGAAGGGTTTGAGGAATCTACTCAGGTTAACAAAGGCTGGTGCATATCCATTACCCATTGATGGAATGGCAGACTAATTAATGAGCTTGCATTGATCAAGAAGGTCTTGAACCGTGTAAAACACGCATTGCTGGGGTGCAAGGCTGGGACTGAGAGATATGCAGGAGTTGCCCTATATCTGTTTATGAGAGGCTGGAAGAGCATTCATGTGACTTTGCAGGGTGTGACTCTCACACGCTAATGGCTATGTGAGAGCAAAACCTGGAGGGGCTGCTTTTCACTAGCAGAGCAGTGTGAGAGGTATCCTAAGCTAGAGAGTTAAGGGGGCACAACAGTTCCACTGTCCAGATTGTACCCTGGGGGTTGTCACACAAATACAGAGGTAAAATAACTTCTCTATCCCTACTTGAGATTCCCGTTTATGCATCCAAGGAATGCACCTGCCCTTTTGTCCGCTTCATCATCTTGCCCAGGATCAACGTCAGGCTGACATTCCTATGATTACCTGGTCATCCCATTTTCTCTTTTTAAATATTGGCACAACATTAACAAAGAGAGCGCGCACAAGTTAACAAATCCTGTTTCCTATGCTGTGCTGGACTATAATTCTAGTGCACAGAGAAGCAAACATCAAAAGACAGCACACTCATTTCAGCTCCTCTGAGAACAGAGAAATAAACATGTTTGTCAGACAGAATGGACAATGCTGTAAAGGAAAATTACTTAAACTTTTAAGGGATTATTACAAACAAACAGTTTCATCTACAGAAACTGTTTGAGAATGTCCTTTCAAATAAAAGCAAGCAGATGTACAGTACTTACTCGCTACACGTGACTCGTTTGACAGCATAGTACTTCTTATCAATAATTTGTTTTGCTTTGAAAACATTCCCAAATCCACCGCTGCCAATTCGCTCTAGCTCTTCAAAATCCTTGATAAATCTTTAAAATAATAAAATAAATAAATAAATAAATAAATAAATAAATAATTTTAGCAAAATCAGCCCTAACATTAATTTTGGAAAGTATGGGTCTGATTCTGGAACTTGCAGAGCATCTCCTGAGAGACGCTGAGCATCATCTTACAAGAGATACTCAAACCTCAGATAAACAAAGCGTCTTGCGGCCCACCAGGGGCTTATCCTGAACAAGCCGTGAACCAAGTTTGGGAACCCCTGGATTAGAGGCATTCCTACACTATTTTACATACTCATAACATTTACATTTGGAATTTTCATAAGAACAGAAGCTGTCAACTTATTTTCTTTGAATAACCTCTTCTATTACAACATTTGTAGCACCAGCCATTTCTCGGGGTAGAGGAAAAAATGAAGAAACATTCTACAGAGTTGCACAAATGCCAAATACAAACATTCTTATTATAGGAAATACCCTATACCTCACCCACAAGTGGCAGTTTGCATATGCTTGTAAATAGAATTCCTTCTCCCCCTTTCTTTGTTTTGCAATAAACTTGCAAAACTGTTAGTCAGGGAAATCTAACCCATCATTGCAATAACTATACATCTCTTACTTAAAATCTCCTTCCCACCTTTCATCCTTAGTGTACTTATTTTCCTTTTTCTCTTCCTTGACCTGCTGTCCTGAGAACGAAGGTGCCAATTTAGTTGCGATCTCTCTTCTTAGAGAAAAAAGAAAATTTACAATAAAACCTTGTAATATATGAATACAGAAAAGAAATTTACCTGGAAATATTTTTGGTGTCATGTTTTAGTCAAGTATCAAAGCCACTAAAACAGGATTTGCAATATTAATTTCAGAACATATATATTTAAAAACAAAGTAATTACATACCTCTTAGATTTCATGGCAGCATTTTTGGGAGTTGCCTATATCAAAAAAGAAAAACAAACATATTCACTGTTTGATGAATGATGATTATTTTTCTAATATGGATTGGCTGTGGCTACCAGCTGTCCAAATCCATACTTAGACTGGTTGGCTCATCTGTTTGATGACAACCTTCAGTTTAAATTCCTCATGAAACTTGGATATTACTAGCGCTGTGTGAGTAATGGATTTTTCAGAGTTCGCTGGCAATCCCGGGGGAAAAAAAAAACCTGTTTGTGTCAACCCCAAAGCTATTTTCTTCAAACTTTTTGATGAATCAGAAGTTGGGAAAAATTCATTTTGATCAAACAAAACATTTAGTTCAAGCTAAAACTAAATATTTCTATTTTGAGCATTTTTTAACATTTTAAAAATTAAAGGAAATTTCAAACTGAAAAGTCATTTTGAACTGAAAAAATAACATTTAATTTAAAAAGTGCTGAAATAAGGTTTCAAGTTTTCAGAATATATATATATATATATATATACACGGTACACCAAACAATTTAGCAAAACTGACACAAATTCCAGAAGCGTTTCAGCATAGCCAAATCTACACTTTTTGCCGAAAGACATTTTGGCTCAAAAATGTCCCCCAGCTCTAAGTATGACATCATGATTCTAATCAATATGCATCAATTACATTCAATGTACAAGCACAGATCCATCAACTTCCATGGAAGTATGCCTGTTTAAGCCAGCAGCAAATCTGACCTATTGTATGTTTAGTGAGAATGATGGTAAAAAGATAATGAACATTTTAAATAACATTCAGATATATTTTGTAACGATAACCATTGTGGGTAGAGGAGAAAATTGATACTGCACTATGCTCTGAAACTCCCCTAACTCAGGCTCTAACAGGCTGCTAGAGGAAGCAGTTCTTAACTCTTGCAGTGAAATAGAGAGAGTGACGCAATCTCAGAAGATTAGGCTCCAATTTATTGGTAGTTTTAGGCCCCAGTCCAGCATTGTCACCCTCACAGGCCAACGGCTCAACCTGCATTTAGCCCCCATGACGTCAGTGACACAACAGGCCACCTACACGGATCACAAAGCGGAGTGAAACCACGTATGTTTCTTTCTGGGAGTGGTTCAAGGTTAACAGGCAGCTCGTGAGGAGCAGAGAGAGACCTCATGTTGTGTACTCCAAAGAGTTTATCCCACTCAAGAGATGAACTACTACACTGCACTAGGGCCACATTCCACTTTTAGCAAAGTATCTGAGGACATACTAACTTCAACAATTAGATACAGACATTAGCAGCCTCAAGTATCCAATTTTACCTATGTGCAACTTAAATATTTTGGAGATAGTAGCTCTGTTATCCACATCTTCATTAAAAGTGAAAATTATGAACAGGAGTAAAATAATGACAGTCTAAAATTTAACTATAAGGAATAAAGGCTTTCATACTGTACCCGAGGAGATGAACAATCTTCATCTACTTTCAGGTCATTCATTTTATTTACTAAGCTCCCATCTGAGTTGATAAAGGAATAAAGGCTTTCATACTGTACCCGAGGAGATGAACAATCTTCATCTACTTTCAGGTCATTCATTTTATTTACTAAGCTCCCATCTGAGTTGATATTTTTAGATGCAGAATCAGAACCACTATAAGGGGAAAAATGGATTTCAATATATCTCCTTCAAACAATTCTTGAATCAAAACTACAATTCTTGATACCACAGAAAAAGGATTATGTGAATTAATTTAAAATTCAAAACTTCACTTGTAACACAATTCTTGTGATTCAATAACATTTTATTATAAAATACTTATTTCTATAATGGATTTCATCCTATTATGTCACTGTGATTTATAAATGTTAGTTATGTATTCTCACTATGGTAAGGTAGGTTAGGTACAGAGATCATTTCAATGCAGTGAGGCCACCACTGGTACAAAATATAGCTGCTCTTTAACACTACACAGGGCATCAGAGAGAGTAAAGTGGTGATACCAGAGCCAAATTAACCATCAAGCACAATAGGCTGGTGCCAAGGGGTCCCAGCACAGACTGGAAAATTTCTCACCATCATTTTCTTTCTGCTAGCAACTTCTCTCTTCATTCTCCATGAATACGTTGTGCCTCTTTGGATTAATGGAGAATGAAGAGAGAAGTGGTATAGCAGAAATTATAATGTGGTGCACAGAAATTACTGAAAAGAACTGACATCCGTTAAACAAAGCAGTGTCATAATACAAAAATGGCTACTGAAAACTTCAATGGAGTGACACTCTTCTTTTCACATCAAGCAGAAATGCTTCTAAAATAATTACTGGTGCTCAACAAGAAAGCATTCAGGATAGCCAAAAAATCTGTGTATCATAAAGTATATTACAAGAAATATAAAAAAATTAAATGCAATTGCACAATTAAACTGTATTCTTGATCTGTAGATAAAGAAACAGGTTTAAAATACAACTGATTAATTCACAAGTGAAAAGACAGCAAAAGATTTTGCTTAACCGCTCTCAACTAGTTCTTGAATTATAAGCAAATGCCTTATGTTAAACATCACAATATTAATGGTTCCAACTTACTTTGCAGATGACCAGCTTGACATTCCACTGGAACTGCTAAGTAGACTATTTGCAGAACTGGCAACAGCTGTGTGTCTCCCTGCCTGTGTGTGTATATATATATATATAAAAAAAACAAATACCCGATACCTACCAGTCAAAGCTTTGCTACTACAAATGACAACATTCTAAAATGACAAAAACAATGGAGTTTCAGAAAAAGTTATTGGAAGTACATTAAACACTAAAGCCCCAGCTGAGGAAGACGTTTATTACTCCTGGGGGAATTCTGTGTGACTACGCGCCCGCAGAAAACATCCGCCCCCCCGCAGAATTCCTGTGCTTCCCTGCAGAAAACGACTGGGAAGCAAAAAGCAGCCACGTGGGGGAGGGGGTACAACCATGGTCGCAGTTTTTTGGGGGAGATTCGCCCCTCCCAACAGGGGTGAGGCATGGGGGGCAAACAGGGTTACGTGCCATTGCCCCTCCCCATTGTTTCTGCAAGCGCAGAGCTTCCCACTGCAGGAGGCTGCTTCTTGGCTCCGCTGACTCTGCAGCTGAACGCCATCTCCTAAGTCCTAGTGCCAGTCGGGCTCCCCTTCTGTGTGCTGGGAACCTTCCTCTTTTCTGTGCAACCCTGAGTGCCTGTGGTGGGCCTGGGTAAGGGGGGTGAGGGGAATGTGGGGGTGAGGGGGAGGGATGAGATTGGGAAGAAGAGTGCACAGGGGAATCGCAGGGGGAAGTGGGCGCCCGGCATGCGGCATCCCCTCGGCAGCAGCTGCACCTGGATCCCCAACCAGCTGCACCTGGATCTCCATCCCATCAAGCCCCACTCCCCCAGCACCCAGACACCACCCCACACCAAGCCCCATCTCCCCACATCCAGACCCTGCCTGCTGAGCTCCAACCACCTTCACCTGGATCCCTTGCAAAGCCCCATTGCCCCTGCACCCCCAACGAGCCTCTGTGCATCCAAATCTTCCACTGAGCCGCCTTCACCCAGATTCCCCCACACAGAAACCTCTCACCCCACACCTGGATTCCCCCCCCACACACACACACACTAAGCCCCTCCACATTTGGATCCTGCTGGGCTGAGTCTGCCCAACCACTCTCGGCCCTTGGACTGTGTCAGCGTTGGGTGCAGCCTCACTGTCGAGTCCCCCTACCAGCGGAGGTGAAGGCTTCAGAATGATCTCCCACCTCAATGCAGCCAGTGGCCTGTGCTCCCCACTGCCATGCTGGAGCCCCATTTTTAATGACAAATAAAATTTGCAGAATTTTAAAGTATTACGTACAGAATTTTTAATATTCTGGTGCAAAATTCCCTCAGGAGTAGTTTATGCACATGCTTAACTGTAAAGCACTGGGGTGAAATTGAAGGCATTTGCCCCACTGAAGTGGGAATTTTTCCATTAACTTTAGTGTGGCCAGGATTTTGCCCCAGGTATTTAAAATTTTACATCCTTTTTCACACCTGCAATTAAATATCAGCAAAAGTAGAGTTTTGTAAATATCTTATGACCAGATCTTGACCACGAATCCAGGAGACATTTATAGTACATGCCCTCATTTGCAAGAGTAACAAGGGATGCAAGGATGAGGCCCCATTAAGAATTAGGACCAAAAAACAGTATTCATTAGTTGAGGGCAAACTTTTCAAAGCTGGTAATTGTACATGCAATTTTGCATGTGGAAAAATAGAAGTGTATGCATAAACAGGCTTCTGCATCTAATTGCCATCTATATAGTGACTGGGCATGCAAAGTGATAAGCATGCAAAGTTTGCATTACAAATTTAGAGCTGGCTGAAAATTTAGTCGTAAGTAATAACTGAGTTTTTGCCTTTTTCCATCCCTTTGTTTTCACTTAGTAAGAGACATTGAAGTTTCAGATTAAAAGCAAAAAGTGTGATATCACAGTTAGGCATGTGTAAGAGGTGCTCAGCAACCTTGACTTCCCTTGAATTCCACTGACATTGCAGGCTCAGGTCCCATATGATTAAAAAAAATAATTCTGATTTGCAAATTAAACACATCCAACACAAATGCAAGGAACTATATAATTAAGAAAACTTAGTAATTGTACAGCAGCACTGTACTATGCTCGAGAGAATTCCATTTCAGTATATTAGTTAAGTTTTAAAGAAAACTGTAGTGAAATATTTTTTCATAAATTCTTTTGTCATATGCATTTGTCTTTAACTGAATGATAACTCACAGGACTATATACTGAAATATGCAATTAGAGATACAGATTTTTTTTTTTGGGTACAATAAGCTATTGACTATACAGACACTGTGAATTTTAGCTACCATACAGTGGAGCACCACCAACATAAATCTATGAGGCAAAGATTATTTCTCCCTCAAATGGAAACAAACCAGACTAGTTTTTAACCAAATGATAATGGACCTTGCTTCAAAAGATGAATGAGCCAGTCGTCTCTTTACATACAGACTACATGCAATACATACCCTTGACGTTTCTTGAGATCTTAACTGTTCATATGCACGTTTTGCAGCAGCCTGTTTTGCAGCTTTTTTATCATTTCCAGTGCCTTCACCATAAATCTGGTCACCAATTTTACAGCTAAAAGAAAATCTGTAAGAATAATAGAGAATAAAACAGTATCCATAAATCCTGTACGGCAAATTCTAATGTTAACGATTTTGAATACTAATGTCATGTAGAAATGATTCTAGGAAGAACAGAGTTCTTCAATATTCTTCTGCATATGTACATTTTCAAATATAACTTTAGTCATCTAACTTGAGATGCCTTAAAAGGGTCGGATTTTTAGAAGATAGGGCGTAGCATTTTCTGAGGAGCCAGTCCCATAAAGCATCTTAAATAAGGTACCCAAAACTACTAGTCATTTGAAAACCCTGAATGTAGATTTTAAGATTAGTTCCTTGTAAAGGTATTTTTTAAATTGCAAAATTGTAACAACAACTTAGCCTAGAATAGTATATTATTTAAAAGAGAGAGAGAGAGAGAGTGCAAGAGCGCGCGCGAGCGCAGGCTGATTAAAGCACATTCTACAGAATAAAACATTTGTGGTGAAGAATTTTAAAGTCTGTGTTTGATTTACCAGGACAGATTCTGTGAAAAATCTTAACGGAATTAAAGAAGAGTAAGATTATTTTTTAAATCATAATTGAATTAAGCAAGTTTTTCTTTAAAGGAGCACTGAAATCAGTTTGAAAGCTACCAATTTAAAAAGCATTTCTTAAACATAAAGCACTTCTCACCCTGAATAAACTACTAAATGTATTTTATTTAAAAATACTGCTATGGCAAGTCATTTTGCTAAAAAAAGAACATGGATTTGTGACAGGGTAATAAGAATTATAAAGACAGTTTGGAAATAGATTCCAGACTAAGACACTGATCCTGAAAATTCTCAGATACATGCTTAACATTAAACCCAATTAGTCCCATTAACTTTAAACACACATATTTGCAAGATCAGGGCGTATCTTTCCATGTTCATGCTAGTGTTTTATAATTCTATGTTTAATTATTTCCGCCAAAATGTACCTGCTATGAATTAGGGCTCTTTCGTTAGACATTCCTGTTACCCTACCACATTATTCATAGAATCATAGACTTTAAGGTCAGAAGGGACCATTATGATTGTCTAGTCTGACCTCCTGCACAACGCAGGCCACAGAATCTCACCCACCCACTCCTGTAACAAACCCCTAACTTATGTCTGAGCTACTGAAGTCCGCAAATCGTGGTTTAAAGACTTCAAGGTGCAGAGAATCCTCCAGCAAGTGACCCGTGCCCCACGCTGCAGAGAAAGGTGAAAAAGATAAGCACAACATTCATACCCTCTACTACAATAGCTAATTTAAATTAATTACATTTTTTTGTTAGCAGCTCTGACACTTCATTCTTTAATTCATTCAGAACTGTTGGATGTGTCGCTGATGAATTGATGTTTTTTAAATTTATCAATTTGTTTCAATACCTCTTTTAATACCTTGTTCCCTAATAGGGTTGCAAACTTTCTAATCGCACAAAACTGAATACCTTTCCCCTCCCCGTACCCCGCCCTTCCCCAAGGCTCCACCCCCCCACTCACTCCTTCCCCCCTCCTTCTGTCGCTCACTCTCCCCAACCCTCAGTCACTTACTCATTTTCATCAGGCTGGGGCAGAGGATTGAGGTGTGGGAGGGGGTGAGGGTTCCGGCAGGGGGTGTGGGCTCCAGGATGGGGCCAGAAATGAGGGGTTCAGGAACCAGGAGCAGGCTCGGGGCTGGGGCAGGGGTTTGGGTTGAAGGAGAGGGTGAGGGCTCTGGGCTGAGGGTGAGGGCTCCGGGGTGGGGCCAAAGATGAAGTATTCAAGGTGCAGGAGTGGGCTCCAGGCTGGGGTGCGGGGCAGGGGTGAGGGATTTGGGGTGCAGCAGGGGGCTCCGGGCTGGGGCCGAGGGGTTCAGAGTGCGGGAGGGGGTTCCGAGCTGGGACAGGAGGTTGGGGTGCAGGCTCAGAGAGGAGCTCCAGGCTGGGGCAGGGGCTTGGGGTGTGGGAGGAGGTGCGGGGTGAAGGCTCCAGGTGGCGCTTACCTCAGGCGGCTCCCTGGAAGCAGCGACATGTCCTTGGGCTCCAAGGTGGCGGCGCAGCCAGGCGTCTCTGCACAGTGTGCGCTGCCTTCACCTGCAAGCACCGCCCCCACAGCTCCCACTGGTCATGGTTCCTGGCCAATGGGAGCTGTGAAGCCAGTGCTCGGGATGGAAACAGTGTGCAGAGACCCACTACAGGGACATGTCGCTGCTTCCAGGAACCCCCCGGAGCCAGGTAGGAAGCCTGCCTTAGCCCCACTGCGCCGCCGACCGGACTTTTAATGGCCCGGTCAGCGGTGTTAACCGGAGCTAAGAGGGTCCCTTTTCGACCATGTATTCTTGTCAAAAACTGGACACCTGGCAAACCTAGTCTCTAACAGTAGGTCTTTATTATCTGAAAATAACAGATATCTCCCCATTATCCTCTGCAGAGAAAACCAAGGCTATGTATTCACTGCAATAAAAGGTGTCTTTTTATATTGAGTTAACTATTTCAGCGTATACTATTAGTGGAAACAATGCACTATAGCTTTTACCTCAATATAACTAGTCCCCCCCCCCCCCACATGGGGTTTACCTCCACTAGCTATTGAGATAAAAACTACAATGACTTTTTCCATTCGAATTTTACAATAAGATGGCTACTATGATGTGAATATATAAAAAGAGACAATCTCTAACCCAAAGAGCTTACATGAAAGCCCCAATCCAGTATATGTGTACGTGCTTACTTTCACTCACGTGAATAGTCCCACTGAAGTCAATGGAGCTACTCATGCAACTATCTGACTTTACACAAGCATTTGCTAATTAGAGACAAGATGTGACATGTAGGTAAACACTGCAGAGCCTGAGGAAGGGGAACAAAGTTGAATATATTATGTAAACAGCCAATTTGGAGACTTCAGAGGTTTGTTTCTTTTAATTTTTTTTGAAACAATATAAGTGAGTAAGAGAGGTTGTCACTTTTTTTGGACTTTGTTATCTCTAATGTCCATCAGTGTTGTGCACTCTGTTTTCTTTCCCTTATCAGAAGACTGGTAAGAAGTCGTCTTACAACTTGGAATTTGTATCACTAGAGATTCTACTATATGGTCCTCTCTGCACGTAAATTTATTTCATTTCATTGGATTCTATCAACTCTTTTGTGTATAGTGCTACTCACCCACCTCTACAATCTAGCTTGGCCTTCCCTGTAGTTAATAACCAGGTATTATATACTGGACATGCACAGTTTGAAAACAATTTGACAATTTTGTAAGTTAAGCTTATAGCTAATCTATATAACCATGTATTCTTATAACTGTTACCTGTTTCTTTCCTAATTCCTCTTTCATGATCTATACCCACTTATTATGACTAATCTCAATTAGACTTTGAACTCTTTGGGACAGGGGCTGTTGTTTTCTACTGAATGCACAATGCCTAGTACGATGGGACAACGGTCCTAACAGTGACATCTGGATGCTTCTGTAATAAAAGTAACAAGTTATGCAACCACTGTTTTATCATTCTATCAAGTTTCAGTATTGTCTCTGTGATGGGGAATCTGCGCTCCATTCCTGGATGAAGCGCAAAGGGTTAAACCTCTTCAATGGGCTGAGAAAAGAAACCTACCCCTTAAGGATTACCAGAGTCACCAGGACTTGGAAGCAGGATCTGAAAGCTAAGGTCTGATAGGCAAGGAAGGAGCCTTAATTAGAGAAGCCGCAAAAAGAATCAGAAGGAAAACAAGACTTTTGTTGTCTTCTAGCCTAGGAAGCAGGTGAATCAAGCCCCAGTCTGGAAGTAAGGTGAAACTGAGGAATCAACTGCCGGATTTTTTTCAGAAGTAGTAGCATACTTCTGCACAGATACCAGCTACCTACAGCAAAGGCTGTTTGCTGAGGCTTCCTTTGGACAAGACTGAAAGCAAGGCTTCCTTTATGAATTGTTTTGCTTCTCATAATGTACAAATAGACATGTTTTCTCCTTTGAAGATTGTGTTTTAGCAGCTGGGAACTGATCCAGCTCTCTATGAAAGCAATAACAACTCTCAGTGACTTCAGTGGTAACAGGTTTAATTCCTTGGTTTATAGGACTGTTAAGCCAATCTCAAAAGCTGATTTGATCAGAAATTTGTAAGGGAGTAATTAGGGGGTCATGCACTGGCAATGTCACAAACTGTCAATATTTTTAAGATAAGATATACCTTGCTAAATATCACTCTTTTGGGAGCAGTTCTTAGCAAACAGTTGCTGGAATAGTTCCACCGCTATCTGGATTCCTTCAATTCACTTTTAATTCCTCCCATTATGGTTTCAATTGTGGGTAGATCTCATTCCAGTAACAGATACAAAAAAATGCCCTTTCCTCAAGCAGGTCACTGTGACAGATCCCTTTGACTTTGGCAGCGAGTACATGATTGCAGTTCTGGAGACTCATCTAAAAGCATCCATGTAAAGAAACAAAAGAGCAGGCAAATAGAGAGAAGAAGCAGAAGGAATTAACAACATTAACCACATCTTACGTTTTTTTATGGGGGGGTCCATATTCATCTTCTAATTTATACTCCATCACTATGTTATGTTTTAGTCCATATTTGGTAAGCATGGAGATATAGTCAAGTGGTTCTATCTCTATCAGTATGTCTGATGAAAACTCTGCTGGCGGTGGTGGCGGCGGCGATGGCTGCGGCTGCGGAGTTTGTGGGAGTGAAGCCTGTTTAGTCTACAAAATAAATATACAAAATATGCATAGCTTGAAAGGCTTGAAGTTACTAAAGAACACAAAATGAGCATCATGAGAGTGCTGGTATAACTGCAGGGGTTGTGAATCCTTAACCAACTGCTACAGACATTTCACAACGTTTTAAAAATAAACCACTTCCCAATCGCCACTAATAGGATGTACTGGCTCTGTAAAGCAGAGAACCATCCTGGATAAAGTGAGCTGTAGCTCACGAAAGCTCATGCTCAAATAAATTGGTTAGTCTCTAAGGTGCCACAAGTACTCCTTTTCTTTTTGCGAATACAGACTAACACGGCTGTTCCTCTGAAAAATATACCATTGTAGATTTTGCAAAGAAGTTTATAATCAACGAATCTTTAATAGAAGATTTCAGGATTGTCACCTGCTGGCGAATCACGCTGAAACTTAGAATCTCTGTTCAATCAGCACAAAGCGATGGAAACAGCTACAAGCACGGTTGAGAGCTCTTTTTATTGGGAATATGACCAGGTTCAACCACCACTGGGATTCACCATCGGTTACCATTCAGTTATTATGTTCTCAGCCATTTTACACACATGCATTAGACCCATGTGACAGCACAGGCTTTCACCTGCTAGCAAGTACTGAATGACATTAAGATGCTTAGGTGTCAGGCTGAATTCCCTTATTTCTGTGCTCAATGCCGTTGTGCATATAAGGACAAGGAGTTATTTAAGTTTGAATCCTGATCAAATTAATATTTGATGACTGTTTGGTGGCCACTGAAATGAGTAACTGCTCTCAATAGGTATCCATACATGACAATCACCATCTTCAGCAGTTGCAGATGCTCTCTGCAAAGAGGTTAAAGGCTGAAAGTGCCTAAAGTACTCTCCTCCAACCCCTTAATGAGGTCCCTGCAGCTCAAGGATGAGGCAGTGTAGGGGGAATACCTGTAATGCTAGTACTGCACCTACTGTCGCTAAACCTCTTGTTCCAGCATTTTCCCCCACAAGCAATAGTCATTCACATAAAATAAAGCTCAGACTGGAACCCAACTCAGTGCAGGTTTGGCCTAGTGAACATTCTTGTTTTGAGTATGGTTCTTATTCAGTTAGACTATTTGTTTCCATGACAGGCCCTAGTTCCCCACCCCATGTTTGGACACCAATGAATACAGAACGCTTCTCTGTCTGCAAAGCACCTCCTTCCAGTTATCCCATTCATGAGATGCACCATGTAGAAATACACATTCTATAAAGGACTGTGAAGTACCTATGGGCCTTGCAGAAATATTGCTGACTCTCTGGAATGCTAAAAAGAGAAGGTCAGGGGAAAACTGAAATAATTCAATTCTGAAATGCAGCCTCTGTCTCTTGTGGGAGTTGTCATTCAGGAACCTCATGCTCCCATCCTCCTCTATGGGCCAGGCTCTACAGCTGGACTTCATCTCTCATGATGCACCGCAGGCATTGAGCTGCCAAGATGAACTGCCTCCCCCTGACCAAAAAGGAATTCTATGGTTCATCATGAGAGATGCAGTCCTGATCAGGGATCCCAGCCTACACAAAACAAGAAGAGCATGAGACATCCAAACCACAGTGGCATTTCAGAATTGAAATATTTCAGTTTGGGATTTTTGGCCAAAATCCACAAGATTTTCCTCTGGGGTGAGGAGAACAAAACAAAACAAGAAAGCTTTCCAGCCAGCTCTACTTGGCAGCTCCATAAAACAGTCTTCACCATTCAACTCCTTAACCCCAGTTATGGCCATTGTGAACAATAAATGTAATATATTTCAGAAATAGAAATAATGAGAATTACAATAAACACAAATGCCATATATTTTAACAGGACTACCACATGAAAATGATTACCGGTAATTATCCTGCTCTGTTCAGTTCAGGGCACTACATCTCAAAAGGGAGAATTCAGTGAGGTCTAACAAAATGCCTCTCACACTCTACTGACATTAAGAGAAATCCAGTGTAACTTGCTAGATAGATTAAATATGCCTTGCATGAAGTGTTTAATATTTGGTATTCTGGATTCACTTGTGTCCCCCAAGTGTAATCTGTTGCTTAGAAAATACTTGGATACCTTTTGGATCTGACTTTGGCTCAGATTTCTCACCTAAAAATCAATTGTTAAGAAATACTGTGGTCCCTTCGCCAGATCTGTGTCTTGATAAACCTATGTGAGACGATCAATGAAAAAGTTTAATTGGAGACATTTAGCTTGAAAATGTATGCCTAGAAAATGAGACTATAATGAACTTTCAGATCACAACTCCTTCTTACAGCCTATTTTCCTGGAAGCACTTTCTTTCTGCAATATATAGTCATATAAAGATGGATTTAGCTCTTGGGTCATGTTTATTCAACATCTTTGAAAAGAAGAGTCTTGTTAGAAGATGACTATATGACAGACTTGAGATTTTTTTTTAAAATATACTTTTATTTTCCTTTCCAGTGATACCTCAATTTAACAGGTTGTATTTAGCATCAATTTATACCTTTCACTTTTTTCCCCCCCATTATGGTTCTGAAACTAAACATTTGTTTCTAAACTACAATGTGGACACGGATTTTTTTAAATGTTCATGACTGATATGAATATCTTTTCCAAAACCAACTCTAAAGAATATAAAAAAGAATTAAAAGTCTGGAAAAAAACTCTAATGGAATATTACAAAAGGACATTCTTTTCCAACAGAGAAATTTCTAATGGATCCACTTGGTCTGGACAAAGATCTCTTTTTTACAAAGGGACAAATAGGAAAGAGGATGTTCTAAAAAGAGCAGACGATATCCAGTCACATTGTCGGGCTTTTTGGTCCCACAAACCAGGATGAGAGGTTTTTAGTTTTGGCTTTGACATGTAGTAGAATTGCCATGCTTAAGGATTTTCTAGACAGACACCTGTCACTCAGACAGTTTAGAGACCATTTGAATTGCCTCTACCATGATTCAGGGGATACATCTGAAGATGACCCATTCAAAGCCCTCTAACCCAAACAAAACAAGGATAGTTTACCATTTACTTTTAAACAAAAGATGTTGTTTACTTACTTGATTTTCTTGTGTTATGCTATCCCATGCTGCCTTTGCGGCCTCTTCTTTTGCCTCTTTCTTGGTTTTACCTGTAGCTACAGGATACTCTCTGTTACCTATTACAACCATGACAGTGAACCTGCAATAAAGAAAACTGTTCACTGAACACAGCTGAATTGTGGCATATGCCTAAGGACCTTATCAAGATTCCATTGTTCATTTATCTTTAGAGCACTATGAAATGTTCTGCAAGTACTTAAGTATTCAAGTGCTTATCGTCTCCCAAACCCCATTTTCATAATTCTTTGGAAGCTTCAAGTGTTCTTATAAATAATATCTTCCCTCCTCCTCAATCACATGTTCATACTATAACATTTATAAACACTAAGCTGCTTTACAAAAGCACTGAAGACTGCATTAAGATAGTGATGGATAGCTTGAATCTGTTGATACATGTCCAGGACTTGGAGGGGCCAAAGACCAGGATGCTCTTCACTGCTCCAGATTGTGGGAAGAGAGAAGGCTGGCCTGCCTTGGTTACATAAACGAAATTACATCCACCCTTGGTCTGTCACTGCATCATTATTTTACTAAGGGCACATCTATACTACAAACTGAAGTCGACTTAAATCAACATCCAGCTGCTGCAGTAATTAAGTTGGCTGTGCATGTCCACACCACCCTCTGTGTCAGTGGAGCTCATCCTCACTAGCAGCGCTTGCATCAGTGCAGAAAGCAGTGTATTGTGGATATCTATCCCATGGTGCAACCAGGACAATTGACTGTGGATTACTGTGGATTGTGCAACCAGGACAATTGACTGTTTGCAGGCAGGCCTTCCTGTGAGTCAGGCTGGGAGGAACGAAGGCTTGGGGACTTATAGTGACATGTGATCATGTCACCTGAACTGGAAGCCATCTTTAACCTGGTGTTTTTCCATTGAGAAGGAGGGGTGGGAACCCAGAGGGACAAAGGATTCCCACCTTATGCAAAAGATATATAAGTCGGTGGAACAGAACAAGAGGGAGCCATCATGAGAAATCCCCTAGCTACCACCTGAGCTGGAACAAGGGCTGTACCAGGGGAAAGGATTGTGCCCAGACTACAAAGGTGGCAAGTCAGTAAAAGAAACTTATTGAAACATCTCTAAGGGTGAGATTAAATCTGTATTCAGTTTTTATTACTGTACTAGACTTAGACTTGCGTGTTTTATTTTATTTTGCTTGGTAATTCACTTTGTTCTGTCCGTTACTACTTGGAACCACTTAAATCCTACTTTCTGTATTTAATAAAGTCACTTTTTACTTATTAATTAATCCAGAGTATGTATTAATACCTGGGGGGGGGGGGCAAACAGCTGTGCATATCTATCAGTGTTATAGAGGGCGAACAATTTATGAGTTTATTCTGTATAAGATTTATAAGGGTAAAACGGATTTATTTGGGGTTTGGACCCCACTGGGAGTTGGTCATCTGAGTGTTAAAGACAGGCACACTTCTGTAAGCTGCTTTCAGTTAAGCATACAGCTGTTAGGGGACATGGTCCAGACCTGGGTCTGGGTTTGCAGCAGGCTAGCGGGTCTGGCTCAAACCAGGCAGGGCACTGAAGTCCTAAGCCGACTGGACAGGAAAGCAGGGGCCGAAGTAGTCTTGGCACATCAGGTGGCAGCTCCTAAGGGGGTTTCTGTGATCTAACCTGTCACACCAGGAACTGTGTGTGGCGCCCGTCTCAGCCTTGCAGCACAGCAACACTAAAATGAGACCTGCTCTGACAGCGGAGAAGCAACTGACAATCGCTGTGTGGAAGCTTGCAATGCCAAACTGCTATGGGTCAGTGGGGAATCAATGTGGAGTTGATAAATCCACCGTGCGTGTTGTTGTGATGCAAGTATGCAGGGCCATTAATCGCTTTCTGTTAAGGAGGGTAGTGATTCCATGCAACGTGCAGGGCATACTTGATGGCTTTGCCACAATGGGGTTCCCAAACTGCAGTGGGGCAATAGATGGTGTGCATATACCCATTTTGGCACCAGACCACCTTGCCAAAAAGTACATAAAGAGAAAGGGATACTTTTCTATGGTGTTACAAGCGTTGGTGCAGCACCTGGGCTATTTTACTGACATCAACACCTGGTAGTCTAGGAAGGTATATGACATATGCATCTTTAAGAACACAGGTCTGTTCAGAAAGCTGCAAGCAGGGACTTTCTTTCCAGACCATAAAAATCACCGTTGGTGGTGTTGAAGTGCCCATACTGATCCTGGGAGACACCCTATCCCTTACTCCCAAGGCCCATGAAGCCATACACAAAGCATCTGGACAGTAGCAAAGTGTGGTTCAACAACAGACTCAGCAAGTGCAGAATGGTGGTTGAATGTGCCTTTGGCCATTTGAAGGATTGCTGGCGCAGTTTGCTCACTAAGTTAGACCTCACTGAAAAAAAAATGTCCCCATGGCTATAGCTGCCTGCTGTGTGCTTCATAATACATGTGAAGCAAAGGGAGATTAGTTTTCGCAGGGGTGGGGCACAGAGGTGGACAGGCTATCTGCTAATTTTAAGCAGCCAGATACCAGAGCTACAAGAAGAGCTCAGAGTGGAGCAATGCATCTCCGGGAGGCTTTGAAAACCTGTTTTAGTAATGATCCATAGTAACATACACTGCTTTTCTGTATTGTGCCTACCCATAGTCTAAACCTTGCTCTGATTCTCTCTTGTGTACATCCATCCCAGTGCCTCAGTTTGACTCTCTCTCCCCTACCCCCCACCCCCAGGCTTTGAATTAATAAAGATGATTTCATTTTCAAGACATGGACTTTTATTACACACAGATATAAACACTGAAAGATCCGACAGAAGAAATGAACCTTGGAAAGAGAGTAGAATAAAATTTTGAGGGGGGAAAAAACACATTCATCTTGTCTTTAAAAGCACAGCTGCCTTGCCTATGTGCGGCTGTTATTCTTTGCACCCTCCCCCGGGATTGAGTGGAAGGGATATTGCACTGTCCGCCCTTGCTAGTGGAACATGTGTGAGGGGGAGCACAGAGATGTTGGAATGCCATTCTGCAGGGGCTACAGAGGGAGTCAAGCCTCAAGGTGTTTCTCCTGAAGGTCAACCAGATGCCCCAACACGTCTGTTCCGTCAGAAAGCCCAGCATCTCCTGCTGCGTGCCACGCTCATTCTCCTGGGCTTCTCTCCTGTCCATCATGTCCATGTCCATTTTTTCAGAGAGAACAATCATCACACCCTCTGCTCAGCATCCACTATCCCAGAGGCATTCACTATCTCATTAAACATGTCATCACAACTTCATCTTATCTGGGAGATCCTCTCCACTGGTGTGGAGGAACAGCTGAAGGCTACACTTTGCAGTGTAAACAATGCAAAGCACAAAGGAACCACTGTCAGTGCAGACCTAGGGTCTAGCACAGAGATGCTATATAAAAATCACTCCCCTGAATCCACGCAAGTGTAAAGCAGAACATTTTCATTTCTGCAAGGTATTCATTGAACCAGTTTGCTATCCCAGTCATGGTGAGTTATGACCCAGTGGCATGAGCACCGGACTGTCAGCAGCATTGGGTGGGCAACCCGCGACGGTACTGGAGCTGGCCAGGGGGCCATGCCACCTCCTCTTTGTAACATCGACGCTGTCTACAGGTCAAGGACCAGCATTCCCCCTCCCAAACTGCAAATCTTTGCAGAAGCGATGCTGAGGGAGGGCTTGCAGTGGCGTGGGGCCACCACAACATTTTCCTTCCCTCTCCATTGCCGCTGCTGCTCTCTGGCGCCAGAGGCTTGCAGTTTTTGGGGTCAACAGAGATCCCTGTCACCCAAACTATGGCCATGTTTTGTAAAGCATGGGGAAAGGGGTGGAAAATCACTTGGGGGATGCCCGCAGGCAATATTGTTTGAGGTTTGAGCAACTGAAAATGACCGCTGTCTCCCATAGGTGACCCTAGCTGATATCACGCTCCTGAGGGTAACAGCTGCTCCAAGCATCCAGGTATAGACAGTGTCCTTATGCTGCTATGCTGGGTACTGCAATGATGCCAGTTGAATTCATACTGGAGTGGCGTGGGAAAGTATCCTACTATGGTGGAAGGGATAGGCAGCCCTCCATAGAAACCTTCTACAATGGATTACAGAATACCTCCATGAAAGTTTCCTGGAGACCTCTATGGAGGATTCCTGGGCCATCCCTGTGTACAAAGTCTTTTTCTCAGGGCACCCTCTGCCAAGCTGGTGTGGCCACCGGGAAGCAAATAGGCACTATACCTCAACTGATTTTTTTAAATTAAAAAAAAAAAAAAAACAGCATATAGGAACATGTGACCCCAAAATATTAATTGGAATTGCATTCTCAGCAGAGGTTTCTGCCCTGGCATCACACTCTGCCATGTTGCTGTGCTGGGACTGGCTGGACTGCTCAGGGTTACAAACAGCTCCTGGCTCTCTGGGACAATGAATTGCCCTCTTGCCTGTCTCCCATTCTCCTCATCCAAGACTCCTCCTCAGTGTTGCCTACAGTGGCCTGGGACTCTGACTTCTCAGATGTATCCACACTGATCTTGGGAGGGTGCGTCATTGTGCGTTTGCCACTGAGAATAGCATGCAGCTCCTTGTAAAAGCAGCATGTCTGTGATGCTGAACCAGAGCGACCATTCACCTCCCTTGCCTTCTGGTACGCCGGCCACAGTTCCTTGATTTTCACGTGGCACTGCTGCATGGCCCTGGTGAAGCCCTTCTCCCCCACGCAGCAAGCAATCTTCTTGTATACGTCTGCGTTTCTTCGGCTAGATTGGAGCTATGCCTGCACTGCCTCTTCTCCCCACAGACCCAGAAGATCCATCACTTCCCGTGTATTTCAGGTAGGAACGTTTTTAGAGTGTGGCGCCATCATGATCAGCTGGGCAGGCAAGCACTCCACACCAAACAAACAGGAAATGGAAATTCAAAAGTTCCTAGTCCTTTAAAAGAGGAGGGGCTATTTCCTGCAGACCTGGCGGCTAGGCAGCAGAGTTGAGAACGGTGGCCAGAGCGGTCACAGCGGAGCATCATGGGACACCTCCTGGAGCCCAGTTAGGTTGACATAAGCAGCACAGTATCTATATTGCCACTACGACCTAACTATGTCGAATGAAGCATTGTGCCTCTCATGGAGGTGGAGTCATTGAGTCAACGTAGCAGGTGAGTTACGTTGGCAGAAGGGAAGTAGTGTAGAGACAGATATTATTAGGTCGACATAAGGCAGCTTACGTCAACCTAACTGCGTAGTGTAGACAAGGCCTTAGAGAAATGATTTTAGAGTTTTATTTTTGCTATTCCAATTTCACTTTCTAGTACTCTGATGAAATGTTAGGATTAAAAAAAAAGAATATGATGTGGGTTAGTGCTGGTGATCATTACAGAAGTCAATGTTTAAGAGGGATCTCACTGAGAAGAGTAGAGAGACATGGGATGTTTAGTTTTGCTAGTTATTCCACACACATGGGACAACACGGGGGGGAAAACCACAAAGATGGAAATGAGAGAAGGAAACAGATTTTGCCTAGGGGTGACAGGAGCTTGTTAGCCAACTCCTTATAAGCTCCTAATGTTAGTATGCATGTTCTGAGACTTTACATCCACAATACACCATTTTACACAAACTGCTCACAAAGAGAGCTTCTAGACTTGGTTAGTCTTTTTAAATCTGCACGTGCAGCAGAAATGCAAAGACAATACTGTATGACGACTCTAATACATAAGCTCCTACATAGATTTTAAGGTCTTTGGAGCAGGGACTGACTTTTTGAGGCGTGCAGGTACATTGCTTAGCTCAGGGGTACCCTGAGCCTTGATTACAGCCTATAAGCACTACCACAGTAATAATAAATACCCTTTCCTGCTCCCTGACACCACCTCCTCCCACACACACACACACACACACACTTGAGAACAAAAAGTTATATTCCTACTCACCGATTTCTAGGGCTGTTGCAAGGACTAGTTACAAGCCATGACCACTTAAGCACTGCTGCAGTGCTTACACAGCAGTAAGCACTTTACATATTCTCACATTAAAACAAGTCGTAGTATTTATCAGCATGCACTCTGAACTTACACACGATCATGAGGTGGGCCTTCCACTTTGACATCCTTATACTCAAGTTGCAGTTTATTCTTTTGACAATATTCATGAAGTTTTCCCTTGTACAACTGTGGCTTAACATAATATTCTGCCATTTTGGCACAACCTGTGAGGAGAAAGAAATTTTGACAAAGAATCTTGCATTCTCAGTGTTTGTCTTAGGGAATAAAAACACAAGCAAAGATGGCAGCCCACATTGTTCAAGGGTATTGGAGCAAAGTAAGGAAATGTTTACAAATGCAGAGAACCACTAGGTGTGCTTTGCCAGAAAATATTGGTTGCATGAGAGAATCATTCATCTTGGTAATAGAACCTAAATGCTTGCAGGTTATTATTTAAAAACAGTACTCAGGGAAGGGCCACATCGTCATATATTTTTGGAGTATCTAGTACAAAATAACCCTACTCAGGCATTAGTGCAATATAAATGTAGTTATTAATTAAATCTACTCCTGCAGCTACAGAATATGAAACTGAAATGTCAATATGTTAAAGTAGATTGTTCCTTTACAGTAAAACAGAAGAGTGGTGGACTTGCAAATGTTTCTTGAAGACATTAGTTTGCATGGGAATAACTGATTTAGAGATCTGAACTGAGATAACACATATATATCCCCAAATCAGTAGAATTATCGAGAAGTTATTTTTTTTAAACAAAAGTAAAGTAGCAAGTGGCTCTTTGAAGCTGAAAAGCCAGCAAAACAATGCATAAAAAGTGTAGTGTGTGTGTTTATTATTTGTTTGTTAAAAGGAGATTGAGGTAAGCCTAGCTTCCACAACAGAAGTTATGCTTTAGTATTTCTTTCGAGGACTTTTGACAGTGCAACTAAAAAACAGATACAAAGTCTACAGAATTCTCACTTTTGATGGCCAAGGCTAGATTTAATCATTGCCCAGCTTTATTAACAAGGCAGCAGAATTCCCCCCACACACGCGCGTTTAAAAGAATCAGGAGGGGTCCCAGCGCCATTTCAGAAAGCAGAACTAAAGCAGACTCTAAAGCCAGGGCAGGGCGAGTCAATAAGAGAAGGGTTTGAACAAATCCTGGCAAAAGCTGATGGTTTTCAGGCCATAGTGACTCTTCTAGGAAGGAAGCCTGAGACAGTGACTCCTCAGAATAATAATTAATACAGGAGAATGAATGGGACTGAGCACTTAGGCCCAGATCCTCAAAGGTCTTTAAGATGCCTAATTCCTAGTGATTTCAATGGAAATTAGGTGACTAAATATTAGGGCTATCAAACTATTAAAAATGTATCATAAGATTAAAAAAATAATTGCAATTAATCAGTTTTAATTGTACCATTAAAACATAATAGAATACCATTTATTTTAATATTTTTGGATGTTTTCTACATTTTCGAGTATACTGATTTCAGTTACAACCCAGAATAAAGTGTACAGTGCTCACTTCATATTATTTTTTATTAAATATTTGCACTGTAAAAAGAAAAGATATTGTATTTGTCAGTTCACCTCATACAAGTACTGTAGTGCAATCTCTTCATTGTGAAAGTGCACCTTACAAATGTAGAATATTTTTTTTTCAGAATAACAGCCGTGTTAGTCTGTATTCGCAAAAAGAAAAGGAGTACTTGTGGCACCTTAGAGACTAACCAATTTATTTGAGCATAAGCTTTCGTGAGCTACAGCTCACTTCATCGGATGCATACTGTGGAAACTGCAGAAGACATTATATACACAGAGACCATGAAACAATACCTCCTCCCACCCCACTCTCCTGCTGGTAATAGCTTATCTAAAGTGATCACTCTCCTTACAATGCGTATGATAATCAAGTTGGGCCATTTCCAGCACAAATCCAGGTTTTCTCACCCCCCACCCCCATACACACACAAACTCACTCTCCTGCTGGTAATAGCTCATCCAAACTGACCACTCTCCTTACAATGTGTATGATAATCAAGGTGGGCCATTTCCAGCATAAATCCAAGTTTAACCAGAATGTCTGGGGGGGGGGGGTAGGAAAAAACAAGGGGAAATAGGCTACCTTGCATAATGACTTAGCCCCTCCCAGTCTCTATTTAAGCCTAAATTAATAGTATCCAATTTGCAAATGAATTCCAATTCAGCAGTTTCTCGCTGGAGTCTGGATTTGAAGTTTTTTTGTTTTAAGATAGCGACCTTCATGTCTGTAATTGTGTGACCAGAGAGACTGAAGTGTTCTCCGACTGGTTTATGAATGTTATAATTCTTGACATCTGATTTGTGTCCATTTATTCTTTTACGTAGAGACTGTCCAGTTTCACCAATGTACATGGCAGAGGGGCATTGCTGGCACATGATGGCATATATCACATTGGTGGATGTGCAGGTGAATGAGCCTCTGATAGTGTGGCTGATGTTATTAGGCCCTGTGATGGTGTCCCCTGAATAGATATGTGGGCACAGCTGGCAACGGGCTTTGTTGCAAGGATAGGTTCCTGGGTTAGTGGTTCTGTTGTGTGGTATGTGGTTGTTGGTGAGTATTTGCTTCAGGTTGGGGGGCTGTCTGTAGGCAAGGACTGGCCTGTCTCCCAAGATTTGTGAGAGTGAGTGAGTTTGTGTGTGTGGTTTTTGGGGGGTGAGAAAACCTGGATTTGTGCTGGAAATGGCCCACCTTGATTATCATACACATTGTAAGGAGAGTGATCACTTTAGATAAGCTATTACCAGCAGGAGAGTGGGGTGGGAGGAGGTATTGTTTCATGGTCTCTGTGTATATAATGTCTTCTGCAGTTTCCACAGTATGCATTCAATGAAGTGAGCTGTAGCTCACGAAAGCTTATGCTCAAATAAATTGGTTAGTCTCTAAGGTGCCACAAGTACTCCTTTTCTTTTTATTTTTTTTTTTTGTTACATAACTGCTCTCAAAAACAAAACAATGTAAAACTTTTGGACTTGTAGGCTCTCTCTGTCCTACTTCTTGTTTAGCTAATCGCTAAGACAAGCAAATTTGTTTATATAAACTGGAGATAAAGTTGCCTGTTTCTTGTTTGCAATGTCATCTGAAAGTGAGAACAGACGTTCGCATAGCATTTTTGTAGCCAGCGTTGCAAAGTATTTTTTATGTGCCAGATATGCTAAACATTCATATGCCCCGTCATGCTTTGATCACCATTCGAGAGGACATGCTTCCATGCTGGTAACTCTTGTTAAAAAAAATGCATTAATTAAATTTCTGACTTAACTCCTTGGAAGAGAATTGTATGTCTCCTGCTCCATGGTTTTACCTGCTTTCTGCCATATATTTCATGTTATGGCTCTCGGATGACAATCCAACATATGTTGTTCGACTTAAGAACACTTTCATTGCACATTTGACAAAACACAAAGAAGGTACCAATATAAGATTTTTTTTAAAGATGGCTATAGCACTTGACCCAAGGTTTAAGAATCTGAAGTGCCTTCCAAAATCTGAGAGGGACGAGGTGTGGAACATGCTGTCAGAAGTCTTAAAAGAGCAATACTCCAATATGGAATCTACAGAACTTGAACCATCAACAAAGAAAATCAACCTTCTGGTGATAGCATTTGACTCAGATGACGAACATGAATGTGCGTCGGTCTGCGCTGCTTTGGATCGTTGTCGAGCAGAACCCGTTGTCAGCATGGAAGCATGTCCTCTGGAATGACGGTACAAGCATGAAGGGACATACAAATGTTTAGCATATCTGGCACGTAAATACCTTGCAATGCCGTCACAACAGTGCCATGGGAATGCCTGTTCTCATTTACAATGTCACCTGAAAGTAAGAAGTGGTCAGCATTATCTCCTGTAAATGTAAACAAAAACTTGTTTGTCTTAAAAAGAAAAAGAGTACTTGTAGCACCTTAGAGACTAACCAATTTATTTGAGCATGAGCTTTCGTGAGCTACAGCTCACTTCATCAGATGTATGGGGGCAGCAGTTCACGGAGGCTCTCTCATCTAAAACTTTATACAATAACATTTACAAATTTTTCTATAATTGATTAACAAAACAATAATTACTAAACAACAAATTTTGCCAAGGCCACATCTTGAAATCACAGCCATGAATGTAGTGGGGAAGGAGTTGGGGAGAGGGAGTGAGGGATGTGGAAGGGTAGAAGGGGCTCAAGGCAAGGGGTTGGGGAGCTGGAGGGGTGCAGGGTGCATGAGGGGGCTCAGGCCAGGGGATTAGGAGGCTCAGGGCAGGGGATTGGGGGTGCAGGCTCCGGCCCAGCGCCGCCTCCTGGAGCGCTCCAGGGTGGAGGGGTGGCACTGGGGCGGGCAGCGCCCCACATCCCTGCGCCCCTGGGGGTCGAGGGCTCCATCCCCCTCCCAGGGGTACCACCCCGAGCTCCCATTCACGTTCCCTGTTCCTCCAATGGGAGCTGCGGGGGGTGCCTGTAGGGGCCCCCCCTCTGACACTTTGTATTCTGTTTTAATGAAAATCAGTATATCCAAACATATTTAGAATACCAATTTAAATTATTTTGTTTTACAGTGCTATTAAAAATTAATTGCAATTAATCACAGTTTTAATTGTGTTTTGAGTTAATTGTGAGAGTTAACTGCAATTAATTGACAGCCGCAGGGACGTGGTCTCTCTGGGCCCCCCCCCCATAGGTACAATCCCGTGAGCCGGACCAAACCCTACCCCCCCCACACCGTAGTTTCCCACCCCCTCTAATTTTACATTGTTTTGTTTCAGTTATGTAACAACAACAACAAAAATCTACATTTGTAAATTGCACTTTCACAATGAAGAGATTGCACTACAGTACTTGTAGGAGGTGAACTGAAAAATACTATTTCTTTGGTTTTTTTACAGTGCAAATATTTGTTATAAAAGATAATATCAAGTGAGCACTGTACACTTTGTATTCTGTTTTAATGAAAATCAGTATATCCAAACATATTTAGAATACCAATTTAAATTATTTTGTTTTACAGTGCTATTAAAATTAATTGCAATTAATCACAGTTTTAATTGTGTTTTGAGTTAATTGTGAGAGTTAACTGCAATTAATTGACAGCCCTACTAAATCTCTTCTAGAATCTGGACCCTAATGTACAAACAGAGAAAGAGATAAAGAACTGTACTAAAAATAGAAAAGGAAGTCACCATCCTTAAAACTAAACCCTCCCTTTAAAGCCATATGATTTTAGAAAGGAAAATTGAAACTTTGGAAGACCAACAATCTGAGAGTACTAGGAACAGCAGCAGGGAAAATCCCAACTCTTTTGATTACTTATAGTATTTTTGGCCTTGTATTAGTATTTTATTTGTTTATTAGAACTTGTATTAGTATTTTATTTGTTTCCTTTCTCCAAACAGTTTCTCCCTCTGAACAATAACATCTTTCTCTCTGAATTTTCCCAAACTTTGTGGAGCTCATAATATACAGTATAAGAATATATCTAGTGATTTTCTCCCTCCCCCACCCCTTACATTTGTTTTTAATATAAAATTTGAACAGTGGGACTTCAACCATGTTGTGATGCAATTGTATTTCAGAGATAGGACCCCCCCCCCCCAGCCCTCCAAAGAAACCCTCCCCACCCCCCCACCCCCCCCCCTCGGGGTTGGGGCCAGGTCCCCCGCCCACGGCACCCCCCATTCTCCCCCAGAGCCTGCACCCCCACCCCACCTACACCCCCCTGCCCCCAAACTCCCTCCCAGAGCCTGCATGCCTCCCCCCTCCTAGAGCCTGCAACCCCACCCCTGCCCAGAGCCTGCATCCAGCACCCAAACTCCATCCCAGAGCCTGCACCCCAGACCCCGTCCCCAACCCAAATTCCCTCCTAGAGCCCAACCTCTCACCCATTTTGCATCATAGAATACCAGGATTGGAAGGGACCTCAGGAGGTCATCTAGTCCAACCCCCTGCTCGAAGCAGAACCAATCCCCAATTTTTCCCCCAGATCCCTCAAGGATTGAACTCACAACCCTGGGTTTAGCAGGCCAGTGCTCAAACCACTGAGCTATCCCTCCCTCCCCGAGCCTGCACCTCAATCCCCTACCGCAGACCTCCTCCCCCACCCAAACTTCCTCCCAGAGCCTTGGGGAGGGGGGCAGAGGTTTTTTTGTTTTTTTTTGGGGGGGGGGGGTTCTGGGCTGCATGAGTGACATTATTGGCCCGCTGGGAGGATCTGAGGACTGGTACTGGCCCTAAGAAAAACGAAGTTTGAGACCCCTGACTTAGAGACTGCTGACCCCTTATACTTAGACGTTTACTTTGCACCTGTAAGGGGAACAGAAGTCACTGGTGGCTTTCCAAGAATACCCGCAGTCCCCAGCACTGCTCCTAGTTCAGTTTCCAAAGCTAGAAACACTCGCTCGTTTTAACACCTTGGCATAGGACCAGAAGCCCAGTTCTTTATTAGCCCAACCCGGGCTGTGTGGGGCAAGCTCAAGCCTGCTCCAGTTCACACACTGCAGCCTAGCGAGGGGTCTCGAGGAAGCAGAAAATACCCAGAGCCAAGGCACCCCAGCTCATCTCCTCCATCCAACCCTTTACCCCCCAGTCAACCTCTACAGTCTGTACTAATGGCTCGCCCCCAAAGCCCAGCCTTCCCTCTGCGCTTCCCCCACAGCTCCAGCCTCTCCCCGAGCCTGCACCGGACCCCAGCCCGGCCCCTCGCCCGCCCGCCCGCCCACGCAGCGGCCCGTCCTGCCCCCGAGTCCCCCACTCACCGCGTGGCTCGGCTCGGCTCGGCTCGGGCGCTCGGAGTGCGGCGGAACAGCAACAGCGGCTCCGCGCTTCAGCCGGCTCGGCCCCACTTTCGTTTCCTTGCAGCGACTTCCCCGGGCCCCCGGCAGCCGCCGCGCTCCGCCCCCGGATCGGCTCCGGAATCGAAACCGAAAGGAGCCGGCGGGTGCCGGGCGCAGAGCCGAGGGGCCGGCGTCAGCAGGGAGGCTGGCCCGGGCTGGGGCTGCCCCACCCAAGCAGCCGCTACCCGGGAGGAGGCGCAGCAGGAAGGGGGAGCCCAAAACCAGCATTTCCCCGCCAGGTCCCCCCCGCGGGTGCGGGATCAGCGGGGAGCCTCTGCCGGAGCCCGGGGCTCCTCTTGTTCCCCTCCCCAGGCCTGAGCCTCTGTTCCCCCTTCGGGGGCTGCAGTTCAGCCGCCTGCTCCTCCTGCGGAACCAGCCACTGCTCCGGCTCCGCTCCGCTGCTCTGCGGGCCCAGCTCCTGCCTCTGCTCTTTTAGGCCTTTTTCTTCTGAGGCCCGGGTGGTTGCCGTCTTAACCCCTGCCCCCATTTGCCCTGCCTGCTCAGGCAGAGATGCAGTTTAGGTGGAGCAGGCCCCATTGTCCTTGAAAGGGGCCAAACACCCTGTGACATGGGCCCTTCTAGCTAAGTTGCCCTCCTACGTGCAGATGCACAAGCAAGTCCATTCCCCCTTTCCACTGTTTCCCTTTCTTCTGGGGCGGGGGAATGCTGACAGTATAAAGCATATGAGTTTCAACTGCACAGCACCAAAGAGAGTCAATACACAGCCATCTACAAGATTAGAGATATTACTGGCTTTCTTGAACCTGCAATGGATTGAGAATCTGACAATATTATAAAGAAAAGAAAAAAACAGGGCCCAGCTGCGCAAAAGGGAGCTAGGTTCTTACAAAATCACAGGAACAACACTAGGCTCCACAAAACCTGAGTTAGGTGCCTAGCTCCTCTCTAATGAATGGGGAGAGATGGGCACTTAGAATGGGATCCCCAAAGCCAGCACACTAGGTGGGGAGCCACCTAACTCTAGCCAATGACTATCTCTCTAATGAATTCCATGCTTAAATAGAGACTGGGAGTGGCTAAATCATTATGCAAGGTAGCCTGTTTCCTCTTGTTTTTTCCTACCCCCCCCCCCCCAGATGTTCTGGTTTAACTTGGATTTAAACCTGGAGAGTGGTCAGTTTAGATGAGCTATTACCAGCAGGAGAGTGAGTTTGTGTGTGTATGGGGGTGGGGGGGATGTGAGAAAACCTTGATCTATGCAGGAAATAGCCCGACTTGATTATGTAAAGAGTTGTCACTTTGGATGGGCTAGCACCAGCAGGAGAGTGAATTTGTGTGGGGGGGTGGAGGGTGAGAAAACCTGGATTTGTGCTGGAAATGGCCCACCTGATGATCACTTTAGATAAGCTATTACCAGCAGGACAGTGGGGTGGGAGGAGGTATTGTTTCATGATTTCTGTGTGTATATAAAGTCTGCTGCAGTTTCCACGGTAAACATCTGATGAAGTGAGCTGTAGCTCACGAAAGCTCATGCTCAAATAAATTGGTTAGTCTCTAAGGTGCCACAAGTACTCCTTTTCTATCAGCATTAGCCTAATATTTTCCCTGGGTAGTTTTTGGCCAGCTAGTGAGTTGGTTGATTCTATAAAATGTGTTAATACAATTATTTGACAAATATTAGTGAAATTAATCAAACACTACAGTTGCCATGATTTGACCATACTTAAGGAGTGAGGGAGGAGAAAGCTGGCTAAAGCCAGTAAAACTGGTGACAAGGAGATGTGTTCAGAATAGAGGAGCACAACAGATTCTCAAAATACTGTGAAATATGCCTCCCATCTACAATGTGTGTTTAGAAGATGGCTCTCTTAAGATTAAACCTGCCTATTCGAAATAAAACCCAACATTTGTACCACATGATTAGGAAGGGTCTATGCATATAATCACATTATTGAAGTTTGGTTATGGAAATGTAGACCCCCCCCCCCCCTCCTCCTGTCCACTGGCTCAGTGTGAGGTTGTTCAAGATAGGGTAAGTCTACCTTGCGTTTTTTTACACAACTTTGTAAAACTTTGGGCTTGGGGTTCCTCTGTATGCTCTGTGTTGTGTGTCAACGTGTATTCACCTCAGACCAGACCCACTCAGACAAACCACTGGGAACAAAGGTTTAGTAAATAAACAGAGAACAGGATTACAGTCCAGCAGCCTCCTCTCTGCTTGCCTGCCTCCTGCTCCCAGCTTCAGTCAGTGCTGAAATTTCCTGCTGCAATGACAGAGGATACATCCTGGGGGAACCAGGAGGTTCTCCCAGCATTCCACAGTTTGTAGTTTCCACGTCTGCTGTTAAAGCATACTGGACCTTGGGCTACAGGAATAAGGATTTTTACATTTCCATCAGAGATATGTACAGCCCTTTGCAAACAGGCAAAAGTAACCTCAGTTTCTATACGTTTACTTGGTTGAGTTAAAGCAAAAAAAAAAAAAATGCAAATACAGTGTAAATTAAGGTATAGACCTAGAAACTCCTATTGATTTAGTAATCTGAGGCAGGGAAATAATGAAATCAGACTTACAGGTACGGTAACTTAATGCCCTAAACGTTACAAGATATCATTGGAGTGGTCTAATGAGCTAATGCATGGATTTTAGGGCCCCAAAACACGATTATATCAATTATAGATGAGTATAGCAGCTCCTGCCCTCCATCCACCAGGAAAAGAAGAAAAAAGAATGCTGTTAAGTTTGGCCTATTGTTGCACATTTTAGAGTTCTCTGATACACACTCAGTTTCAGAACTTTGATAAACTAGCAGTAGTGCCATACACAGTAGTTCTGTTTCTGTCCAGCAGAGGGCAGTGGTACACAGGCAAACATCACTGCCACCACCACACAGAGATGACAAACTGTTGCTAATATACTCGTATAACTCAGGAGATAGTAACTGTCAGCGCGCAGCCCACCAGGGTAATCCGCTGGCGGGCCGTGAGACATTTTGTTTTCGTTGACTGTTCACAGGCACGGCCCCCCTCAGCTCCCAGTGGCTGCGATTCGCCGTTCCAGGCCAATGGGAGCTGCAGGAAGCAACAGGCCACAGGGACATGCTGGCTGCCACTTCCTGCAGCTCCCATTGGCCGGGAACTGTGGCCATTGGGAGCTGTGAATGACCGTGCCTGCGGACGGCCAACGTAAATAAAATGCCTCACAGCCCGCAATCAGATTACCCTGATGGACTGCGTGCTGAAGGTTGCTGACCCCTGACGTAACTCCTCAGAGACCCTTCGATAAGAGAGCAGTGGCTCTGGAACAATTTGTATAGTGGAAGTGCTGAAAGCCATTGAACAAAACTGTAAACCCAAAAGCCATTGAACAAAACTGCTCGTATATGATGGAAACCACTTCAAGCCAGCGGGTGCCACCACACCCCCAACACCCGTGTAAGAGAGTGCCTCAAGAATGGCTGGAAATGCTTTTTTCCCCTTTCTTCACTGCTCGATGTGCTTCCTACATGGGGCTTCCACTCAGTATTTTTATCTAATGAATGTTTATCTCAGCAGTATTTTCATACCCAGCCCTCTCTCATTCACATCGCTTAACAGCTAAAGTACTGTGCACAGTGCCCTCTTCAGAACAAGGTGACTCCATAACTGTCCCTATAGCTGCAGAAGCATCCGTCAGGTACGATCAGGGCCTTCTGTTGACAGACATAGAATTGCCTTTTAAAAACGACTGCATGATTATGTTCCAGCATATAAGATGGATAGGGGTAAGTAGAGGTTTTTCTCCCTAGCAGGTGGGAGAAACATCTAGTACAGAACCTGGCGGAGCTCTTCTTTAACCTTTTGCCAGGATGAAAATTGGCCAGCAGCACAAATCAATGAACTCTAAAGCAATTTCATACAAGGCCGCAGAAAACATAGCAGTGTAGAGGACTAAATCAACTACTGAAGCTGATAGATGAGCTTAAAGAAAAAGCCCAGGGAGTTTAACACCCTGAGTTTTCAGAAAGTTTGGATCTGGAGCAGAGCTCAATTTGAATTAATGGCAGATCAAGAAAAAATATAATTTCAAATAGTCACAGAAACTTTGCATACTATTCATATGTTTTACGTGTTCAGCCAAATTCTTCTGTTACATCTGTATAGTCCCAATAGCAGAATTTGGCCCATTATTTACTAGGTTCTCATGATTTCTTTATTTTGCAAATCCATGTGTGAAAGTCTAAATTATTTTAATCTATGCATTCTCAAATGTGAAAGGAAATGAAATAGGTGATGATGTAGCATTAGAATGAAGTTAAGATTTAGTATTTGCAGTATTTATCATATTTTAGCTTTGCTCCCAGTTTAGTTCCAGCTAAACACACCTTAAATTTGGCATCCATTTCCTGGCTCTGAGCTTCAGTGAAGAGATTCTTCCAATCTCCAACATCACCTGCGAAAGAACAGTGAAATAAACTATAACATCACAGGTCAGGTACGTAACATTGAAATGCTGACACAAACAGCCGGAATGACTGAACTTATTGCCAAATTTCAAACACACAAAAGGCTTGAAGCTTGTATGAATGTGGACGGGGTAATTCCAGTTAAAGGTTAAAGAAAAAGCCTTGCAGTAAGTTTTATAGGTATATATGTAAACACCCTTGAAAACAGAGAGCTAATACTTTGACAGAACAGCAAGTGCCTGGTTGATCAGCTGCTTATGGATGTCCATTTTCTAAAGGTGAAAATTCATCATCAGTTATGAATTAAATACGTTAAGCACAGAGGCCACAAGAGGTATATGCTTTTAAATGTTAATTAGCTCTCATGACCAATTTGGTTAGCTGTTCTAAGCCTTAAAATGACTATTATCACTCTGTATAAATGTACCTTTTCTGAAAGCATGGGAGCAAATTTGACATGTGTTTCTTGGAATTTGCTGCTCATTGATTGGAAGGTGGAATTCTCTGCAATAGACTGAATCTTCTCATCAGGCAGAGAGAACCCCAAAAATTCAGCTATTTGTTTCACTCCTCCATGTAAGTTCTGAAAAACAAGAATTTGCTGGAGTTATGTATGAGTCAAAGAAAATACCCCTGACAATTTCCTCTTCTCTTTTGCCAAATGAATGTAGTAGATTTTATCCTCATCCATACTCAGGGCAGAACATTAGAGGAGCATATTAAGTTCAGCAG